GCTTGCGAAGATAGTGCAAGAAAATAAATCTCGCAAAGTCGGTACAAAGCTGCGGTTATCTAAACAACAATAAATTACGCACGTCGAATGGAAATGTGGAATTGGTAAAAAGCGCCACAATGAAATCCTGAAAAACAAAAATGCGTATTTACGTTTACCTAGTTGTGATTTATCGGCACTCTTCTGCTGCGAACTCGAAACATATTTGCTCTTCAAACGGGTACTTGTATTTAATGTTATTACATAGTTCTGGTAATAAATTTAGTCATTTAAAAAGTCTTCTTTCACAAGAATAATCACTATTAAATTTTGAAGTATATAATTTTTTTACATAATTTTGTATCTGTCTGTCTGTATGTATCAATTAGACACATAGTCTCCGAAGCTACTGGACCGATTGTTGTCAAATTTTGTATTAGGAATATCATGTAGATTGTAGATCGTAAAACGTTCATCCAAATTTACAATTTGTTTTTTATTTTATAAAATAATACTCCTGCACATTTTGCAGTTTAATTTTGAAACCAAAAAATCTGCTGACGTCGTCTTTTTTGCCTAATAAATCCTCTCTGAAATACATATGTAAAACATTATGACTCTGTCAGTGTGGTTTATCAATGCACTCATAATGTTTTTAGAAATGCTTATACGGGGTGATTAAAAAAAAATGAATGAGACAATTTGTTTTACTAATCAAATCAAGAACGACTCACTCCATTTCATCAAAACTTATACTTTTTCGAAAAGCCTGGGTATACTTACCTTTGACCAATTTTGTGGTTTCGCAGTTTGTCGTTTTTCATTTTTCATTCTTCAATTTTTCCATTTTTTAAAGTTTCAGTTTCACAATATTTCGTTTTTTCAACTTAAATTTCTTCAATTTTTTAATTTTTCGATCCCCAAATTTTTCAATTGTTTTTTATTGTCCTTTTTCCGATTTCATTTTCATTTTCTTGATTTTATATCACAATTTTTCGTTTTTTCATTTCCATTTTCGTTTCATTTACTTTTTAAATGTTTCTTTCAATTTTATATTTCGTTTAAATACAATTTTTCAAATTTTCAATCTTCGATTTTTCAATTCCGCGATTTTACAATTGTAGAATTTTGATTTTATTTCCAATTATCCGATTTTCCGATTTCCTTAATTTTCAATATTTCGATATTTCGATTTTTGAAAGTCTAAAATTTAAAAATACGAAAAATTAAAAAATCTGAACGTCGAAAAATACAAAAAGTATAAACTGAAAAATTAAAAACTCCAAAAATTGAAAAAACGAAAACAAAAAATTGCAAATCGAAAAATTGGAAAATCGAGAAACTCAAAATCAAAGTACTGAGGAAACGAAAAAATGAAACATGGAAAAATTAAAAATCGAGAAACTAGAAATTCTAAAAAAATCAATAAATCGAAAAACTTGAAAAAAGAAAAAACGAATCGAATTGACAAATTGGAAAAACCAAAATTTGAAAGATCGAAAAATTGAAAAGCTAAATATGGAGAAATTCAAAAATTTAAAATCTAAAAATTGAAAAATCGAATAAATGAATAGGTTTTAAAATCCAATACTTGAAAAATGGAAAAATTCTAAAATCCTAAAATTGAAAAGGTGTAGAATTTTAAAAATTATAATAATCATTATTACATATTAAAATGAAAACTAGAGAAATTGCAAATCAAAAATTGAAGAATAAAAAATTAAGAAATTATGGCCCTTTAATTTTTCGTTTTGTCACTGTCGTTTTTTCAACTTTAATTTCTTCAATTTTTGAATTTCTTGACTTCCAAATGTTTCAGTTTTTCGTTTGCTTAATTTTTTAAGTTCTTAATTTTTATTTTGCTTTTTCCGATTTAATTTTCGTTTTTTCATTTCATTTTTTATTTCATTTACTTTTTAAATGTTTCGTTCGATTTTATGTTTCGTTTATATACAATTTTTCAAATTTTCAATCTTCAGTTTTTCAATTCCGCAATTTTACAATAATTGTACAATTTTGATTTGATTTCCAATTATCCGATTTACCGTTTTCCTTAATTTTCAATATTTCAATACACATTTCGTTTTTTCTATTTTTGGAAAATCTTAAATTTAAAAATACGAAAAATTAAAAAATCTGAAGTTCAAAAACTCGAAAAATTGAAAACCGAAAAATTGAAGACATGAAAAATTTGAAAAACTGAAATATCGAAAAACTAAAAAATCTAAGAAACTGAAAACACAAGAAATTGCAAAATCGAAAAAGTGGAAAATCGAGAAACTGAAAATTAAATTACTGAAGAAACGAAAAACTGAAGCATTGAAAAATTAAAAATCGAGGAACTTAAAATTCCAAAAAAGTCAATAAATCGAAAAATTGGAAAGAAGAAAAAATTAATCGAATTGACAAATTGGAAAACCCAAAATTTGAAAGATAGAAAAATTGAAAATTTAAATATCGAGAAATTCAAAAATTAAAAATCTAAAAATTGAAAAATCGAATAAATGAATAGGTTTTAAAATCCAATACTTGAAAAATGGAGAAATTCTAAAATCCTAAAATTGAAAAGGTGAAGAATTTTAAAAATCATAATTATTATTATTACATATCAAAATGAAAACTAGAGAAATTGCAAATCAAAAATTGAAGAAACGAAAAATTAAGAAATTATGGCCCTTTAATTTCTTAATTTTTGGTTTCTTCAATTTTGTTTTTTCAACTTTAATTTCTTCAATTTTTGAATTTCTCAACTTTCATTTTTTTTTCAGTTTTTCGTTTCCTCAGTTTTTTTAAGTTCTTAATTTTTATTTTCCTTTTTCCGATTTAATTATCATTTTTTCGGTTTTATATCACAATGTTTCTTTTTTTCATTTCCTTTTTCATTTCATTTACTTTTTAAATTGTTGTATCGATTTTATATTTCGTTTATTCCATTTTTCAAATTTTCAACCTCTAATTTTTCAATTCTGCAATTTTACAATTGTACAATTTTGATTTAATTTCCAAATACCCGATTTTCAGATTTCCAAATTTTCAGTATTTCGATTTTAGAATACATATTTCATTTTTTCGATTTTTGTGAAATCTAAAAATTAAAAAAACGAAAATTAAAAAATCTGAAGGTTGAAAAATCGAAAAATTGAAAACTGAAAAACTGAAAAATCCAAAAATTGAAAAAACGAAAACGAAAAATTGCAAACCGAAAAACTGGAGACATCAAAAAATTGTAAAATCGAAAAAGTGGAAAATCGAGAAACTGAAACGCGAAGTACTGAAGAAACGAAAAATTGTAGCATTGAAAAACTAAAAATCGTGAAACTTAATATTTTAAAAAAATCAATAAATGAAAAAATTGGAAAGAAGAAAAAACGAATCGAATTAACAAATTGGAAACCTAAAATTTGAAAGATCGAAAAATTGAAAAATTAAATACCGAGAAATTCAAAAATTAAAAATCTAAAAATTGACAAATCGAATAAATGAATAAGTTTTAAAATCCAATACTTGAAAAATAAAAAAAAATATAGTAAAATTCAATCGGTGAAGAATTTAAAAAATTATAATAATTATTTTTACATATTAAAATGAAAACTAGAGAAATTGCAAATCAAAAATTGAAGAAACGAAAAATCAAAAATTGATGGCCTTTTAATTTCTTAATTTTTCGTTTCTTCAATTTCGTTTTTTCAACTTTAATTTCTTCAGTTTTTTAATTTCTCGACTTCCAAATTGTTCAGTTTTTCGTTCCCTCAATTTTTTAAAATGCTTAATTTTTATTTTCCTTTCTCCGATTTAACTTTCATTTTTTCGGTTTTATTCACAATTTTTCGTTTTTTCATTTCCTTTTGCATTTCATTTACTTTTTATATGGTTCTTTAGATTTTATGTTGCGTTTATTCAATTTTTCAAATTTTCAATTTCTGATTTTTCAGTTCCGCGATTTCACAATTGTACAATTTTGATTTGATTTCCAATTATCCGATTTTCCGATTTCCTTAATTTTCAGTATTTCGATTTTACAATACGTATTTCGGTTTTTCGATTTTTGTAAAATCTAAAATTTTAAAAAACGAAAAATTCAAAAATCTGAAGGTTGAAAAATCTAAACATTGACGAAAAATTGAAAAATCGAAAAATTGAAAAAACAGAAACGAAAAATTGCAAATCGCAAAATCGAAGACATCAAAAATTTGAAAAATTGAAAAATCGAAAAACTAAAAATGGAAAAACTAAAAAATCGAAAAAAATGAAAAATTGAAAAACTTAGAATTCTAAAAAAAATCAATAAATCGCAAAATTGGAAAGAACAAAAAACCCATCGAATTGACAAATTGGAAAACCCAAAATAAGAAAAACTATATATAAAATCAGACCACTAAAAAATCAATAAATTGGAGAAATAAAGAAAATACAAAACCGAAACGAAAAATTGCAAATCGAAAAACTTGAAATCGACAAATTGAAGAATTGAAAAATTGAAAAATTTGAAATTAAAAAAAGAAAAAATTATAAAATCAAAACATTGAGAATTCGAATAGGTATGTAATTTTAAAAATAATTGTTTCGACAACCGAGATCTGTTGGGTTGCATTTTAGGGGAGAGGGAAGTTCAATACCATTTTTTTTATTCTCAATGGAATTTACTAAGTACGCATGCAACTGTATAACACTGTTGGTCTTCTAAATTTTGTAATGTTCGACTGTAACAATACTTACTTAGCTAATAAAGAGGTCAAAACAATGTCCTCCGAACAAGCAAGTTAAAAAAAATATATTCAGTTCTTTGTTTTATATATGCTCCACGTAATTTAAAAATCATTACCACATAAGAAAAATGTGCTGACACTCTGGGACAAGTTTCTATATTGATTTTTCCTATCTTCGTCATTAAAAACTTTTCATCTTTGACTTCCAACAAAAACTTTTTAATAACCTGCTCGTGTCTCGTAGACTCTAACAACAGAATCAACAGTTGAAAGTATTGGTAAATATTTTTCAGTAGATAACAAATACACCATAAATCAGACACATTATGTATTACTTTAAGTACAATTTTACTTAAACTCAGTCTAACAAACAAATTTCGGTTAACAAATTTTATTAGGAAAATAACAGCAAAATTAAAGCAGTCGCAGGTTTTTGTCATCTCGTAATACAGTCATAAACTTACCTAAAATGTACACTTAAAACTATAACGTTAAACTACGATACTTCCGTTTACGTGAATGTTTTGCTACAGGCAAACAATAAAAAAATATCGGACGAGATACATAAAAATACAAAAATCGACACTTAAACAAACTAAAGTAAATCACAGCAATAAAAAAATAACCAAAGACACATAGAAAATATAATTTTGGTGGACTGTCGACGAACTTTTTTCCAGAGGCGTAATTAAACTTGCCGGTGTTGGTGGCTGATGATCTTCAGATGGAATCACACCCGCAGACGAAACCGTAATAGGTGCGCCATCTGTAATACTTCTTGTAAATTTGACAGTCGTTCCCGTAGTTCTCTGTTTTGGAGTGGTAGAGCTTGTCGTGCTTATGCTTGAATTTAACATTAAAATCTTCAAGCTTGTTAATTTCGGATTAGTTTCGTATTTTTTTACCACAAAAGACACAACTTGGTTGTAGTAACCTTCCGCTGATACCTAAAACATACTCGTTACATTAGGCAACACGTTGGTATTTCGCTCACCTCCATCTTATAGTTTCCTGGTAGCAAAAGCCTCCAGAATTCGCCTGTTTTCGAGGAGGAAAAGGTCATGTTTTTCCCGGAGACACGTAAAGTGGCTTTTGCGATGGGTTTTCGGGAAGTGCTATCCAGGATTTGGCCAGTGACCCCTCTCAGCGCTTCGAGACAGTATTTTAACAAGGCCTAGGGAACACATTAGTATTTTTTTATTATTGTTAATTTATTTTGATTACCATTTTGTTGTCTTGCCATAGCTTGGGTAATTCACTTGCAGCTGGATATTTGCAACACGATATCTCCAATGTGAGCTCCATGCACCCGTGGAATGCGTAATTATAATCTTGCATACCACCTATTTCAAACATTTAAATAAATCCTTGACAAGGAATAATTATCATACCTATAATAGGATACCAGACGGCTCCATTAACAATTCCTCCTTCAAATTTCGAATCTGAGCACGAATCACCTTTATGCATTGTGGGATGATTTTGTGAATATACTTGAGCCAGGTGGACGAAAACGTCATGGTCAGGGGTTAGCGATGGAGGATTTTCCATATCAGAAGCTACAGAGAGACGAAATCAAAAAATTGGTCGAATCCTTACAAGTTAAAATAAAAATATGTATGTAATGTTCAAGTAAAGGTAAAGAAGCGTGCTACGCGTTTGTTTCAAGTGAGTTTTTCAATAAGTAAAAATGGCCTCTCAACAATAATAACAACTTGAAATGTTTATATATACGTCAGAGAGAACTAAAATTATTAATTAAGTAAGCCACAATCGAGCAAAATGTTCTAAATATTATTATTATTATTATCATTATTAAATAAAGACGTGCGTATTCTCACAATTCGTTCTTAATTCGGTCAACAAAAACACGTGTAAATTTGATTCATTGTTTGTAAATTCACAGTTCATGTTAGGATTTTAATCGTTAACTGGTTCTAACACAAGCCTAACCGTCAGAGAGTGTTCCGATAAAGTACTTGCTAGGAGATTTGTTTTTGTATACCAAATTAGGAATAACGTTTCTGGATGCTAATATTTAAGTGTCACATTACATCACTTCTTAATTCTTTACACAAGATTGCTAATAGTTCACTTACGGCAGTCAAATTAAACTAACATTGCGCCACCGTGGAAAGGCGGCAGAATTCAGAAGATCATGGACTAAGGGGCTGAGGGATTAATTTTCCTCGCAACGTGGATGATTGCATCACTGAGACGTATTTTTCCTCGCAACGCAAGACGCATTTTGTGTTTATTTATAATGTGTTTTGTTTGGGATAAACAGTCCACGATATAAACTCTCAAAACAAATTACTTTAAGTAACCAATCACTTGGATCATGGCATAATGTAACATCATATGAATTCTTTGTTTGAATCGTTGATAAAGTATGGCATAATTTAACATAATGTAAACTCTTTGTTTGAATCGTTGATAAAGTGTGGCAAATATTAAACTAACGTAATTTTGTTAGTTTTGCAATTTTTCACAGCATGTAATGTTTCTTTATCTCACAATTTTAAGTTCAATAATTTTCTTCGTTGTATATTTTAAACTGAACGTAAATTTCCATGCTCTGCAGCTTTTAACCTCATGTAATTTTTGTCTGCACAAGTTTTACTTCACACCAGATCTTTTTTTGTTTTTATAAACCTTTGCTAGTTTTTGTTTTGTAAATATTTTATTGATTGATGTTTTCATCATATAAATTGTTTGATGTCCAATTTTAATCTCAGATAAAAATTCTTTGCTGTTTAAAATTTTTGTATGGCAAATTTAAATGTTGTTTATTTTCCTTTTTGAAACTTTGACACTTGCACAGTTGTGGTTTAATATCAGAGTTATAAGAATGGAACATTTAAATGGAATTGAGCTTAAATAACACAGAAACACGTGGTGGAACGGAGTGCGCGGTTCCTAGTCGAGCTGGCTGGATTTATCGCTATATTTATTTATATTATGTGATCGTAACGGCCTGGGTAGCGCGGCACGTTTCTTCGTTAGATAAAGGGATGCTGGGCGGCAGTGCTTGTCGGTAGAATAGAATCATCGTCGGGGTGGAAGAACAGCCACAACCAGGAGCCTCAAACAGCGCTCGCGCTACAACACCCCCTATGGGTATTTTTGCTGTGCTCTAGAATGAAATTGACATATTTCGATCGCCACACTCTTATAGCGCTCTGGTGCCGCTGCCGCTGAACAGTTTTTTATTAAAATTTTGTGCTCTTCTTTATTTTAATAATTTTAAATTTGCCGCCACACGTCTGTAATAACTTGTGTATTTGCGTCCAGTTACTTTAATTCAAATTTTGCTTTGTTTTTATGAAATTTGTGATATTCAAATATTTGCATTGATTCAGAACGTTTAATCTGATTTCATTCCAAGTCATTCAAAGTTTTTTTTTGTAGCTGAGCACTAAGAAGGTCTTCAACCTGCACAACTTAATCGCAGCTTTTTTTTTGTCAGTGGAGGAATAAATAATTTTGTGTCCTCCATATATTTGGTGTTTTATTTAGCAGTACTTTTCTAACCTCGGTGTCTAGTACTTGCTAAGATAAGACTGATTTTGGCAAATCATATAGCTTCCAAGAAAATTGAGGGTGGGTGGGTGGTACTAGTACTTGTTAAGATAAAACTGATTTTGCCTCTATTAATTTATTAAAAACTTGTGAAATTTAGAGGTGTCATATTACAAATTCCATAGTAACGAGTTAAATTCCTAAATCTACCCGAAATGTGCAAAATATCATGAGTTTTTACGAGTGAGTTATCATTGAACTCATACTTTTTAGGTTTGCTTGTACAGGTGACTCAAAAAAATTAATGGATGTTGAATTCATTTTATTGATTACGTCAGGAACGGATCACTCCATTTTTCATATTTTTCGAAGTACATAAAAAGACCAGAATTTCCACATTTTTCAAAATTTCTAAAATTATCAGGCTCCAGTTATACCAGAATTTCGAAATTCATCCTTTTATAATATTTTCAAAATTTCTAGGTCTACCACATTTTTCCAACGCTTTCTAAATTTTTGCAGATTTTCTAAAATTTATAGATCTCGAGAGTCTAACACTTTGGTATTTTTGGAATCTCTGGAACCTTTACATTCTCCAAGATTTATAAAATAAAAATTAGCGCCTTCAGTGTTTTTGGGATTTATAAAAATTAAAGAAAGCATTTTTGCGATCTTTACCATTTTTAGGTCTTTAAGATTTTTGTTTTCTTTAAAGTCTTTCGAATTTTTAAAATCTTTGGTACTTTAAGAGTTCACGCGATTTTTACAAGTTTTAGAATCTTTGGCCTTTTGGAATTTCTCTGGAACCTTTAAAATCTTTCAAGTATTCGAAACAGAATTTTAGCTTTTGACCCCTTAGAGTCCTTAGAGTCTTTAGACCTTTTAGAGCCTTTCCAATCTATGGAAATTTTAACACTTTGGTAATTACTAGAAGTTTTATAAAGCCTAAAATTTCTGCAATTTCTAGGATCATTAGTACCCCCAAGTTCTTTAAAATTTGTAAGATTTTGTTTATTTAGAATCTTAAGTGTCTTTACAATTCGCGGTTTCTAGTGTATGTAATCCGTGAAAGCTTTTATACTTTTTGAATCATTCAAACCACTTTGGAATCTTTAGAATCTCTAGAATCTAGAATCACTAGAATTTCTATAATCTTTAGAGCTTTCAGATTTTCATTATTTTTAGATACTTCAGTATCTCTAGAATTTTAAACATGTTTAGATCTTTAGGATTTTTATCATCTTTCCAATTTTTCAATATTTGGAATCTGTGGAATCTTCGGAATTTTTGGAATCCCTGAAATCTCTTTAGAATTTTGAAATTGCCGGCTTCTCTCTAATTTTTTTAAATTCCTGAACTCCTTGAAGTCCTTGGAGTTTTTGGCATCCTTGAAAGCCTTAAAACCTTTGAAAGGGTTAGAATATTTGGGACTTTCACAACATTTGGAATCTTTCCACAAATTATGAACGCATCCCGTCATTTTTCAAAAACACAACGTAGGGTTCCGTTTTGTCAGACAATCACAGCCAAGGCCAGATTTTTGAATTTTTGAATTTTTCGCGGCTTTTAATTTTTTTTTCACATGTCAATTTAAAGCGGGACGTTTGGGTTATCACAATATCCTGGAATTTTTTCCGGATTTTAAGGCAATTTTTTTAAAAGTTCAGTTTTTCAATACGCCCTCCTAATCAAAATTTTGACCTCTTTTAGACCACCTTTGAAAATTACCAAATGAGATTTTTTTGTAAATTTCGACATTAACAAATTATTTTCGGTCTCATTTCTTAAAAAACTCCTACAATTTTCTAGAATGACCCAATAAAATTTTCAACGTCTGTCAAACTTCAAAGCATTCGATTTTCCGATTCCTGATTTATTACATAAAATAAACTGATTTTTTTTGACTTGCCGTGTTTAAGACATTCTAAAAAATCTAGACTCATCATATTTTGCCAAAATTTCAGAACATTTGGTTTTCCAGATTCAAAATTAAATTTCAAAATATTCTTAAACGGTTTTTTTTCGAAAAATCTAGATACCTTGGGTAATCACGAATTCATAAACTACACATATAGGAGTATGTTATTTTATACAATTTAAAACCCATTTACTGTGTACAATTTTGAAATGACGTCATTACACTGTTGGTGAGGATGATTAGACAAAGTTTGGTTAGCGTTTTACAATCTACATGATATTCATAATACACATATAAAATTTGACAACACTCGGTCAGTAGTTTCGGAGATTATCTATCTAATAAAAATCCACACGGACGGCGGACAGACAGACAGACGGAAACCCGAGACCTATTTTTTCGTACTCTAGGGGTTATGACCCAACGAACTTACGCTCGGGAAGTAAAAATTGGTTTATTGCTCGCTAGCTTTCTTCTTTTCTTAGAAATCATAAAAAAATATATGAAATAGTAAACTGATTTTCCTTATTTTATTTTTGAGACTTTTTATTTGTTTGGAACATCAATCCTTAATTAAACAAGTTAAAGCAAAAAATTTTCAACACCATTAATATAGTTCAATTGTTAACGGTAATTTTTTTAAACAATCTTTCATGTTTTTTTAATGTCGGTGAAATTTACCATCACCTATATTTAAAAATCAATATCTCGGTTATTCAAATTCAAATTCAACACTAAACATAAATCGAATTAAAAACATTTTCGACTATTTTTTTACATCAGATATAAATTTTGATTGGTTATTTATATTCATTATAACTTGTGCAAAATTTCAAATCAATCGGTTTTGCTTAATGAAGTGCTGTCAGTTTGCTGTACAATTTTAATTTTTTTTCAAAAATCTACATTAAATTATTATTATTAAACATAGAGCTGATGTTGCTATGTCGTTATCAAATGTTTGGGGGGGATGGTCAGACAAATTATGGTTAACGTTTTATAATCTTTACACATGTTTCCGTGTCTGTCTGTTTATCATCTACACGATATACTTTAATGCGTCTAAAATTTTATAGTAATCAGCTCAGTAGTTTCGGAGATTTGGAGTTTCTAATAAATATCGTCGACAGAATACGCACGACAGGCAGAAAAGGGAAACCTACTGTTTCCTGTTCTAGAAGCTAGAAACGTCGAGAACACAAAATTAGTCATTCGTTAAATAAAACCTACTACAGTGAAAAGTTTATAGTTATTAATATTTCCAAAAATTCAGAAAACTGTGTAAGAGTCTATATTTATAAGATATTTCCCCGCCCCATAATTTATAAACTTTGTTTTGAAAAACAACTGATATGCCTTGTTATCAAAACAAGAATAATCTAGTCCTTTTAGCGGTTTTATATTGCCAAGTTTGGGCGAGTCAATCCATGAGTAACTTAAATTATCAGTATGTAATTCACTCTAGTTAAATCAGCATTAACAAAAGACACTTATTGGCACACAGGGCCGTATTTAGAGCACGCAAAACATACTATCAAAACTTTTACTTGAAATCGTCTGATCTTAAGGCTATTACTTCTCTGAAGTGGACATAAAACGCGCCATAAGAATTGTGATGATATTATGCCTTCTAGTAACTACGTAAAACATTATTGCTTTTTTATTTTATATCTCTTAAATAAATGTGCATATGAACAGTCTTGAAAGAGCAAGGATTAAAGAAAGCTTTTATAGCGAATTTTTTATGGTTAAAATATTTTTTCAACTTAGTGTCGAAGTTTAGACAAATACTTTTATCCGCTGATGACGCAAACTAGATAAAGTTAACTAACAAGAAACTACATTTTGTTGATAAAGTGCAGTCTATTTCATATTTTGTCGTCAATTTTTTCAAATCACACCTGTCCACTAATAAAATAACAAATCAAATAGACGTTCACCGTGGTAGAATTCCCATAGTTATTTTAGGATACCTGAGCTGACTGACCTTGTTTTAGTGACATAAAATTGTAAGTGGAATTAAATAAAGTAAATCGGCGCAGTCTGGTACTCCCTGAACGCGCAGTTGCGATAAACCCAAAATAATAAGAATAATATCAAAATGTGTCACCTCAACAACATCTTTAACTTAAAACTAAATCTAGTTAAAATAGACTTTGACTTTGAATTAAACTTACTTGATTCTTTCACTGTATCAAAAGGATAATTGACAACCATAGCACCCCCATGCAAAGCCGCCGATAAAATGAAAGGAACATCCTCTAACCATTTTTTAACAGCTTTAGTTTCAGGTTCCTCCGGAATCCTATTTTTATGGTAAAAATCCGGAAAATTCCGGTTCAAATCTTTTCCACCCAAACCGTTATTCCTAACGTGTTCACCATCACACATGTTTTCGTGTGATAAAGCAAACCCATCTGGGTTCATATTTGGCAAGAAATGTATTCTTGTATTATCCAGTAACCAAGTGACTACCGGATCACTTCCATAACCGTCACGTAAAAACTACAATATATTTTTGTAAACTATTATATTAACCTGATTTTCTCTCTAAAATACCTCCATGAAATGTAAAATAATTTCGCGTCCAACTGGTTCATTTCCATGAATTGTACCAATAAGTTTAATATTGGGAATCCCAGTTTTGCGTTTTTTGGTTGCGGTTAGTTGTAACACCCAGAGGTCGTTCCCTAAAATTAAATAACGTCTTAACTAATAACAATGATAATAAATAATAATAGATTACCTTTTCTAGATTTACCAATCGAGTATAGTTTTGTCGCAATGCCACTTTTAGTACTTTGGTTAAAATTCTTTAAAAATAATTCCAAATCGGTGTTATTATGATAACGCCATTCAGCGCAATGAACCAAAAACACCGCAAAAACAAGAATGATCACAAAATGTCTATATAGCATGGTGTCGCGTTGATAATGTGGGTCTAAACTGAAAAATACAATGTTTTCAAGTGTTAACCACAACTCCCTGCCAGATTTTGGCGCGAGATTGTGGTCTGCTTCTTAAACCAACCGTCGCTGATAATAATGTAATGAGTACTTTTACACCACTGTTGCTACACTAGAAATCCAATGATGAAAATTAGGAAAGCGATGACACTGAAAATATTTCGTTTTGGTTGTAAGTGCAGTAAGACTTATGTAAGATCTTAAACGCGAAATGTTTTTATCATTTTGAGTTATTTTTTCTCGTTTAACACTTCGGTTTAAGCGGAATCGAAACCACAGCGGATGTCCCAACGATAGCAGATAAGTAAATGTTTCACCTTTAAACTGGCCTGTAAACAGTCCAAGAGGTCGTTGAAATTTTTGTACACAGGAAAATAAATAATGGCAGGCAGTTCTTGTTTTCCTAAATTCGGAAAATTCAGCTTCAGTGGGAGAGAATTTTTAAAAATGGGTTATTATGTTAAGACGTGATAATTAACCACAATTATTATGTTTTTTAAAAGGAGGATTCATAGTAAAAACTTATTACATAATAATAACATAATAATTATAACATTATTATTTTTTCCAGAAATAACTCTGTGACGTGAATTCACTAAAAACGCGTAGTTTTTTATCCACTCGGGTTTTTTATCGCTATAGAGTATTTTGTTGAAGATTCTTGGATATATAAACTCTACTCTGTTATTTATTTACCACTTCTCTGAATAGTTCTTTACTACGTAATTTCTTCAGTGGTCTTACTTGTGGTGTTAATCTCGGTTTATAATACAGAAGTTGTCATCACACTTTCTTGGATATCGTGATGTTCTCATTGATATGCTAATGATAACAGTTATCAAAAAATTATTCTACACACAAAAGTAAATCAGAGATAATCTAGACAGAACTTTCCTCGTCTCTACAACCCAACAATTAGGCAAGCACACTTGATCTTGATCAACTATGAAACTAAAATACTATACTGAGGCATAATGCACATACTTGAAATGAGATTTATTTGACATGATCAAGTTTGGAAAAAGATGAAGGATTGTATAATTCCTAAGATAAATAATAAAATTTTGTTGTACGATTTTGGTTATTGAGAAAACTGTCTGGTTTTACGGGAGCATAATTTAAGCTTTAGTAAGAATCCAGATGTCTGAGAGTTACCCTTGACTGAAGCTTCACTTGTAGCTACGTAGATGCAAGAGCTGAAAATTTTCTTTGAAGCACACTCGAATTTAAGGAAATGTAGGGCGGTAAGAGATTCTTGAGGCTAACATCTCAAGATCACTCGTGAGATCTACACCGCCATCATAAGAACAGTATTGCCCTACGGACTTTTAGTATCGTGACCAAGAACCAAATTAAAAATTATAACTTTGCAGCTTAATTCATGCCCATGCGGTGTCCTTAAATTTCGCATTGAGAGAAAAAAAAACAACGTCGCGAAACCGCATTTGAATGTAAAAAAAAGTTTAATGAATAAAATAATTAACGTAGGCAATCACCCGTGTTAAAATTGGTGCGCACAGTTGTGTTCCTTATTCATAAAAGGGCAATTGTTTGAACACAAATGAATTGCATTCGATGCCGTCGTTTCCGCCAACAAGCGTAATTAGTGTAAAATCAGTTAATTAATATAATTTTCCCATCCCAAATGTGTAAAACCTTAACTATTCCATAAACACGTGCAATTTTTGTTTTTATTGTTTGTCAATTCACACTTCATGTTATTTTTTAACTGTTCATAGTTCTGATCGCGGAAAATGTTCCTGTAAAGCACGTGGCGGAAATCACTAATTCGGCTCAACTTATTTTAGATTGACGATATATCTAAAAGTAACTTCACACTTGAGATTTAAAAATAATAAGGACCTTGATAATGAGCATCAGTTGCGTTATATTTTATTATTGTGTGTAGGGGTGGTATACAAATATATATACAAGTCTGCAGCATCACGTGGCGGGGATAAGTGCGTTGTTCTGGACAATCTTCTCGTCACGCATAAAATTGCGGTTCTCTGTGTGATCTGCTCGTTGTAGAAGTAATCTCGGCAATGAGCGTAAGTGAAATTCATAAACCCTCGTTTCGTCTCGGATGGAGACAAACTGCAACTCTCTGCGTAATCCACTCGTCGTAGAAGGACTTGCGCCAAAGGGAGGATTACGTAAGCCCAGCCAAGTGTGATATGTTACCGGGAAAAAGCACAATTCTAAGTCGAAAAGAAGATAGGATTGCGTAAGCCTCGAACTATTATCTTGATTTTGACAATATATAATATGAGCATTGTTATGTTTATTGCATATGTACTTTTACATTTTTAAAAAAGACAGTTGGGACCCCTGAGAAGGATTTGTTATAGAAGTAGGCTTAGAGAATGTTGTTAGATACGTAAGAGATTAGAATAAACAAATAATTGTAGAAGCTGGTTTTATTAATATTCTAAAACCAATATAAAACATGGCGCAGTCGTTGTAGTAGTTTGATGAACGAATAATTATAGTTGAAGAAAATGGATATCAAACCGCCGAGAAAGTTTAGTTTTGAAGGAAATGTGCAGGAAAATTTCACAAAATTTATACGTCAATTTGAAGTTTATATGTTGGCAAGTGGTGGAAGCCTAAAAGAGGATCCAGTAAAAATTGCCATACTCCTTAATGTGTTGGGAGAAGAGGGTATTGAAATATACAGTAACTTTGAGTTGACAGACGCACAGAAGAAAGTATATAAAACGGTCGTGGAAGAGTTTATGAAGTATGTTAATCCTAGGAAAAGCATAGTTTATGAAAGATTCTTGTTTTACAATCGAAAACAAGAGTGTGGTGAATCTTTCGATCATTTTGTGAATGATTTGAGGACTGCAGTTAAGAGATGTGAATTCAAAGACTCCGAAGAAATGCTACGAGATAGGATAATCTTTGGAATATCTGACAAAGAAGTACAGCAAAAGTTAATTGTTAAAGGAAGTGTCACCCTGGCAGATGTGGTCACCATGTGTAGAACAAATGAAGCAGCCAAGGGCTATATACAGACGGTGCAGACAGAAGGAGCGAAAGCAGTGGAAGTACTCCAGAAGAAGAATGCAAGTTCAGAAACTTATAAGAAGAAACAGCAAGACGATAGTCAGAAGAAACAAGAAACAGTAACGAGATTTTTGTGTACCAGGTGTAAAACAAAGCATTGTGTTCGTAATTGTCCTGCCTTTGGAAAGAAGTGTCACCGGTGTGGTAAAATGAATCACTTTAAAATTTGTTGTAGAGTTAAGGAAGTTAGAGAAGTTAAGAATGACGAGTTCACTGCGGGTGGTTCAGAAGCAACGCTTATGGTGGAAGGCGTTAAGAAATATTGTTCGGGTGTTAACAGTGTTAGCAAAGCGTGGTATGAAGATGTAAAATTATGCGGTTCTGTTGTGAAAATGAAATTAGATACTGGGGCGGAGGTTAACACAATTCCAGAAAAGTTAGTAAGGCAACTCAAATGTATGAATAAGATAGTCAGGGACACAAAAATGTTGTTAGAGTCATGGGGAGGATATAAAATTAAGCCTTTAGGATTTATTGACTTGGACTGTACTGTTAAAGGTAAACGACACTTGATTAGTTTCTATGTGTGTATTTAATCCCAACCTTTGTTGGGATTAAATGCGTGCATTCAGTTAGGTCTCGTCAAGAGAGTAAATAATTTAAAAACATTAACTGAAGAAAATTTTCTTGATGAAAATAAAGATTTGTTTGTGGGAACAGGTAAATTTGGGGGTGTACATGAAATATTGTTAAGAAAAAATGCGATCCCTGTTAACAGACCACCTAGAAGAGTCCCAATTTCAATTAAAAATAAATTAAAATTGACTTTAAATGATTTAGAACAAAAAGGTATAATAAGTAAAGTTAATAGACCAGTTGAATGGGCTAGCAATTTGGTTATTGTTGAAAAACCGAATGGTAGTTTAAGAATTTGTCTAGATCCAGCTGATATAAATAAAAATATCGAAAGGGAGTATTGCCTTATGCCAACAATGGAAGAAATAACTGCAAAATTGAAAAATAAAGTTTGCTATACTGTACTAGATCTTAAAGATGGTTTTTATCACGTGCAACTTGATGATAAATCACAGCAGATTTGTACATTTAGTAGTCCGTTTGGGTATTATCAATTCAACAGGTTACCCTTTGGTCTGAAAACAGCACCAGAGTTATTTCAAAAATTAAATACAAACAATTTTGGAGACATTGAGGGAGTTACTGTATATATTGATGACTTATTAATTGCAGGGGAGACTGAAGAAGAACATGATGCAATACTCAATAAAGTTATTGATAGAGCCAGAAAGTTAAATATTAAATTTAATCAAAGTAAAGTACAATATAGAAAAAGTCAAGTTAAATATTTAGGTCATTTATTTTCAAAAGATGGCATGCAACCAGATCCAGATAGGATTAAATCAATAATTCAATTAAAAGAACCCAAAAATAAGAAAGATTTACAAAAGGTATTAGGCATGTTTAATTATTTTCGAAACTTTTTGCCTAATTTGTCAGAAATTACAGATCCATTGCGAAATTTATTAAAAAATAATGTAGTTTTTTCATGGACTGAACTACATCAAAATATTTATGATCAAATCAAAAATATGCTTACTGTAGCACCTGTGCTGACAAATTTTGATGATAAAAAAGAAATAACGATACATACAGATGCTTCTAAGAGTGGTTTAGGTTGTTGCTTGTTGCAAGAAGGAAGACCAGTCTCGTTTGCATCGCGTAGTATGACAACAGTAGAGCAAAATTATGCTCAAATTGAAAAAGAGTTTTTGGCTATGGCGTTTGCAGTAAAAAAATTTCATAACTATATATATGGCAAGCAAGTAACAATCTGTACTGATCATAAGCCACTGGTTTCAATAATGAATAAAAAAATTGCTGACATCATTTCTTCTAGGTTGCAGAGAATTAAATTAAAACTGGTACGGTATGATATAAAATGTGAGTATATGCCAGGAAAATTTTTACATGTTGCTGATTTGTTGTCCAGAAATTATTTAAATGATCCAGTGGAAGATGATGAATCGATGCTTGAAGTAGTACATAACATACATGCAATTGTAAACATTTCAGAGAATAAAAAAGTAACATTTCAAAAGGAAACTCAAGCAGATCCTGTTCTAAATAGAGTAAAAGAATATTGTTTAACTGAATGGCCCAATAAAATACATGATATTGATGACAATTCCAAAATTTTAAAATTTTATCACAGTGTTAGAAACGACTTGACTATTGTTGACGGAATAATTTTGTTTAAAAATAGGTTGTTAGTACCACCAAGTTTACGTAGAAGTATGTTGAATTTACTTCATGAAAGTCATTTCGGTGTTAATAAAACCTTAAGTCGAGCAAAAGAAGCATTATACTGGCCAAATTATGATAAAGAGATTATCACATTTATTAAAAGTTGTAAAATTTGTGAATCAAATCGTTCATCAAATGCAAAAGAACCATTGATAAGTCATCCTTTACCGGGTAGACCATTTTCTAAAATAGGATCAGACATATGTGAATATGCAAAGAATAATTATTTAATAATTTTTGACTATTACTCTAAATGGCTTGATGTAGTTCCAATTAGAGAGAAAAACTCAATTGAATTGATAAAACAGTTTAAAAAATTTTTTGCTAACTTTGGAATACCGGATTTACTGATAGCTGATAATATGCCATATTCTTCTTATAGTTTCAAAAAATTTTCGGATGAGTATGGGTTTAAAATAACAACAAGTAGTCCACATTATCCTAGAAGTAATGGGTTTGCAGAAAGTGGGGTAAAAATAGCCAAGTCACTTTTAAAAAAGAGCTGTGAGTTAACAACAGGTTTAATGTCTTATAGATCGACAAAAATTGTTGGTGTAGGTCTATCTCCTGCAGAATTAGTTTTTAATCGAAACATCAAAACCAAACTGCCAGTTCCTCAACGTACTTTAGAATTTAACACAGTTGATCCAAACAATGTAATCAAGAAATTACACACCAAACAACAACAGACAAAATACTACTATGACAGGACTACAAAAACTAAACCTAATTTTGTGAACAATCAAAATGTTACCTTACAAAAGGGAGGTAAATGGGAGTCGGCAAAAATTGTAAATAAATGTAATGAACCTAGGTCATATATTGTAAAAGATAGGAAAGGCCAATTGTTGAGAAGAAATAGTATACATTTAAGGGATTCTCTTAACGAATACGTTCCTATTATTAACTGTGACGACAATGATGATGACAAATTTATAGATGTATCAAAGCAAAGTGTTAGTCAGAGACAACGAAGAACACCCTCGCGATTTAAAGACTATATTTTGTACTAATTGTTAAGTATTAGAATTAAGAAGGGGGGTGTTATAGAAGTAGGCTTAGAGAATGTTGTTAGATACGTAAGAGATTAGAATAAACAAATAATTGTAGAAGCTGGTTTTATTAATATTCTAAAACCAATATAAAACAGGATTCACATCAAAAAAAGACATTTGGACCCCCCGAGAAGGTTTCACATTAAAAAAAAGACATTTGGCACCCCCGAGAAGGTTTTACATTTTTAAAAAAGATAGTTGGGACTTCCGAGAAGGTTTCACATTAAAAAAGCAGGCATTTGGGGTCCCCGAGAAGGTTTTACATTTTTAAAAAAGACAGTTGGGACCCCGAGAAGGTTTCATATTAAAAAAAAAAGACATTTGGGGTCCCCGAGAAAGTTTTAAACTTTTAGAAAAGACAGTTGGGACCCCTGACAAGGTTTTACATTTTTAAAAAAGACAATTGGGACCCGTGAGGAGGTTTCATATTCTTGAAAAAATACATTTGGCGCCCCCGAGAAGGTTTTATATTTTTTTAAAAAAAGAGAGTTGGGACTCCTGAGAAGCTTTCACATTAAAAAAAGACATTTTGCGCCCCCGAGAAAGTTTCACATTAAAAAAAAACATTTGGCGCCCTCGAGAAAGTTTTACACTCTTAAAAAAGACAGTTGGGACCCCTGAGAAGGTTTTACATTTTTAAAATAGACAGTTGGGAGCCCCGAGAAAGCTTGACATTAAAAAAGAGACATTTTGCGCCCCCGAGAAGGTTTCACATTAAAAAAAAACATTGACGCCCCCGAGAAGGTTTTATGCTTTTAAAGAAGACACTTCGGACCCCTGAGAAGGTTTTATTTTTTTTTTTAAAGACAGTTGGGAGCCCCGAGAAGGTTTTACATTTTTAAAAAGACAGTAGGAACCTCCGAGAAAGTTTTACATTCTTGAAAAAATACATTTGGCGCTCCCGAAAAGGTTTTACATTTTTAAAAAGGACAGTTGGGAACCCCAAGAAGGTTTCACATTTAAAAAAAAGCATTCGGGGCCCCCGAAAAGATTTTATATAAAAAAAAACATTTGGCGCCGCCAAGAAGGTTTTATATATTTAAAAAAGACAATTGAGACCCCTGAGAAGGTTTCACATTCTGGAAAAAATACATTTGACACTCCCGAGAAGTTTTTACATTTTTAAAAAAGACAGTAGGGACCCCTGAGAAGGTTTTACATTTTTTAAAAAGACAGTTGATACCCCCGAGAAGGTTTTACATTCTTGAAAAAATACATTTGGCGCTCCCGAAATGGTTTTACATTTTTAAAAAAGACAATTGGAAACCCTGAGAAGGTTTCACATTTAAAAAAAGGCATTTGGGGGCCCCGAAAAGATTTTATATAAAAAAAAAATTCGCGCCCCCGAGAAGGTTTTACATTTTTAAAAAAGACAATTGGGACCCCTGATAAGGTTTCACATTCTCGAAAAAATACATTTGGCACTCCCGAGAAGGTTTTACGTTTTTAAAAAGACAATTGGGACCCCCGAGAAGGTTTCACATTCTTGAAAACATACATTTGGCGCCTCCGAAAAGGTTTTAAATATTTTAAAAAGACAGTTGGCACCCCCGAGAAAATTTCACATTCTAAAAAAAACATTTGGTGCCCCCGAGAAGGTTTTAGATTTTTAAAAAAGGCAATTGGGACCCCTGAGAAGGTTTCACATTCTTGAAAAAATACATTTGGCGCTCCCGAGAAGGTTTTACATTATTTTTTAAAAAGACAGTTGGGACCCCTGAGAAGGTTTCACATTAAAAGAAACGCATTTGGCGCCCCCGAGAAGGTTTTACATTTTTAAAAAAGATACTTGCGAGTCCCAAGAAGGTTTCACATTAAAAAAGCATTCATTTGCGGACCCGAAAAGCTTTTACATTCTAAAAAAAATATTTGGCGCTCCCGAGAAGGTTTTACACTTTTAAAAAAGACAGTTGGGACCCCAAAAAAGGTTTTACATTCTTGAAAAAATACATTTGGCGCCTCCGAGAAGGTTTTAAATTTTTAAAAAAGACAGTTGGCACCCTCGAGAAGATTTCACATTGTTGGAAAAAACATTTAGCGCCCCCGAGAAGGTTTTACATTTTTAAATACCGGGGAGCGTATTCTCAACTTGTCTAGAAAGTGGGATAATTTCATCAATAAAAATTTGTTATGACGTCACAAACATAGATAAATACATAATAATAAAAGAGAGAAAAAAGGAAAAAAAACACGAAAGGCCAAGTTCGAAATCGAACCCGCAACTACTACACAATCAGCGAGTTGCCTGAGGTTAATCGTAAACTGCTAATATACCCTGCATTATGGAAGTTGTCAGGAAGATGTGATACCTATTCATAAAAGTGGGAACAAGAACTTTGTGAATAATTATAGAGGTGTCAGTAAAGTGCCTGTCTTTTCTAAGCTTTTGTTCTCTATAATTGCTAAGTAGCACGGCTTCATGGTAGAAAATCGGCAAACTCAAACTTAACTGAATTTATAAATTATTTGTTTCACAATATCGAATCTGGTTATGAAATTGATTGCATTTACACGGATATTAAGACGGCATTTGATCACATAAATATCTCGAAATTGATAGATAAGTTAAAGACCTTGGGAATTACCTACCAACTCACTGTTAGGATGGATTCAGTCATATCTCTTTGATCGTGTGCAAAGATAAGTATTTCGAATATAAAGTCTCGATTGATCGATATTACCTTGGGCGCCCCACAAGGTTCACACATGGGACCATTATTATTTCTAGTCTTCATGAACGACATCAATACCTGTTTCCGGAACAGTAGATTTTTGCTCTTTGCGATAGAATTGGCACTCCTACCGACTCAGAACTATTGCAAAGTGACCTCTCGAGATTCCAGCTATGGTGTGACTATAACAGCTTAGAATTAAATACATCTAAATGTATTAGAATTTAAAAAGTCCAAAAGCACTTCATTAAATCTCTCTGTTTTAAATTCAACATAGATTTTAATACGAGTAGTTATGTAAATATTCTCAATTATTTCAGTTTGTCGTATTTATGTACTCGCAGAAATTATTTTGATCTTTGTTTTTTGTTTAAAATTTTAAATAATTTATATAACTGTGCCAATATTTTATGTTTGTTTTCTCTGCGTGTTCCACCGTGTAACGTTATTTGATGTTCCTTACCACCAAATTGCTTATGGTTCTAATTCTACTCGTATAGTTCCCAGATTATGTAATTTAGATAAAAATCTCCGCCATGACTTAGAATTTTTCAATATTCCCTGTTCTACTTTTAAGCACAATGTAAAAACGGCCCTTGAAATGTAATGTTTTGTTAAATGGTAAAACCGTAATAAATTATTATTATTATTATGTTTTGCAAAAATTTAAAAGATTAGGGAAAAACTCAAAGGGGATTCGTAAACCACACTTGTAGGAGGATATTACTGTGTAATCGTTAAATCAAATAAACACAGAATTTTTTGAAAATGACGTCCTCGAATTGTTGGTGGGGATGAATAGCTAAATTTTGGTTAGTATTTAACCATGTTCGTCCATGATACTAATGTACAAAATTTGACAACAATCGGCCCAGCAGTTTCGGAGATTACTTGTTTAATATAAATGGATACCGACAGACAGACGGAAACGGGAGACCTATTTATTCGTACTATAATAGGGGTCATGAAACGTCGACCAATATAAGACTCGATTACTTTCTTTTTACTTTCCTTAGGTCACGCTCGGAAAGTATAAAGGCAATTTTTGTCGTGAAGTTTTTTTTAATGCATTTTTTAATATTTCACCCCATTTTTAATGTTATTTTTTAAAGAGTTGTGGATTTCTAAAGATTTTGACTATGATTGCAGCGAATCCATATAGAAACCGCTGACTTGGAGATTTTCACAAAAAAATAAAACATTTCATTGTCAAATTGGCCTGTTTAAAAAAAATGATAAACCACCTTATACTAAATTATGAAGCAAAATGTGGGGTGAAACGTACTATTTTACTTACTACCAATTTCCCTCTTTTTTTTGGTATTATATATATTATATATAACTCTCGAACAGATAACTTTAATCTATCGCAGCTTGTGTCACTTGTTCCTGTTTCAGAACATGATGTTATTGAAGCTATGTATCAACTCAAACCTAAATATACGGCTGGTCCAGACAAAATACCGGCATTAATCATCAGAGAATGTGGTGAGAGTCTGGCTAGACCTTTGAAAGTTTTGTTTAATTTATGTCTGGGAAGTGCTTCTTTTCCGGATATGTGGAAAGACGCTAAAGTGGTTCCGATATTCAAATCTGGCGATAAGACTTGTATTGAAAATTATCGTCCAATAGCCTTAATAAACAACTTTTCAAAAGTGTTTGAATTTGTTATTTACAAGCAAATTTTCTTTCAAGTTAAAAACTCATTGACAAAAATGCAACATGGTTTTTATTCTGGTAGGTCATCAACTACTAATTTGTGCGCCCTTACTCAATATATCTCCAGTTCAATAGACTCCGGTTTTCAGACTGATGTTATTTACCTTGATTTATCAAAGGCATTTGATAAATTAGATCATAGTATTCTCTTGACTAGACTTAGTAATATGGGCTGTACTCCAAGAGTTGTCGAATTTTTTTCTTCTTACTTGTGTAATCGTAAACAATATGTTTTCGTTCATGGTTTTTCTTCAGAGGAATTCATAGCGACTTCAGGGGTACCCCAGGGATCAGTTCTAGAACCTTTGCTATTCAATTTATTTATTAATGATCTCGTGGCGGAGCTGAACGTACCATGTCTACTATACGCGGATGACATAAAGATTTTTACTATCATCCGCAATCCTTCGGATTGTGAAACTCTTCAAAACAACCTTGACTTTGTTACAAAATGGTGTCGCATGAACAAGCTTCCTGTTAATAAAAATAAAAGTGTTGTTATGTCTTTCGGACTTAAGTTTGATGAAATATTGTGGAATTACACAATAAAGGATTTCCTACTGAGTAGACCGGAAGTAGTTACCGATTTGGGTGTGATAAAAAACTATCATTTGCAGAACATGTTCAGAGGACGGTAAATAGCTCACTTAAGGTTTATGGATATGTAATTCGCAACGCTAGAGAATTCTCTAGCAATTCTACTTTATTAAATTTTTTTAATGCGTTTGTCAGGAGCAAGTTGGAATATGCATCCGTTGTATGGTTCCCACATTATAAGTGCCATTTAAACAATTTGGAAAGAGTGCTCAGAAGATTTCTAAAATATCTATGTTTCAGAACTGATGGATTCTATCCTAGTGTAGGATACTCCCAGATCATACTTTTAGAAAGGTTTGCTGTTCAAACTCTTACTCAAAGAAGTAAAGTAGCGAAAGTCATATGTATTCCTACAAAAATTACTAAATTCAATTTTAGATTGTCCCAGTTTACTTGCACAGATCAATTTCCATGTATACGTAAGATCTTACAGTTCGAGGCAAGGATCATTATTTTATAATCACACGCCGCGTACAAATGTGTTGAAATATCTACCATTACAAACTATGTGCAGGCTAGGGAACTATGTGAATCTACACCTAGACTTATTTCATACCACAGTCAATGAGCTGAGGAGTCTTAAATATTCGGATTTATCTTGAATAAAATTTTTGTTTTAAAGGAAGAAGTTCGTGAAATAAATTTTACTGTTAAACATTAAATTCTGTGATGTAAGTTCTGTAATTGGAGGTCAACTCTGTTGAACATACTGAACAATAATAATAATATTGAGTTTTATAGGATTGCATAGATATATGGATGCACACTCCTGCATGTGTGATTATTTGATTAATGAATCCGTATCGAGTTTTCACCCTAGACATCCAGATATTTGAGGATAAAATCAAAATTGTATAGAATTGTGTAGCAACATTTTACAATTTAACTTTGAAATATTGTAAAATCGAATGCTCTGAAAACTTACAAACTTTTTAAGATTATCGTAAGCATGGTAAATCGTTAATTTAATTTTTTCGTTTATAGCCTTCTAAAAAATGATGACGTCATTTTATAATTTTGCAGAACAAATGCTTCTTAAATTTTATAGAACCACATACCTCTACCACGTATGTGTAATTTAGAATCCAAGTTCAGTTTTGACCCTAGACATCCAGATTTTTAGGAAAAAATTCAAAATTGTATTTTACGATTCAACTTTAAAGTTGCGAAAGCGAATGTACTGAAATATTGTAAACGTTTTAAGGTTTTAGGAAAAAATTATGACGTCATCTTAGAATTCTGCCGAACAAATGTTTTTTAAATTTTATAAAATTAGACATTCCTGTATGCGTGATTTATGAATCCGGGTTAAGTTTTTACCCTTAATTTAACTTTGAAATTACAAAAACCGAATGCTGTCAAATATGCAAATATTTTAAAATTATTTGAAACGTGGTAAATTTTTTAATCAAAATTTATCCATCATCTTACATTTTTGCCGAATTTCTTCAAATTTATAAGTGTTTTGGAGAAAAAAACGACTAAGAATCAGTCAGTTCTTTCCTCTACGTTCCAAATTCCATTTTCTTTCAATCGCTGATGCTTGTAATCTGAACGTGCTAATAGTCGAATTCAGTCGAAGAGAAGTTGAGAATGTCTAAATTTTTTCCCGTTAGTTATTTGCTTTATTAAATATATTTCGTGTTAACTACGCCACTTTATAGAGGTTAACAGTTATCACAAAACTAAAATCTAGTATACAATACCACAGGGGCACTTTGTAAATTTCCTGTTGGACCTCAATCCGACACGCTAAAAACTGAGGAGAGCTCGATCGCCATAATCAGAGCCATCGATTCGGTTCACCAAAACAGATAGACGAACACGCTTATATCTGAGCGGATCAAAACAAATTTTCATAAAATATAAAAAAAATGTGTAAGCTAATAAGTCATAGTGGTCACAATTGTGCAACAATTTTATAATTTATTGGATTATTCTGTCTGAAAGTTGTTCGTATAACAAGACAAAAATATGTGCGTAAATCCTTACGGATTAATGTACATAAAAGTTACCTCGAATCCCTGGAAAAACACATTAATCTGCTCTGGTATGTACCGGAGCTCTTGTTGAATCTGTCTAAAAGTAAATAAGAGTATAGACCTTTCCTGCAAACATTAATACATGAGAGCTTAAAACTTCTTTTTAATTAATTTTTTCCCCTTTGTCAACGTATATCACTTTCCCCCGGTCTCCTTTTTTTATCCACGGCAACAGCGAGATATAAAAGCAAATATTACATCTGAGTAAACTTGAATAAAAAATATAATTATGTGCTAAATGTTATAGTTGCGAAATTTAGACGAAATGAGTTTTTTCGTACGCTGGTCAACATTTCCCACTAAACAACAAGCATATAATGAATTCAGTACTCAACGTTCTCACAGGGGAATAAATAACGATTAATACGGGAATCGACTTACTCGTAATTTTGCTTGTCTTGTGGGCAATCGGTCAAGGCGATCTATGGACTTATGCTAGTAACGTTTTTGAATATATTAATAACCTTTCCGCCTTTTTTGGATTACTTAGTGGGTTCTAAAGGTTATCGCCTCGATGCAGAATTCTCACATTAGCACATTACAGTTGTGCTTTAAGGGTACTCCCAAATTGGCGTTGATCAAGGATGACTTCTGTTACCAACTCGTTTATCTCTTTGCTTTTTATAAGAAAGCGTAATAAAGTCCAGACGGATATCTTTATGTTCATTGTGTACTAATCATAAAAGGTCTAATATCTCAATAACTTAGATTATAACGCTGCTAATGTTATGACTAACCAAATACGTGATGATGGGATGTATCAATTGTTCTTTGTTTTATAAACATCTAATAATAAACAACACTAATAGTGCAGGTTAACCGAGATTATGTCTTATTCATTTCCGCTAAACTTTTTAGTTATCTTCTTATCAAAACCAAAGAGCTTCTTTGTTCTGTTTTCGTATGAAACGTAGTTTTATCTAACACTGAGGTTTTTCGGCGCTTAGTTGTGTCCGTCACCAAACAACATATTTTAAACATCATAAACATGGACGGTTTTGTTTTATTTATATTAAATACTTTCTTTGTGTATTTGAATATGTATGCTACGTATGCAAAACAACAAGACTTAAACATCGCATTATTTAAATTTGGCTTCGCCAAACGTTATAATAGGCGGCGAATGTTATGATTGTCCAAATTTTATGACACACTTGTTTATGGTATAAAGTAGCTAATATTAAAATAATTAATGTTTATTTAGACATTATTTTCAACTATTCTGAGTCACTAACCTCAACATTGGGTTAATACGTTACCACATAAAATTTCGTACTTTTTAGCCACAATTAACCACAAAAAGTACAAAGTAAACACCGAAATGCTTGTACTTTTTGCGTTTAAAGTTGAAGACTTTATCACATAAGGATATGAATATTTCAGTGTAATCTGAGCATTAAGGAAACCTGATATTGAATGTATCACTTTGAAATAAAAGTCGTTTTATGTTAAGATAGCCTGAAAGCCATCACTTTATTTACACAAATATCCTGTTTACAAAACTGATGTGAATTAAAATGTCGAACTATACAATGGGGCTGCCGGAACCAGCGCAGCCCCCCCCCTCAGTCGAGACCAGCTCGAACCGAACCACACAAATGAAAAAAGATGAGACACACGTGGCGAAACGTGAACTAAACTCTAACGAAGTTTTTCATTTTTTCAAATTAAAAGTGACAACACTCAGGGGAAGTCGAGAAGGCTAAATCCTCCTCTCATTGTCTAAATGATCCCGGTCGGTGCTGATCTCGTCTGTTAATAGTTCACGAGGATAACAAAGCTCAGAAAACGAGCTTCGCTCACAAAAATTAATAGATAACAATCTTGAAATTCTCTTAAATATATTATTTTATGTACATTGTTTCGTTAATTAGTTTCTAATGCGCCTCTAACACCATCACAGGTCTCCGGGAAGACAAAAGGTGGATGATTGTCGAAAAAAACAACACAAGATGATTTTAGTAACATATGCAAATAAAGCTTACAGAAATTATAAACTAAAGTACCTCGTGTCTTTCAAGTCAGCATGCAAATCTACAATAGCAAAATAATCATTAATCGAGTTAGGTGAAAAAATAAATAGCTGCAAGTCTTCTAAAGTAAATTATTCTATAAATATAATAAAAAAAAGCGTGATGATCGGTCGTTTGAAGAGTCAGTTTACCACTTATCTACTACAGCTTCGCCAACTGAAACAGAATTAATCATTGCGTAAGCACGTGTAAGGCATTATTGAGAGTTAAAAGGGAAACATAGCAATCCAAGAATTAGTAAGGATCCGAGAACTCCTAGGGAAAACAATCACTTCCAAAACTGGCTCATCCTGTCATCATGATGAGTCTGACGTTATTCGCGGAACACAAATTTGGATACTGGAAAAATCAAAACCACCATAAATATGTTGTTCATGTGTGAAGGAAATAACAGTAGGTACATGGAAATACTTACACGAGCGCATCTCTGATCTGTTATTGACTGATTAAATACAACAAACAGAGGAATTAGTCAACAAGCTAGTGTTAGAGCAAAAACTCTAAAAACCCTGAAGGCCAAGTGTTTATTATCTAACAACGTACAAATGGTATCAAGGCCAAAATGTCATCATTAAAACACAAACTGTGAGGTATATTAAAAAAATTAATGAAATAAACACACAAAATGCAGAAAAAACAGTTATTAGCAAACACACTGGAAAACGTTTATAACTTTATTATTTTAATTTATAACACTGCCCATTACAAATATTTACATTTTTGTAACAGTTTACAGATAGTGTAAGACAAACAGTTTCCAGAAGAAAAATGAGTTTAAAAATTTTCATACGCACACAAAAATAACTATAAAAACGTCCACAATAAATATGAAAACTATTTGCCAAAACATCTGACGGTGTGCATTGAGAATGCACCAATAAATTAAAACTAGTAAATCACAAAATTATCTCTATTTACATACATTACAAACTGGCTGAACGAAAAATTTTATGATTTACTGAATACAACAAGTTTGAAAATTAAGAGGTGAGAACGGACCAGTGATAATTCCAAATTCGCAGCAGTAAGTACACGAATTGTCTAACTTACGCTAAGTAAAATGGACGAACGACTATTAAAAAATATCACCGAATTTGAAAAACGTTCAATCTCATCAAAGTCTACTCTAGATCGAATAGTCAAAGAGTCGCGACTAAACTTGAAATTATTCCTGGTCGACAAACATGCTTCTCGATCGAATTCACTAGTTCACACGCCATTATCGTATGGTCTTAAACATTCGTTGCTGTTCAAACTGTCAGTCTTGTTGCGTTTTGTTTGACCATGCACTTTTATTAAGGTTTTTGTCTGTACGGATCACAACACTTGAGGATTTATGTATCAACACGACTTGCCTGTTCTTGTCGAGTAATTTTGACGTCATCGCGTTCAAGGCATGCAGTACCGCCATTTCTGTTACCAGTTCGTCATTTGAATCACAGGAATAAACATGCCTTGAACGACTACGGTGGAAGACAACACCTGCATCTTCATGTTAGGGTACTAGAGGGCGCTAGCAGTTATGTAGCATAGCCAAGTTAGTGAGTAAACGAGGTCGTTTTCGAGAAACGAAAAGTGGAACCAAAGTACCTAACCCATACCCATCATCATTAAAAAAAGAACGTAAAATTGCACTTTTATTATTATTATTATTACTTTCCTTGATAAACAATTATCAATTTAAAGGCACTTGATGTAAGAGAGAGAAAGAAAAAAAAAGAAACAAGACTTCAATTTGGTCCTATTGTCGTACCCGTTTACGCACTAACACTGTCCTCGATGAAGGAGGCAGTCACATTTAGATAGGGCTTACACACAGTAAACCAAAGAAAACGGCCCACATTAGTACAATCCAATGCACAGTGTAAATTGGACTCTCACCGTCTGTGATCTTTCTTGCAACAAATTTGAGCGTTTCATCAAGTAATACTACTGGAATTGAGAATTTCATTACAGTTATCCATTCGTCTACATTCAAAGGAGTCACTTGGAACACAGCCTAAACAAAAATTGTCAATCTACCGGACATCGAACGACAACTTGTACTTACGGATAAGACTTCAATGTACAGGATAACGAAGTGAAGGGTGAAAGAAAGAGCCATGGAGCCCAGCAACCACCAGTTGGACCATGGAGGCATAACGATCAAGGACTGGTTCTCAGACAAGCTGTAAAAACACGTCAGTACCCGAAATCCGAACCCTCAAAAAACACCCACCTGTTCATTGCGTTCAACATTTCAATTGTTACAAGTACGGAGAGAGCCATGGTCATGGGATGAGGATCGTTGAAAACTTTGCAGTCGACGCCCTTGAATTCGGGTCCTCCGCTGATGCATTGCAAGTGATGCGTCTACGAAGAAGCCGAAATTAAGCCACGTCATACCAACAAACTACATAATATTTGTAGCTCAAAAATAGGAAGCCCTAAAGATTGACAAAGTATCGTCCACTATGAAGAAATCAATTCGAGTATTAGTGGTACCCTGACGTCACCATTCAAGATCCGAGGTTTAGCAAGCGTGACTTTGAAAATTAACCACTTCAAAAAATTCCACTATTATTTTATTATCTGGAACATCACACACGTATTTGATATAGGTTTAGGTAAAAATTTGATTGTAGATAGAGGGAAAAAAGTACAACTGGTAGTTTTTTTGTTTTACTTAGCAAAATTTTAGGTGACGTCACCGATTTTTTTTCTGGGGAGGACTAGACACATACTAACTACTCTCTTCTGTCCGACATTCCCAACCGAATTACTTACCAATTGATAGTAAGTAAGTTGTGGCCCCTCTGGACTATACATGAACCACCATGCAGCAGCTCCAACAGTCGCAGCACCTACATATCCACCAATAGCGAGGTACCTAAAGAACAACCATCCCGAAATAAGAGATTCATCGGCCTTCCTGGGTGGCTTAGCCATGATGTCGAGATCAGGAGGATTGAAACCCAAAGCGGTAGCCGGGAGACCGTCAGTGACCAAGTTGACCCACAGCAGTTGTACGGGGATCAAAGCCTCGGGAAGCCCAAGAGCGGCAGTCAAGAAAATAGACACGACTTCACCAATATTCGAGGAAATCAGGTACCGGATGAACTGCTTCATGTTGTTGTAGATGGCGCGACCTTCTTCAACGGCAGCTACGATAGACGAGAAGTTATCGTCGGCGAGCACCATCTCGGAGGCAGATTTGGCGACGGCGGTTCCGGAACCCATGGCAATACCAATTTCGGCCTTCTTCAAAGCTGGCGCGTCATTCACACCGTCACCAGTCATGGCGGAGATCTCGTTCATGCTTTGCAAGTACTCAACGATCTTGGACTTGTGGGAAGGTTCTACGCGGGAGAAGAGCCTGGAGCGGGCACAGGCGGCTCTTTGATCAGATGGGCTCAAGTCGTCGAATTCGCGGCCGGAGTAGGATTTGCCGGTGGTATCTTCTTCTTCGGTGAACACGCCAATACGTCTGCAGATAGCCTCAGCGGTGGCTTTGTTGTCGCCGGTGATGACGATGACACGGATACCGGCAGCGCGGCACTCGGCGATGGAGTTCAAGACTTCCTTGCGGGGAGGATCCAACATGCCTACGACGCCGACGAAAGTGAGATTGACTTCATAAGTGTAGAATTTGGTGGAGTCGCCCAAGTCCATTTCTTCGGGTTTGAGTGGGTTGTCGCCGGTGGCGAGGGCAAGACAACGGAGGGTGTCACGACCGGTGCCGTATACCCTGGTCAGATCCAAGATGCGGTTCTTCAGAGCGTTAGTGAGAGGAACTTTCTGGGTGCCGACGCGGGCGTGTGTGCACCTGTCCAGAACGCCCTCAGGAGCGCCTTTGACGAAGAGCTTAGGACCATTACCCAATCGCGAGGGTTTGAGAGGAACGCAGTACGAAGACATGGATTTGCGATCGCGGGAGAATTCGAGAGTGAACTCCTTCTTCCATTTGGTTTCGATGTCTTGGCGGACGCAGATGGCGGTTTGGCGACGATCTCCGGATTTGGTAACGTTGAAGGGATTCATCTTCTCGGCCAGCACGATGAGGGCGGTCTCAGTGGCTTCGCCTACCTTCTCGAAAGCCTGTTTGAACTCGTTGAAATCGATAGCCGAGTCATTGCACATGATGCAGATCACGCCCAACTCGTGCAGACCGTCGTATTCGGCGCATTTGACTTTCTGGCCTTTGGAGAAGACCTCACCGATGGGTTCGTAGGTGGAGCCGGTGATCTCGAACTCGTGGAAGCTGCTGTCGTTACCTTCGATCTTTTCGAAGACGAACATACGCGAGACGGACATCTGGTTGGTGGTCAAAGTGCCGGTTTTGTCTGAGCAGATGACGGAGGTGCAGCCTAGGGTCTCTACAGATGGAAGAGACCTGACGATGGCGTTCTTCTTGGCCATACGGCGGGTACCCAAAGCCAGACAAGTGGTGATGACGGCCGGGAGACCCTCCGGGATGGCGGCTACGGCCAAGGCGACGGCGATTTTGAAGTAATAAACGGCACCCTTGATCCAGGAACCGCCGTGGGCGGGATCGTTGAAGTGACCGATGTTGATGGCCCATACAGCGACGCAGATCACGGAAATGACCTTCGACAGTTGTTCGCCGAACTCGTCGAGTTTTTGTTGCAGGGGTGTCTTGATTTCTTCGGTTTCGGACATCTCGGTACGGATTTTACCGATGGCGGTGGCCAGGCCGGTACCGATGACGACGCCGCGCGCCTTGCCGGCGGCGACGTTAGTACCTGAGAAGAGGATGTTCTTTTTGTCCTGGTTGACGGCTCGCGGGTCTGGAACGGGATCGGTGTGTTTGATCACGGAAACGGATTCACCGGTCAAGATTGACTGATCGATACGCAACGTCGTGGAGAAGATTTTCGTTAGACGGATGTCGGCGGGGATTTTGTCACCCACGGAGACTTCAACGATGTCGCCTGGCACGATTTCTTTCGCCCGGATTTTCTGGACGCCGGATTTATCCCCTCGTACCACTTTGCCCATCTCGGGCTCGTATTCTTTGAGGGCTTCGATGGCGGATTCGGCATTTCTTTCCTGAAACAAAACGCCTCGTTAGTCGTTAGCGACGGCGATAATTGCGTAATCTATGTCCGGGTTCTTATCGCATTAAGCTTTATCAACGTTACGTTAGATTTAACAATGCTTCATGTGGAACGGTTTGTTTAAAGGTAAGAAAATCCTTCGTCTCGGATTCTGTACTTTTCCACGGAGTTATTTTCAGCTTCTAAATGAACTGACTTCGGATTGCCACTAAAAGCAGCTCTGTGGCTTTCATGTGGGGCGGCTTTGTTAACACAAGTTTCATTTCGTTTCAGCCACTTACGGCCTCGGATTCGAACTGTCGAACAAAACCTGAATTACGTCGAGGGAGAAACACGTCGCGAACTTCAAAAAGACACCTCTAATTATAATTTAGAACCTAAAATTCCATAAACGTGACACAAATTGATAATTATGACAAATTAGAATGTTACATACAAGGAAGAATAAAAATTACCAAAATGGAATATTTTTTATTACTACATTTCTTTATAAGAAAGGAAAATTACTACACCTTCATTAATAATGTTATTAAATTTTGACACTATTCATGTGAGACAAACTTACGACGTTAGTTTTGAAATAAACTGTTAACGAAAAATCAATCAATTAGAATTTAAAACGTACATTAAAATTTCACGTACAACTAATTAGTCGCGATACAAGTTGTTGACGCTCTTAAATTTAAAATTTCTGAATATACTACATAAAATAGGCAAGGCAAATAATTTAACTGACCGCAAAAAAAGGGTCAAATCGAGGTGTATTATGATCAGGGGTTAAGCTTCACGTCTATAAGGGGAAAAACGGAAGAGACCGGTCAATAATATCTAAGTTTGTGGTGAAAATGGAAGCCAAAGGTACGGAATGAAAAAAATAAAATTCTTAATTTAGCAGCAAATGCCAATGTGTCTTAAACCCATTGAAATGTTAACATTCGGCCGTTAACAAACTTAAATAATCTACTTTGAAGGCTTGGACTAACTAAATAACATACATTAATTCAATCGTGATAATAATTTGTCAGTGAAGAAGTTATTATCTTTTTTGTTCTTCTTCAATAAATTGTGTCAAGTCAATTATTTTCATTGTCCGTCCAATACTACCGAGAAAGGACATCATTTTTTACATAATTTGTTATTTTTATACAAATGTATGCCATTCTTTCATACAATATAGACGAGTTTAATTAGAATATTACCGGGACGACAAAAATATGTACCCTGAATTATTAAAGAGACAATTAAAAATGGAATTTAACGCTTCATAAGACGATCGAAAAATCATATCGCTCTTTCGCTCCTTTTTTGAGACAACGAATACTCTTCTTTTATAATTACTTTAATCAAAGCAAAATTTCACATTCCTTGCTCAAAACCTTCCTGTTACGCGCTGCTTAACCGCTAAGAAACAATTTTCTTTAATGTGAAAGTTCAAAAGTTTCCACTTGACGTGTAATCAACACGAAATATGCAAACTCTAACTCGGGTTCAAACAAAACGGCGATAAAGATACTCGATTTACTAAAATACCACAACCCTGCTCGCGACAGCCCATGCCAACCAGTTTATCAAATTTAAAAATAACCTAATATTTCAAAATGTCAAACAGCACCTGCCGCACGTCTGACTAAAATTTCATTCGTATTAAATCCCACGCCAGAGTGAACTCTACATTTCCAATTTTACACTAATAGGGTGCTTTTCCTGGGATTTCCCTAATCTCTCGCCGACCCGAACTCGATTATACCGCCGGGAAGAATTAGAAATTAGCTTCGGCGACGAATCTACATAAATTTGATCCATCCGAACCCGGACAGTTTATTTTTAACTTTGTTTTGATCCGACTTAACTCACCTGCCATACACCGACGACAGCATTAGCAATAAGAATGAGAAGAATGACGAAAGGTTCTACGAATGCGCTGAATGCTCCATCGTGCTCTTCAAACAAGGCGAGAACCTGGAAAAAATATTCAAGTGTATTACTCGTCCACAAAGTATGCGTTGCAGTTATGTAATCTTTTCCCCGGGATGACCCAATTTACATCTGTGCAAATACTCGACCGCATTCATTCATAAAACCATTAGTTAAGTGATTTGGGAGCTGTAATAGCTCCAGATGACCCGCTCGAGTATATTATTACAAAGCTAACAAGTCGAGCTCGCAAGTATTTGCAAGAATTGTTTGTTTCTGCACAATTGAAACGGTTGCGACATGTCAGTCGTTTTTTAGTTTATTAAATTTGCGTATGAATTATTTCAGGGGCGCATATGTGGTCCGTTATTATTTTTGAATTTCACTAATGACCTTTGCAACTAACTACAAAGTAAAAAGCGGACCGGTTCTCTTGTGCAGATACAAAAGGTCCAAACCCCATGACGTCGCAACGCTTGGATGTCGATCGTTCGTCAATAAAGCGATCTCTTCTACGTCATACTTACGAATGAAATGATGGCGGCCAACAATAAAATCTTGACTAGTAAATCATCGAACTGTTCTAAAACTAATTGCCATATGGACTTTCCTGCAAAAAAAAAAAATGCTTTTACGTAAGCTCTGCACTCTCAAACAGTGAGATGAAACTGACCACATGGTACACAAAAAAAGGTCAGCGTGAAGATTTACAGCCTCGCAAAAAAATTTATATTGTAAACTTTACGGCATAGTTGTGTTTTTGTTTATTTAGCTCCAACGTGGCCAATTAATAAATAAAGTTCCTAGTTTTAAAATTACCACTCGCCTCTTCGCATTCCCGCTAGACAGCTTTATAGTTGCGTTTTCACGTGAAAATCGTTTACATCGCGAAAAATTAACGATCTTATCGGTATTTTCTTAAAATAAGTCCAAATCTACACGAGCTGTGGTCACGCGCAGGCTGCGTCCGGAACTCCTAGGGGCCGAATCTATAATTCAGCTCCGCGGAGGAATGAAGAGCTCTTAAAAAAATAATAAAACCGGTCGAGGGCTTTTCTATGTGAAACGAATTGCGAAAATCGACGAGAAGGGTTTTTACCGACTTACTGATTGACACTTGTATGAAGTTTTAAGCGACATACATGCAGAACAATCGAACAGATAGGAGGTTGGGGGCTGTAGTTTTGACAACGATTTCACGAGAGAACGCTTTCATTCGATCGACTATAAATATCTCGTTGACATACTGGAGACAATGCGCTGCAATCAGTCGACGAGTTTTCGAATTTTAGGGGAAACTCATATTAACATCGAGATGTTAATCGAACGAGGGATGTTTGCGAAGAGGCCGCTTGATTGTTAGCTCTCAAGTGTGTGCGGCAGTAGCTATGTATATATTGTGAAAGATTACGGACACATAAACGCAATACGACCGTGAAGGAGAGTGGAAATAAATTTTTGTGTTATTGAATGGTAACTTTTTTTTTTTTTTTGAAAATCTATGAAGGTTTTAATAGCATCAAGTTTTTGCAAACACTATAATTCTATTCTGAAAGTAATTAACAGTTCTATTTAAGGTTAAAAGCTTATAAAAGTTTAATTAACTTTATATAAGTCATAAACCTATCTCAATTTATGAATTCCAGGATACATCAAGGCTTATAGAGATTTTAATGAAATATTTACGCCAACTCTCTTTACTCACGAGGTAGTTAATGCTCTAAAAACTATATAGAGTGGAATATTTCACGTTTGTGCAACCTAGTGGTTTGAGATATTTTAAGAGAAAGCATTCAAGTATATTTAAAAACATTAAAAAAAAAGTCCATTATTTCGTTTCATTTTTCCTACTTTTTTATGGAACAGTTCTAAAAGATTCCTTTTAATACCAGTACGTTAAGAGTTTATCTTAATTGTTTTTCTGTTATTTTTTTTTTCTTTGACCTAAAGGTAATAAAATATACATCGTCGTTGATAACTCAAACTCTGCAATATCCACCAGGAAACGGTTTTTTTTTGTTTCAAGTATTAAAAAAAGACAATTACTATTTTCTATGAAGTACAAGTCAGTGGATAAATTGAAACGAAAGCGGACTTTAAATTAATTTTGTCGATTTTGAAAAAAAAATGTGTATAGTACAACAAAAATATATTCAAAAGCAGCAAACATGATCAGACCACGTCAATTCCTATAATAATCACATGTCAGATGAAATAAATAATTACTAACGTTAGCGTCATTTGCCGCTATAGAGTAATAAATTCCAAATTACATTGAAATTACTAATGTTTTGTGGTTTTCGTACAAGCAAAATACATTTGGTCAGTTTTAATACAAAATTAATTAATTTCGACATAGACGTTTAGCGACTCTAATAGACATCACAGTATGCTAGTATCAGAATTATAGTAAACATGCAAGAAGATGACAGATCTAACAGATCTTTCTGGAATTATTATTAGACTTTTTTTATTTAATTGCAGTAAGGTACCAGAAAAATTAAATTGTCTATCAAACTGAAGCAAAAAAAATTGATTGTACAGAAACGTAGTTTTCAAATTGTTTTAACGAGAAAAATGTCAATATTGATTTTGAATAAGCATTAGAATCGCCAAAGCAACTGAGTCTATAAACTTGGAATTTTTTTTAATATGAACCATGAGCAAATAAACAATTTTTTAGACACATTTTTTACATGTGGTGACATTTGAAAAGTGCTCTAGTAAATGTCTCCGTCGCAACAATATTCTCATAAGTGTAAATGTCAAACTCACGTCAGAATCAATGGAGTGCTAAAATCGTCACACTCTGTCAATCAGTTTGCGAAGCGACAAATCTGTGACGTTTTTATAACCTCACTATCGCTGACGTAAATCTGACATTTATATTTAGTGGAATGTAGTTACGCCAACAAAAGTAGTTTTAGTATAACTTTAAATTGAATGTCAATATTAATTCTAGTTTAAATATACAATACAAAAAATACTGAAATAATTTTAGCAAAACTTGACATTCAAGAAAATTAAAAACAATTCCCGTTGTTTTTGTCAATTTTGTCCACGTTCATCATATAAACGAGCACTTTATTAGCCGTCAATATTCACAACAAATTACACGTCACCTATAAAAAATTAACCCAACCCATGACGTGTATTTCCCGCTTACCCGCAATAATGAAATGCTAGTTGTGGCATTCTCTACTATTACAATTCACCAAGTCTCTGAAACTTTAATGACTCCAACTAATAATTTTCTAGATTGAACACGACCCAAAAAAAAAGTATTCCCAGCGTACATTGTTAATGTGCTCGTCACAGTAAATAAATATTACCAGGAAATTAATGAGATTAAAGATACCCGTTAGAAATATTAACATGTGCTGATAAAACCATTCAATTATTTCCACATTCCGACACAATATACTAATGCCGTGTAGAATAACATAAAAGTCAATATTGATATCGACAAAAATTACACCTGTTGCACACTATGTATTCACACGTACCTTCTTCCGCTGGAAGTTCTGTAACAAAAAAGAGACATCATTAGTAAGCTGTAATATGGTAAGATTGGTCACATGATGATGTACCATTATGCAACAATATTTACTTTACGCCTCGTGTTCCCCATTTATTTTACTTAAAAAAAACCGTTCTGATTAATTTCTGTAAACCCACTACAGAAACAATTTACTTGAACACAAAAACATCCCAAGGCTGGCAAGTAACGTCACATCTCTGACGTTTCATCGACGTCATAAAAAATCAATGTCACTGCGAAAGTGGTACACAATTATCATTATCACAACAACGAACGCATGTTCCTGTATCTTTTCGTAGTCGTAATTTAATCATCGATACTGTGACAAAAATCAAACAAAAGATTTTAGAAACGAACGTGATGCAAACATAACACGCATTGAATATTAATTACAATTCGAGCGTCAAATTTTAATTTTTCGTCGCCACACAACAAGCCGGGATTTGCTATTAAACACGTAATAAACTTTTTTACGACATTTAAGCCTCCTGATTTGATTTTAATAGACCAATCACGTTTTTCTAAATCCCGTTTTTACAATCAACATTTTCCGATACACCGAGCACTTATCTATACCGCGGGATAAGCATAATCAAAAACTAATAACCGTTGAAAGTTTCCAGCGACCTTCCGCGAAATTGGATTTTTTTGTTAATTTAAATTTAAACCGGCGGGTAAACACATAAATATTTCTGCTGAATTATTCACAGCAGTTTTTTCCCCGAAGGATCAAGTCCGTTTTAACAGTGGTCTGTAAAACTGTTGGAATTATAGATAATACACGCCACGGGGTGATTTTCGAGGACAAGGACTAACAAGTAATCCTTTGTGTTGTTATTGTTGCATGCAGTTTTACAATGGTTGTTTAAGTTGGCTGGGCCTTGGGCGAAACTGTTCGGTATAAAAGTATTCAGGTGTGTATTTAAAGGAGGGAATAAAACAGTAAAAGCCGATCATAAAAACGGACACATGTGTGCGCTTCTTTCGTTTACAATGTAAACGCTGACGTCAGGAGATTAATTCTGAGCGTAATGCTAGTCCGGCTCTGTATTAACACGTCACTACCTTGAACAAATCAAATAGCGAATTTAATGGGGAGTATAAGATGGCGAAACTAATGAATAATAAAAGTTTGAATGGGAAAACTCTCAACAATGGCCAACTTCGAGAGTGTGCTTTGTTCGCGGCTCGGAAACTTCCAAGAAACGAAGCTGAATTCAAGGTATTGGATGCGGATGCGTCAATTTTAAAATCTGATTCATCTTGAAGGATTTTTTCCGAAACTAATTTTTTTTTCAAAGGCGACCTCCGATCGTTGCGTAAAACGTTTTTTTTTAGATATCACTACTGCTTGAACTTTTAAAGTTTACAACTTTTGTGTACTTGGAATTCTTGGGGTAATAAACAATGGAAGATCTGCCAGACAAACAATATACAAATCAAAATCATCGGTGGTTTTTTATTGAAACACGTGTCAGGATTCCGTGGGTGTTTATTTAAATGTTGATTTTTTTTTCTTGTTTGAATTTACTTTATACTTATCAGAATAAACATCATTGTTCTTTTTGAAGTAAATGCAGTGCCTATGCAAACATCTTATCAAACAAAAATTTCGTGTGTGGATTCTGTTACTAGACTAGTCTGTACCGCGGAATCTCGAGTAAGAAAAATTCCATCTCTTTGTTCGGGATCTAACTCTCGTTTTGCAATATTGACTTTTTCTATGAAAATACATCGTAGTGAGGTTTTCTTCGAAGCTTCGCCAGTGCAGTGACACACACGTTCATAAATTCAAATAATACGCTTTCAAAGTCAAACCTTATTACACGTAAATAATAGAGTTCGAGTTTGTTGCGTACACGTATCGACTAAAGAGTTAATAATAAAATTAAATAACACCATTTGTGGTAGCACTGTTATATTTTACGACTATAATCGACGTTTGCTGTCCTACATACTTTCACATTATTTACGATCATTTTCATTTTTACAACACACTACTTCAAATTTCCAGTAGTCCACTAATTAGTTTATAAATGTACATCAGCAACGTGCATTAAGGTACGATTACACTAATCCGTTGTCGGTCTGTTAAAATGTTGAGTGATCGGTGACTGACGAAAACGTAAATGTCCTTGTGAATTTGTTACCAATTATTTTTCGGAGCGAACCGACAGACGGAATCGTGTAATTATGCATTGAAATTTTTATTCCTCTATTAGTAATATTATTTACAGGTTTTTTATTCATTTTTACACTTCGTATCTACTGTATTTTTTCTATGTTCATTGAAATACTTAATTACTGTTTTCTTCTACAGCTAACTAAGAGTATTAATTACTTTCTTAGTTTAATGTTGCGTGACCTTTTTTAAATTATTAATTATATTTTAAATTACAGTACATTTTTCCGTGTACAAGAATTAGTTCAAAATGGATTTATTCCAAAAAAATATGTGAAAAAATTTAAAAGATAAATATGAATCCACGATAAATGTTTATTAATTGCCTACAATGTTTGATACACAAAGTTGTGATAAATAACGAGCAAACATTTTTTACAAAAAAAAAGGACAAAACACCATTAAATAGAAAGCTTACATACGCTGCTATGGCGTATTTTTTTATTCAAACGTTATTTTCTCCCTAGCCTGTAGGTCAAAATTTACAAATGTCTGTCCACGTCATAATTGAATTGTTGTCACCTACCCAAACTCCACAGTAGTAGAGTTTAATTTAGCCGCTTTTAACTACCGACCCAATTTAAAGAAAATAAAACACGAAATTATTTTTTTACAAATGTTCAACGGTGCAACACGGACTATTTAGCATTTAGTAATTATTTCATTACTGATTGTTTTACCAGTTTTTGACGAAACCATAAATGAATAATAACCAGAAAATTACATAAAATATAGTTCCATAAAAGCACACTTCAGATCGTCACTATAGCAACGAATATAGGGCGTCTAATATTGGAGAACACAATTATCTTGTACTGATATTCTCCAGGGAAAAAAATTCTCGTTCCATTCCTTTCCTTGGAAATTATTTATTAATTTTGCGTTCAGTTTCAGTGACAAAAAATATTGACTATTTATAAAATGTATTAACTTTATTTTCATTATTAATTAATCAGGTTTTATTTTCAATTAAACAAAGTATTTAATTTGCTCACATAGTAAAGTTCTAGAACTCCGAAAATGTCATTTCATTGTGGACTGACAAATCAGGTGACAAAATAAGATCTCCCACTATTCTAACCTCTAATCATATTTATAAGTGACACACGTCCATAACTCAAATAGTACAATTTCAAAGTCAAACTTGACACATGGATAACGGCGTTCGAGTGTGTTGCGTACGCTTATCGCCTAAAGAGTTAATAAAATTAACAAATCCTATTTGTGACTGCATTAACCGGCGCATTTTAACTTTGATCTATTTGTAAGGGCAATAATTCATGTTAAACGCGATAATTATTTTGGAGCACACCCTGTCTATTTATATCATAACTAAAAGAAAATTATTGGCGTTTTATTTAAGCCGGATTATTTACATATGGCTATAAAGAAATAACAATAACATTATGACGGATTTATGGCGGAAGCGCAAAAATATGAGATGTGCGTTGTTCCGGTCACGTTATAATAATCCATTCATCATATTAAGATAAAATTTTTGCAGCAATATTTTCGTTGCATAACGGGAGAAACTGATTACAACACATTTTATTTCGATTCAGTCTATTTTGAATATTGGTGAAGTTTATTTTTAGGCCCACTGGGGTTTTGAAATGAGGCTAATTTTAAGCGGCAAATTAAAGAAAAGTAACATGTGGTTGTGGGAGCTGAATCATTGCACGGCAAAGTAAATCAGCAAGTAATCTAAAGTACGGGCGTTATCAAGATTAAATAATCGTGTTGCGTTGTGGTACATCATGACGAATAGGTTTGGCGCTTACCGTTAGGTCCATATTTCTCCTGATTCCTTTTGACTTGATCAGGCGTGAGCCCCCGTTCTGGGTCGGTACTAAAATAATTTAATACTTCATCCACCGTTTTGGCGTGTCCGTCCTCCATGGTGTTTGTCAGTCACTTCTGTAAGAAAATCAAGCGTGAGTTTTTGCTGGGGCGATAATTATCGAAATGTGAGGTTACATGTGGCGAGGCCCCGAAAATGCAAGTCAATAACCTTCGCGAATTTATGATTTAACCAGAAAAGTGTAACGGTAGTGACGTACCCCATTTACAAAACTTGGTACTCACCACACAGGAAACGTGCATTAACTATCAAGTATTTACGTATTTTATAACCTAAAATGGTCGCGGTTTTCACAGTTCGGGGGTTGCTCGAGGGCGCGTTCACGACACTATTCACCGTCTCACGAACAATTTTTCACAAATCACCAACATTTTCTCTGAAGCGACGGGTCTGCAAGAGCTCACGATTGTCAAGTCCGTATTACAGCCTCATTACCGGGAGTCGAGCCACGTTCGCGATCTGCGCAGCGTGACAGGCGCTTTTGTCATTAACCTAACTTCGTCGAGGAACTTTATCGGCTCGCAACTGGCGAAAATCGCGTGGAAAACGCGTATAAATGACTAAAAATTCAAGCGAACGTCATTATACCCTGACTTTTCCCTTTTGACAAGCCACCAAACGGGCGTTTGTTTCGCAGCATGTGGACTCCGCTGATTGGTCGACGGCCTTTCCGCGCCAACGCGCCAAATTTAAACTTTCTATCTTAGCACGTGTTGCACAACCGGACTGTGGAATACGTCACTTTGGTGAACGCTAATAGCCGATTTTCCCGTTAACCTCTTTTATTAGAGAACACTCAAGCGGAAAAGTACGCAAAAATGCAAATAAATCGAGCCAACGGTTTATACCCTGATTTTTCTCTTTTGACAAGCTGTGGTGTTTCGCAGCATGTGGAGTCCGCTGATTGGTCGACAGGCCAACGCGCTAAATTTGAACATGAACCTTAGCACGTGTTGAAAAAATGGATGTGAAATATCTCGGCGAAGTGCGTCATGGCGTCATTAACCTTACTTTATCAGAGAATGCTCAAGGCTGAGAATTGCGCAAAATGTGACAATATCAAGTAACGTCATTACGCCCTGACATTTCTCTCTTGACAACCGGCAGACCGTCGAATGTTCCGGAGGTGTGAAGTGCAGCGATTGGTCGAGCTTCTGTGTCAGCGCGCGAAAATGTAAAGCAACTATTCGAACTTAAAGTTAAAGAATAAATCAGTACTAACGAGGCACATCATGTCATACAGTACAATAAAATTCATTTTGTAAATATAAAACAAAAAAATATTAAAAAAAAACTGCGCTAAGAGTGGCGTCCTCTTACGGTCCATCTATTACCAATCCGGCGAAATGTCAACAGTCTCAACAACTTTGTGTGTGCTACCGCTTTAAATATTATGTATCAGTTCTAGTGTAAATTAAAGAAAACAAAAATGCCACTAGAAATTCGGTTATGAATAAAATATTAGAACGCATGTAAGTACAACTTTGTTGTTTATATTTCTTTAAATTATTGATGTTTAAAAAATTCAAATTGGTTATAATAATGATGTGTGTGCAACTAAGCTCGCTGTACTCCTGGAGACACCTGTATATTTAAAGCAGTCACAGGCTTCACTCGCTCCTGATATTTTTTCTCTTGCCGGTATTTCTATATTTAGGTACACCCCTCCAATACATAAACAGAATCGCGATCTACGCTCGGATTCGGCATTATATTTTTGTACAATTCTGCCAAAAAATTAAAAATCTTACATCAAATACGGGTGCTACAGCTTCTTGTGATACACCAAGTATTTATTTCAATTAGTTTACAACTGTAGTTGCACTTTCATAGTTTAAAGTTTGGTTGCTACTTGTTTTCTTGTATATTGTTATAGTTTAATTTTATTTTTGTTTATACTTTAATTCGTTTAACCAATTAAAACGAGTTGGTATTTAGCTTAAGCACATGCCGGAAACTCGTCCTTCAAGAAAAAAAATTCACAACACCACAAAGAAAGGATCTTTTTAGTTACATGCGACAAAGTAACGGCAAGTGCGACACGACTATCACACATTATGTATTCTAATGATATGAATAATAAATTTGTGACTATTAATTCTTAACTAATATCAAATGCTTGTGGCGTAAAAAAGGCGAATAGCTTGAACACATATATGGAACTTATTGTGCGAACTTGTTAGTGATTTTGGTTGCTCTAAATAGAAGCACTGATGAAAAAAAAAACTGTATATTATTTTATTATTATTCTTTTGTAAAATTGTAGCCAACCCCTCTCTTAATTTAGAAACTTTTCTGTCTTCATCTATCATTCATTAGATCATTAGTCTTTCACACAATTATCATTGTTGCAAAGGAACGGAAAATTTACCTCTTGGAGGGGATAACCAGAAATGGACCTTTTTTGTAGATGCAATAAATCAGAAGTGATTTAAATTTTCTCATTTAGTTTTGTTAGTTTTAAATGAATGGGAGATTTCACCATTCTAAGGATATGAAACCTTGAAACAAACGCAAACAACCAACAGAAGCTGAAGCCAACTAAGTTATCTAAGTTATGGTGAGAAAATTTTTTAATAATAACAAAAACAAGTAAGGTTGAAAGTGTCCGCCTTTAATAGATTAGTAGGTGTTTGACATTAGGCAGCCCGTTCACATAAAACGTAAAACAAAACCACTGACTAAAAACGTAAAATTTACGTTTCTAGCTTTGTTTTATGGTATTTAAACCCACAAATTCTTATTCAAACGCATGATTATTTTACTGTCATGTCTCATGTCAGACAATTTTGGAAGAATTACTCAATAATTTGCTCTCTTTAAACAACGATAAATTCAGCGTTGCGTTTACTATTCCATGGTTTACGTTTAGATTTACGTTCTATGTGTCTTTTTCGTTTTGACAATTCAGTTTGGGCCTTGCCGATTGGACGAGAGTCTTCCTGCGCGAACTTGCCAAACACATGGTTAAAAAACAGAATATTTAAAATGCGACATTAGCACACACATAGAGGTTGGGTTTTACCGTAAACCGCACTTCATTAGCGTTGTAGCCGATGTCGAAAACACGCGAAAATGCGAAAATATTAAGCAAAGGTGTATACCCCTTTTGACACTCCGACGAGGCGTCGTTTCTTTCACAGCATGTGATTGGTCGAGTGTTCCCGCGTGAACGCGCCAAGTTCGAATAGCTCGCCTTCGCACGTGGTTTATCGAAAAAGTGGAATATCTAAAATGCGTCATTAGTGCAAAAGTTGATGTTTTATTTTAGAACGGTGTACAGCCCGGGTCTGGGCGGAGTGCCAACACGCCAGCGGACGATTTTAGCACAGATTGGTCTTCCCTAATTATTTTGGCAAGGACCGTTTGGCAAAAATTTCGGAGGACGCAGAAAGACGCTCCGGAGTCCCGTTACGTAACCCGCAGGACGCACTCGGGCGGATGGTTCAGGTCTCACGCACTGCCACTGCACTTCGACTTACCGCTATCACAATTGTGGTCCCAGTGGTATCACTTGATGTGGTTTAACAATTAAAATAACAAATTAAAACTACACGAAGTTGTTAGGCCCCCATGGATAAGCGGCAACACGTATATACTAAGCTGCTAAACGAACGGGCGCCGGACTCAGTTTGTTGGAGCTTTTATAAGCTCGGTAGCTACCTGTCGGGGACGCTGTCCATGGGCAAAATGCCAACCCGGGCCTTCTGGCCTCCCCTAAGCGCTCACATTTTGCATTTTCGCTGATTTGACTCTCTCTCGCCGCAATTTTCAAATCGCTAAAATAGAACTTGGGACACAGATGCCATGCACTTATTTTTAAATACTAGACACTTGCACTCCATCATCTTCTTACTTCCCACAAACAAAACACTCAGGCAATCACCTTGCATCAACAAATCGACCACCGGCATAAACACACCGAGCATTCTTAGCACGAATGTTAACCCCGCGAGAAAGAACGTCTCAGCAGCCCCCGAGCTCGATCCCCAAAAGTGACCTTACGTATTTCAAACCATTCGAAAAAGTTATGACGTGACAATGGCAGCATGTTTGGCTTTCACCCGCTGCGAGGATGCGTAAATTTTGATATAAAGTACCCCATTAACATAGAATTGCATATAAAATTATGAAAGTAGCAAGTTTATGGGAGCATCTAAATATACGTACTTGCTAGTGAAACGTGGGCGCAAAAATTTGTGAGATTTTACCGCATTATAAATAGACGCCGTTTGCAACTCGTGCATTGTCATTGCTTCTAATTCCTTAATTTTTTTTATGAATTTCTTAACCGAATGGACTTTGCCAAGTTTTTTCTTCTATGATTTCATCGGCGTGCAGTGTTACGAAAAATCCGTGCTTTAACGTACGTGCTGAATTATGAAATGTTGTACATGAAAGATCGTCATTAAGGCCGTTTTCGTGAGTTTTCTTGGATTCATTAGTGCGGTTTGGATTGAAACACTTCGCTTTTGGGTTGATTTTTATAAATGAGCTGTGTATTTTTGGAAGTCTATAAAGAAAAATTGTTTTACTTCGATATAATGTTTATTTATTTTCGCAAAATCTAAAAGTTCCTATTATTTGTTTAATGGGGATTAGTTTGTTTTTTCACACGGAGTTAAAGTGTTTCTCTAATTTTCAAGTATTTAAGACATTTGTTTTTTTAAATTCGTACATCAAACTTACTGTCACATATTTTCCGATATTTGATTTAAAAATTGATGTGTTTTCACTAAAATTGATATATTTGTCTACACACTCGTTTCGTTAACCCCTACTAATTATATATTTACTACTATCAACTTATTGACTATTGCGATTACTCATTATTCTTTCACCATGAAAATAAAAAAATACCAATAATTCGATACCATATACCTAGTACGTACACGTCAGAATAAAAAATTATTAACGTGAAATTGTAACAAACGTGCACTTACTCACATTTTTTCACAATTTACAAAATTTATAGATTACTTGGAACCGTTTTGTAGTATTTTTATTTACAGCTGGCGAATGTTAGTAATTTTTTGCGACAATTAATAATAATGATAATTAGTAATGTAATTAATATAGTTATAAATTGTAGTTATCTAAGAAAGGAAACACAAGTAAATGACACTAAAGACTTGTCCCGGTAATAGGTAGGTGTAGGAAAACACTTCTCTTTCATTTATCGTCAAATTCCATGTAAAATTAAGCAATGTTATAAAAGGCCTCGTTATGTAGACATCATGGTTATCATACATAATGGTTTTATTGTGTCAAAGTCATTTTTATTATTGTAATGGTTAATTGTTGGTTGAGTTTTACCCACCAAGCGTCAGCTAAGTCACCTAAAAATGTTTCGTACTAAATGTTATTTAAATTTTCTAAAATAACGTAATTCTACAGGTGCGGTTTATGAATTATTTTTTATTTTTACTTCAGACGTCTAAATTACAAAAAAATATTAGCAGATTTGTTTTTGTAAAATGTGTTTTGGAAAACAATATGTGCAAATCTTTCTCACTTTTTCTGACCGCGGCGGGCAACTGACCCATGTCTCCAGCTGGCATTTGTTCAATAACGATGAAACGGTTTATCAAAATTTAAAGTGAACTGGATACCCAAAAAACTACCAAAAATGTATCAAAAAGTTTATTTCTTACTTTTTTAAAAAATAAAACCAGGTAGTTTGAGTTTTCAAATCCGAGAACTTGCTTTAAGGACATTTTTGAAACATAAATTCCATGCAGTGCGTTGGTGGAAAGGATGTTTAGCATTGCTGCGGATGTTTAACAAAAGCGATATGCATTAACAGACGTTAAATTTGTTTGTTACTAAATCTTAAATCTGAATATAGTCATGGAATATAACATTTGCAGTCTATTTTAATTAAATAAATAATACGATAAGTGTGCCATGATTTACTTTTCCGATCAATGAAAAACTCTGATATTTTTTAAAAGTAGGTAATTATTTCAGTAATGTAAGTACAATATTTATACAGTATCAATGTTTTGACTAACGTGATTTATTTTAACTATTTTTAAAATATACAAAAAAATCTGTTTTATTTTGGTTTATGAGTAAAGTTCATCTCGATATTTATTAAATTTAAGGAATATTTCCTTTTTCTATTTCTATGATACCAATGAAAGACTTTCTAGATTTGTTTGTTTTGAGATGACAGGGTTCTATCTATAGACTTTTTTTGTACTTTACTTCCGACATAAACAATTTTCGTTATTTCTGTACATACTGTGCACTCATTTGCTAGTTTTTCTGTCTGACGTGTGAAAAGTACGTAAATACTTTAATTGTTAACATTACAAAATTCGTTGGTTAGATTTTAACACTCAATTAATAATGTATGTTGTTTTTTTTTTTACAAAATACAACTTTGTTGATTTAAATAATTAATGTTTTAAAATTTGATATTTAGTTACTCTGTTAGGAAAGAAATTCGAAAACTATAGAATACAATTTTTTTCAAGCACTATAATAGTGCCTTTTTCAGCTCGGAAAAAACAATTTGATTAGGCATAACATAAATGGGATTTTGTTATTTTATAGTCGCAAAAATTCGTTGATATTTTTGTAAGTTACCAAAAAATACATTTATTTATTAAAAATTAAAAATTAATGCTTATGGAGTACCGTAAAAACATCATTAGAGCAATCCAGTTATCGGTGGGGATGTAGCTCAGTGGTAGAGCGTTCGCTTTGCATGTGAAAGGCCCCGGGTTCGATCCCCGGCATCTCCAATTTTTTTTTCACGTATAGAATACTACAGTAACCCTTCAAGCAAGTTCTTGACAACAGAAATAACTACTTTTGCTCAAAATTTTTGCATTTAACTAATTGCTACCAACTAAGTGTTACAGCAATGGCCGAAACGCAACGATCAATACAGCTTTAATTTATACTCACTTTGGTTATTACTCCATCGTCATTGCCATCTGATTAATCACAAAAAAAGAATTATAAATTGTTTGTGTCTTTTGAGCTTGATATAAATTTTCTTCAACGAATAGGTTATTAGGTATTGTTATAAACTGTAAATTTTGTAGTTGTAGCAACTAGCGCCACTCGATGACCAATCAGTTTACACTTCCTTAAATTAAAAACCTAACGGCAAACTTTTTCAGCTTCTACTATCACTTTGTTGTCGAAAGTGTGTTCAAATCTCCACTGTTACATTGTTTGAAGGTAATTCTCGGAAGTTTTTGATTACATTAGTGTCATAAACGTCTAAAAGTGTTTCTCGTTTTGTGTTAAAAGTCGATATTCTTCTATTTTCGTTTAACGAGCACTAAACTTAGTTTATCTTTACAGTCTGGTTTCTTTAACTTCACTTTAATGTGAAAACATTGTGGCTTTAAATTTTTAGAATTGGTATTAACTAGCGTTCTGATGATTAGATCTTTTATGAGCCATCGTTTTGTGTTCGTAATATCAAATATTTTCTTCTTGTGTTTATTCTTTCTTACCTAATATCATGTACTTGCACAAAATGTAAGAAAGATTTTAGTAGAACCGAAAATAAACTAGGGGCTAATTCTTGACCAGTTAGTCATTCACAAAATTTAGTGTTTCTAATTGTGATTTTATTACAGAAATAAAGCTAAATAATTACTGCGAATGTTTCCGTGGAGTTAATTAATTGTTAAGAAAACTACTTACTTCTTACCACTACAAATATATTAATCCTGAAGTGTAGAAGCGGTTGTTATTTCAATAATGTTATCGACTGTTTACAGTATGAATTAGGAACAGAACTAATAACATTTGTTGTTATCGGGTAAGTGTTGATCGTGAGTGTCAGAACTACTCATAAACTTTAACATTTTTGAATTAGTGCATAATATTCTTATTACAGAGTGAAAAACGCGGATCGTAATATTTAGATATAATAACCGTATTTTGTGTTGCATAATTTAGGCCTAATTATTTCATTGTCAGTACACATTTTTGCTAACGCTTGTCCAACTACAATTTAAAAAATTAGATACTAATGTGTGGTGATCTATATCAAAAAAGATTAATGAGTACAGCTGACACAACGGAACAAAAATAAATCTAAATCGTCTGGTTACTTTTAACAGGTACAAGTTTGCGGTTCTAAAATACACAAAACCTTTGTCGGTAACGTTCAAGAGTCAAAGTAATGGTGAAAATATCTTACAATAAAATTTAATGATTCACAAAGATTTTAATCATCTTCACGCATAAATAACTCCGTTTGAAACCTAGATGTTATGTATTTAAACTTAATTTTTAATTGTCAACAACAAAAAAATCAATTCCCGACTAACAGTTTAACAAATTGATAGATCATTAAAAATCTAGCAAAACGTTAACCAATCAAAATATTGCATTTTTCAATTTCCGCCCCCACCCTTTGATGTGATTGGCTCATTTCAACGGGTACTTAATTACCGCGTCGTAGCCACGTGATAAACGTGTGATCTTGAGTCGTGTTATTTATGTTCCCATTATTGTGAAAAATGTGTGAAATAACAAAAAATAATTTTAAAGAAAAGTTCCCCGACATCAAGAAGAGTCTGCAGAAAGCTAAATTTATTTCATTGGATCTGGAATTTAGTGCCTTAGAACCTTTACAAGCGCCAAGGTAGAAATCTAACCTCAAAAATGTACATTGCATGGACCAATTTCAGGTTGTTCGACAATAACAAAGAAAGATATGCCAAACTAAGGAAGAATTTGTTAAATGTAGTGCCTGTACAAGTAGGGATTACAGTATTTCATTTTGATAATACCACTGATGATTATTTTGGAGATATGTACACATTTTATGTAGCCCCTCCGGCTTTTCTAGTCATCGATAAGCCATTTTTTTTTCAAGCAAGCACAACGAAATTTTTGTGTTTACATAATTTTGATTTTAATAAGGTAATTAGGAATGCGGTTGCTTTCAACTACTGTTTTGTGATTTAGTTTGCTTATTTAGGTATACCCTACTTGAATAATGAAGAGGAACGAATTTTACGGGAGAAATTGGCATCGGGTGATTTGTTTGGAGAGAATTGTTTCTTGCGTAGTGAATTTAACGACGTTGTTAAAACATACGTACCAATAGTTTCTAAGTGGTACAATTCTAGTACAGTTGGGAACTTTCTTGAAATACCAGATTTAAAAAAATATGAACAATTTCACGAAATCATTTATTTTATGCATAAACATTTGCGGAGTCGGTTTCCAAATTTATGGACGTATGAAAAAAATGGGTGTTTTTGTGTTAAGAAGGTGAGCGTTGAGGAGTTAGAAGTTTTTAGAAAAAACTGCAAACTAAATGAAGATATTTTAAACGATTTGATCGGTTTTAAACATGTGTTTAACTTACTCGTGACGCTGCGTAAACCAATTATTGGCCACAATGTTTTACAAGACTTAATGATAATTATAAACAATTTCCACAGTCCTCTACCTGATTCATATTCGCAGTTCAAAGCGTTAACTCATAATTTATTTCCCACGATTTTTGATACAAAAAACGTCTATTATGAGTTGAGGTCAACGATTCCGAAGGAAAAGCTTCCAGAGGACACTGATTTAAAATCCCTGTTCAATTACTTCAAAGACGGTTTGGGAAGACACCTCGTCGTGAATTCAACAGCTATTGAAAGCAACATTGACCAACAAAAAGTCGACCACTACCATGACGCTGGTTGGGATTCCTACTGCACAGGATACATTTTTCTCAGAATGGCGCATTTCAAGATCGCTAAAAACTACCCAAAGCATAAAAAATTCGTCACTAACGAATTAATTGCGGCTGTGATGGAGTACAAAAATCGCGTCAATGTCATCAGAGGAGCCTCTTCCCACATCGTGAGTATGAAAAATATCCGTCCCCTGAACACCGTGTGATAAATTATGCGGCAGTTTTTTTTTTTCAAAACTAACCCATGGGGAACTGACGTTTATTTATGAGTGTTTAAACTGTTTTTGCAGCAAATGAATCATCACGGTGGGTTATTCTTAGAGCGGGAAATCCTTTGATATTACAATTAGACTGGACGTCAATCAATTGTGTTCTTGTAACGGTAAATTGGATGCGCCCAATTTGATCTGGATGGGAGTAAAAGGATGTTTTGCGATGTTAAATAAATAGCGGTGTTGATGTAATGGAACAACTTCCGTTTTTGCTCCTGAGAAATGTTCGATTTTGACATATTGTTGATTGGTCTGTTTGAGGCGATGATGATTAGAAGGCGGAATTATTTTTAGTACTTTAATTGCAGTGGGTTGAGTAAATCGGGGTTTCGGTTCAGCTGCAAAGCACATGTAATTCGACTTAAACGTGTCATAGTTGTGTTTGCTGAAGAATTTAGAAAAAATGCATCTGTGCAGATATTAAGATGTTAAAAGCATGAATTGGCATTTCTTTTAACAACTTGTTTTTAAAACCTCTAACCCAATTCTAAGTATACATTAACTGTTCTTGTTTTTGGTTGGAATTTTTCTTTCGGTTTTCGAAGATTTTAAATTTCCTCGAAAATCCTGGATTTACTTTTGTAGTAATAGATTTGGTTTAAAATGTCGAAATTTCCGTAGTACCGTTGGGACCTTTCTCAGTTCCTCATCAATTGACTTTTCGATTTCAGTCTTACACTTAGATTCCAATATTTCTATTTTTGTTCGTTTTCAAACGAAATTTTTCATCCCCGGTTCTTTCAGAGTTGTAAAAGTTTTCAACCCTTTCTTGATAGCACACTTCTGCACTATTTCAGGTCCCCAGGGTAATTCCCTCCCAATGGAATATTCTAGAAGCTCGTCGAAACTCGGCTTCAATCCACTGAAAATTTATTTTTATTTCAGCGTAATGAAAGTAATTTTTTCTCAAGTATGTGTGGGTAACACACCGATTTATATCTACAGAGTGAATCAATAAGCGTGCCGCTTCTCGGTACTTGTTAATTATTATTGGAGAAAAATTCAAAAACCCAAATTCTACGATGTTCTACTTTTGATACCCAACATACAATTTCTTTTTTAATAGAACAGCTTATGTATTTAATTCTTGCATACTTTTGTATATATAGTATGTCCCCGAATTGAGTTCACAAGAGGAAAAAAACTGTGTTTTCTATTTTTTACAAAAAAAATGACATAGGAATAACATTTTTTGCTTAATTCAAAACGAATAAATGTGTCCTTAAAATCGAAAAAACCTAAAAGTAACGAAGAACGTAGAAATATGAAAAAATAATTTTAAGAGTACAGATCATACTGAAGTTTTAATTGCAGATTTATTCGTTTTGATTTAAGCAAAAAATGTTATTCTTATGTCATTTTTTTGTGAAATAGAAAATCCGTTTTTCTTTTCCTTATGTGAACTCAATCCGAGGACATACTGTATATATATCAATAAAATATTGCAACGCAGATGTTAAAAATAGCCCTATTGCGTTTTTTTTTGTGAAACTTTCACAATGTTAAAAAAAATCAAGAAAACCAGAATAACTTGGCAACGACGCATCGCAAGTTCAAATTTTTTAAATTTTATAAATAAGATACGTCTGCACATGTGGTGTATGAACCCGTGTCGAATTTTCATCGTAGACATCCAGAATTTTTGGAAAAAATTCAAAACTGAATAATAATATTTTGCAATATAACTTTGAAACTGCAAAAGCGATTACTCTGAAATCTTGTAAATATTTTAAAGTAATCGTAATTGTGTTAAATCGTTAAGCAAAATTTATTCGTTTATCCCCTCCCAAAAAATTGAGGACGTCATCTCAAAATTTTGTCGAATAAATCCTCATTTGGAACTTACGCCCAACACGCTTCTTTACATTTACTTTAACATTACATACACATTTTTATTTTAACTTACAAGGGTTATCATAAAAAAATAAAAGTCGCAAAATCAGATCTTATAATTTTTCGAAAAATCTGGATTTATATTTACCTTTAACCAATTTATGAGATGTTTTTTCATCATTTTTCGTTTTTGCAACTTTAAGATCTGGTTTATGGAACGCGAATTAAAAGTTAATCGCGATCAATTTTAATTGAGGTCCGTTGCTATGCAACGTGTATGTTTTGACCAATCACGGGCTCATATTCTACATTTTAATCCTATGTTAAATTAATCGAGGATTCAATATTTAATTCGCTTTCCATAAACCGACCTCAATTTTTTCAATTTTTCAATTTCACGCATGCAGATTTTTCAGTTAATCGTTTCTTGAATTTTCCGTTTTGAAATTTTTCAGTTTTGCAATTTTTCGATATTATAATTTTTCATTCTTCGTTATTTTTGTTTCCTCAGTTTTCAAATTCTTTATTTTTCATTTTCCCGATTTTTTAATTTTCATTTTCTTGTATTTATTCACATTTTTTTTCATTTCCTTTATTTTTTCAATGTTTCTTTCGATTTTACAATTTTTCGTTCGTTTATTTCATTTTTCAAATTTTTAACTTTCAATTCTTCGAATTTCCAGTTCTCAAATTTTTTAATTTTGGAATTTTTATATTTCTCAATTAGCCGATTTTCCGATTTTTTAATTTCCAGTATTTCGAATTTACAGTATTTCGTTTTTTCGATTTTGTAGTTATTCGATTTGTAATGCCCGTTTGTACCGTACTTTTAATCACTTGATTAACTTTATATAGAGTTTTCTTTCAACAACAGGATAGTTAACATTTTTCAGTTTCTTGTTGGGAAAAAAGACTTCGTATATTAAGAAAAATGGACAAAATATAAGGCTCGCCCACCCACCTTTTCTCAATTGTGATGAATTCTTTTATTCATCGTGAGCTGAAGGGTGAAGCTTAGTTGCAAAATCTTCATTTCTCTATAAGAAATTACCATATGAAACATGTTTTTAAAAGGGTAGAATTTTCAAGAGAAATTTTGATGTTACAATTAAACTCCGCCCCTCGGTCTGATTAGGAATGAAAAAGTCATCACAACTGAGATCGGGTGGGTGGGTGGGGCTTAGCCCTTGGTTTTTTTTTTCTTAATGTACATAGTTTTCTTTCAACAATTTTTTGGTACAAAGAACCAGATATTATAATAAAAAACATAGTGTCAAGATATTATTCAATAATTTTGGACTGTACTTCTAATGTAAGCCACGTAGAAGAACTTGTACTTTCCGGTTTTTCTCGAAAAACTGAAGAAATGAAAAACTGAAAAATGTAAAAATTAAAACATTAAAAATTCAACTGAAATTTCAAATCGAAAAACTGGAAAATGTAAAAATTGAAACGTTCGAAAGTTGGTAAATCGGAAAACTGGAAAATTTAAAATGAAAACTCGAAGAGATATCGCAGAATTGTAGAAACGAAAAACAAAAAATTGAAACATTGCAAATGGAAAAATTGACGAAACGATTAATTGAAAAAAAGTAAAATTGAAAAAACAAAAAATTATAAAATCGAAACATTGAAAAATTGTAAAAAAATTGGTCTAAAGAGTTTAGACAGTACTTCCATCGCTGTCGGAAACGTGACGACAACATGCCTATTATGTTTTTTTTCGCAGCAGATTTCAAAGCATTCGGTTTTATAGTTCTTTTTTTTTTGAGTGACCCGGTATATGCAAATTCAAATACATAATATGAATGGAATGATAAATTACAAATACAGACTCATCATATTTTGTACATTCTAGATAGGATTTATTCGGCAAACTTTTGAGCTGACGTCATCAGTTTTTTGGAGAAGATAACCAAATATATTTTGACTAAAAATTTATTATGCTCTTTATAACCTTAAAACATCTGCAAGATTTCAAAACATTCGGTTTTGTAGTTACTGATTAATTCAATAAAATAAATTCACGCATTTATTTTTTTTTTTGAGTCACCTGTATATGCAAATCGAAAAAATTTGAATGGAATGATAAGTCACAAGAAGAGACTCACCATATTTTGTACATTTGAGATAGGATTTATTAAGCAAAATTTTGTGGTGACGTCATAAATTTTTTAGGGGGGACGACCAAATGCATTTTGGTCAAAAATTTACCATGCTTATAATAATTTTAAAACATCTTCAAGATTTCAACGCATTCGGCTTTGTAGTTCCTGCGTAAATCAATAAAATAAATTTAGTGTATTCATTAATATTTTTGAGTCACCCTGTATATGCAAATTAAAAAAATATGAATGGAGTGATAGATCACAAGTACAGGCTCATCATATTTTGTACATTTTAGATAGGATTTATTCGGCAAACTTTTGAGCTGACGTCATCAAGTTTTTGGAGGGGATAACCAAATATATTTTGACTAAAGATTTATGATGCTCTTTATAGCCTTAAAACATCTGCAACATTTCAAAGCATTCGGGTTAGCAGATTCAAAATTAAATTGTAAAATGTTGTTTTACAATTTTGATTTTTTTTCTAAAAATCTGCACGTTTAACAACAATCGGTCCAGTACTTTCGGAATTCGGAGATTATCTGTCTAATAAAAATCCGGGACGGCAGACAGACGGACAGACAGACGGAAATGGCAGACCTATTTCTTCGTCTTCTAGGGGTCATGAAAGATCGAGAAAACGTAAAAGTAGAGAGTCGGCCGACGGACTCGATTACAATACTTCCTTTGCTTACGCTCGGGAAGTAAAAAGAAAATAAAAACTAAAACGAAAAATTGGAAATGGAAAAGTTGAAAATTGAAAACTCGAGACACTCAATTCGAAAAATTGCAAAGTCTATAAATTGGAAAATTCAAAATTTGAAAAACTCGAAAAATTTGAAATCGAAAAAATAAAATAAAAAATGAATGATTGAAGAACTGAAAAATTCAAGTCAAAAAAGCTGTGGGACCGTTATTTACGCCACTGAAATTTACTTTATAGAGGATATTAAAAATTAAATAAAATTTTTCGAAAAAGTGGGATTTCATATTGGGCTCCACTTCAGATGCCAAGGAAGTTCTGCTAAAATAAACTTCGGCCAATTTCTTTTTATGAATTTGAGAAAGTCTCGAGTGCTGCAATGTTGTTTTTTTTTTAATCTGGGAGACTTGGGTACCCATGGTGTATTATTTTGGGAGCCCATGGAGATTTTTTTTGTAAATTATTTAAAACAATTTTGGGGGACTTTGGTGTTCTGTTTATGGAAAATTCTGACCTGATCTGTTTTTGAGTTAATTTTGAGACCCCGGGTTTTTTTTTTGAAAAACAATCTTGAGGTTCATTAAATTTCTTAAAAAATACGTCATTTGCTAAAATCAGTCTTATCTTAGTAGGTACTACCCCCGCCCACCCAGCCTCTCTTGTCTTGGAGGCTATGTCATTTGCCAAAATCGGTGTTATTTTAGCAGGTGCTAAACCCGCCCACCCACCCGCTATATTCTTAGAGGGATCTGATTTGCCAAAATCACTCCTATCTTAGCAGGTACTAGCCCTGCCCACCCACTTTTCTTTTCATAGAGAGTATGTCATTGCCAAAATCAGTTTCGTAGTAAGTACTGATGGCTAACTTTTACAAAAAATTATCAAAATTTGGAAACATTACGAGCTTATTTATATGCATAAGCCAGAAATTTTGAACATATTTTCTAGTGTTTAGTTGGTTATGCTTTAATGGATTTTTCTTTTGTTGGTTTTGTTTTTATTTATATTTTATAAATGTCTTATTACATGTTTTTTTGGCTTATTTATTAATGAAAAATAACATCCTATTTTATTAACAATAAGGCATAACGATTAATGACTACTGGTTGTTTTGGTTATTGACACTTTTCTGTTGCTATTACTAGAGTACTTTCTCAATGTTATTATTCTTCAAAATGTTGCAATTGTTGTTTGTTATCGACATCTATCAAAGGACATCTCATTTGCCAAAATCAATCTTATCTTAGCATACTAGTACCACCCACCCACCCTCTCTTTTCTTAGAGGGAATGTCATTTGCCAAAATCAGCCTTATCTTAGCAGGTACTAGCCCGTCCATCCACCCTCTCCTTTCTTAGAGAGTGTCTCATTGGCCAAAATCAGTTTTACCTTAGCAGCTACTAACCCCGCCCACCCACCCATCCTCTCTTTCCTTAGAGGGTATCTCATTTGCCAAAATCAGTCTTATCATGGCAGCTGCTAGCCCCGCCCGCCCACCCTCTCTTTTCTTAGAAGGTATGTCATTGCCAACGAAGTTATTAAAAAAAAAAACGATCATAGAAAAAATGTGTATGTGTAGTTACAGAGTAATATTCTTTTTGTACGCCCAATTACTGACGCATGTTTAAAATTAATATGTTAATTAAACAGTTGCTTTTTCCGTTCTTAATTAAATGATAATGAATTTTTTATTATGAAATTTTGGAAATATAAGTGAACAGTTGACGTAAATTGCTAGAATCCGCAGGATAATTGAGTAATAGTAGACAGCTCACCCATTTACTATTTTTAATGAACATTTCCTATTTTAAAGCGTTTCCTAATTTCTACTTTTTAACAAAAATGCTCTTATTTAAGCTTCTGATAATTTAATGATTTGAAATAATTAAAAAACAGTACAACTTGTTTACAGTTAATATCCACTGTGAAACCATAATTTCTTTAATTGTGTTATAATCTGGTTTTTAGTAAATGTGGTGATTTGATTTTAAAGCAGATATATATCAGTTAAATTGGACCAGCCTATATATTTTAAGTTTATTAATTTAGTTATTATTACTGATATTAAATTTCCTTCATATATGTCCTTTTAATATTTTGCTAGGTAAATTCTGTTTAAAGTTTACTAAATAATATGCTTCCATTCTGGCGCTTGATTGATTTTTAGTTCCCGAAAGTAAGCCAAGGAAGTATTGTAATAGGATCCATCCGACGAATGGCTAGTTTCATATTTTCTGGAAGTGTCATCACTCCTAGAGTACGAAACAATAGGTCTTCCATTCCTATTTGTCTGTCTGCCAAGTGTCCAGATTTTAATTACACAGATAATCTCTGAAACTACCAAACCGATTGATTGATGATAGTTATGAATCTTGTGTAAATGTTAAATGCTAACCAAAATTTGCAATGGTAAATGTTATTTAAATTTTATAAAATAACATACATACTCCTGTACTTGTGGTTTATGAATCCGTGTTGAGTTTTTAGCCTAGATATTCAGTGTTTTGAAAAAATCAGAATTTGCAAATTAACTTTGAAACTGCCATATCGAACGCTCTTACATCATGCAAACCTTTTAAGGTTATCGTAGGCATGGTAAATCGTTAATCAAAATATATCCGCTTAGCGTTTCCCATATTAATAACGTTATCACAAAATTTTGCCGAAAAAAAAAATTTAATTCTAAAAAATAACATACGCCTGCACTTGTGGTTTATGAATCCATTTCAAGTTTTTTGCCTAGACATTTAGATTTTGGAAAAAAAAACAGAATTGTATAACAGTGTTTTACATTTTACCTTCTAATTTTCAAAACCGAATGCTTTGAAATCTTGCAAACGCTTTAAGTAATAAAATGTACCTATTGAAATAGATTGATCTAAAAACTCTAAGACGTCAGCACAAAATTATCTACTATTATTTTTATTTGCACTTGCGGGAATTTAAAAAAATCAATTTTTATGAAAGTCGTGAAAACTGGGTTGTTTATACTGTGTTTCAGGGACGAGGGAAATTATGTCCTTTAAATTAATTTTTACTTTACGAGTGTGAGCTAATTGTTCATGTTCTCTCGACATTTCGTGGCTCCTAGAATACGAAAAAAATCCCGTTGTCTATCACTGTTGATTTTTATTAGAACTACTAGACCGATTGTTGTCATATTTTATATGCATCTATTTTAGGAATGTCGTGTAAAATCCTAACGAAAATTTATCTAGTTATTCTCACCAATAATGTGATGACGTCACCTCAAAGTATTGCATATTAAAATAACATATTCCTACACTTATGGTTCATGAATCCGTCTTAACTTTTTATCCTAGGCATCCAGCTTTTTTTAAATAAAATCAAAATTGTAGTAATATAATACCATAACATAATATAATAGAGTTTATTACCCAACAGATAATTCCAATAACAAGATAATTTATAGTTAGAGAGAAATAATAAATTATTTATATTAAAAAAATACTAGCTGGATAACTAGTACACACACTCTTTATACCCGCAAAATAAAACAAAATAAATTGTTTATCAAAATTGTATGTACACGTTTTATAAACTTTTGACTTTCAATTGATTAAATAAAAACTTCTGGAAAAATTATTTTCTGCACTTTTATGTGACAAGTTTCAAAGCATTTTCCGCTAGAACCAGTTATTTCCCCCGATATTTTATAATAAAATCATCAGTTTTTGCAATTAAGTTGTTAATCCTTCATTATTAAATAATGAGCAGAATTACGTAAACTGCTTTGGAAATTTTAATAAGTCCTTACATAACTATAAATAATCGATAGAATAATTATTTTCACTTCTATAAGTGATCAATAGGCAATGCGCATAGCCAGCTATGCGGAGGGAGTGAAGTTCTCGACGCCCAAATTTTGTCATACATTCACACCTTACAAAATTAATTACGTACCTACTAATAACAGGAACAGGCGTTTTGATGTACCCTGCGTCTACTCCATTTTCACTTTCATTAGAAGTGTTTTTGATGCGCAAGCATCACTAAAAATAATAAAATTTATGAAAATCTTTGACGTTTTTAAATATAATTTCCAAAACGCAAAAGATAGGAAAATCTAGAAAATCCCAACAATGCCCCTTCAGCGACGTAAATATATAATAATAAACAGCATCAAGGTTGTTTAGTTATATCTGTTTTTCATTAGTTTTGTCTAGATTGGACATAAGCTATCAAAAAAAGTTTCAAACGACATGTTGTGGGCGTACTGTAGTAAGGAACTGTTTTAAATTTGTCGTTTGAGCGACGACGTGATTATAAACTTGAATTTTTAATAATAGGATGTTTTTGAAATTAAATAAAAATTTATCGCTTCCGTCAAAAGCCTATGTTTCAGCATTATCACAATAAATTTTTTTTAAATATAATCTCTCAGTCAAGGTTACAAACTCCCCGTCGTAAAACTCTTTGAAATGACTCTATTTTCCTGGACTTGGCATACCGTTAGAATTTCGAATTCTAGGCCGCGCTGCTATCAGATGGTGTTCATTTTGGCCCGAATTTAATGAAATAATTAACAGTATTTTTTTCATGCGAAGAGAATCGATGGAGAGGATCCAACTTCCAATAGGCCACCTTGGTTAATTGTCGAGTCTTTAAAAAATGAACCACTCGACGTAAGTGACGTAAGTAAGCTAATTAATAAGAAAAAAGTTCCAAAAATAAGATAATTTATGAAGACAATACAAATTTGAGCGTGTGTTAATAGTTGTGCTTTTGCCAATCATAAAAGTCGTATCCCATTATTTGTTAGAGAATGTCACGCATTTTTATAACCACCAAAAATTGTCCGCTAAAAATATTCGTTGGAAGAGACCTTCCTAAAGTTATATTTACACTTTTTCATGTCGCTCTTAACAAATTTCGTATGGGATAATTTGACGCCAGAAGATAATCGATTTTTATTTGTTTCGACTATTCATTTATTTTTCCAGCTCATGTCTACTCTTAGCTCGTACGGTTCCGTCGACATCAAAAAATTCTCTTCGAGTGGAAACCGGGTCTTAGTCGCCGTGGATAATTACAGGGCGTAAGTATTTTCACAATCGACCTATTTTCGTTTCTTTTAGTACTGTATCTACAGCGCTTTACACTTAATTGGATCAGCACAGATTCATTACACCTGTTTTTAATTAATAACTCCCGAGATGTAGCCAAACGATATTTTTATAATTGGAAGCAATATTTTTAGCAGTTTATGGGTCTTGCTGTTTTTATAGCCATCTCTTTGTGTTTTCAGCGCTCGTGACATATCGAAAGTCCTCAAAACTCATCAGAAATTTCAAGTGCGCCAGTACAACGCCTTGAGGCACTCCCCTCTGGCACAAGTTGTGCTTTTGTAAGTATTGGAGGCGGAAAGTCGCACTAACTATTACTGGAATTCCAGAAGCGCGGTGACCATTTCTGGTACCTTGCTGTTATGGCTTACCCACAGGATGTCGAAGAGATAGCGCCTTGTTTTCGTAGTTTTACATTGAATAGAATTTTTTGTAAGTTCGACACTTGACTACGGTCTTTTTTTGGCGCGAACAATAGCTCCATCCAATAAATTTGAATCGTGGAAAATATATGGCTTTGTGTAAGCCAATTGCACGTGTCTTGGGCCAAACCTCTGACTAAATTATCTCGTATACTTCTATAACAGCTGTAATGAGTGCTGTTAGCTCGCATAATTTAAATTTAAAAATAACCGAGCTGTAATATTGGCGCTTTAGCGTTATTTTCGCTCGCTATTGACTTAATGACCTATTAACTTAGTTGCAAAAGTGTCATGTGAATAAAGTTTCCATTAACGGGTAATCGAATAATAAAACTTCTAGGGGAAGCGACTATTAATAAAAACTGTTGATTGATATTTGGTTCGTTTTCAAGGCGATTTAGCCAGATTGTGATCGGTCTAAAGACCTCTGATGATTTTTTTATTGCCGAAACTTATCTGTTCTTAACCTTGTCCACCGTTTCTATTTTGCAACAGAATTTAATTTATTGTATTTCTATTGGATTCAGTTTTAGACTTTCCTTCGTTTCAGGGTTGTGAGGATTTTTGTCATTGTCGCCCATTAATTTTAGAAGAAGATAATACAAATGCGAAACGACACATTTAATAAATTCTCCTTTTATTCACTGTAACATTGTCGTTTGAAAATTTTCCAAGTTACGTAATCCTAAATATTTTTTTAGAAATCGTCCTTTTGTCTGGGAGTATTGTGCTGTTATGACCTGTGTACGCTTATAAAAGATCACGTATGTTGTTTACATTGAGATCCTGGATGTGATTAATGAACACTTTGTACAAAAAACGAAAATTTTATTGGTTGTTGTACGATGATGCAAACTGTTTTCCACCTTTTCGTGGTATGTGTCTGTAATATTTTTAAAAGCTTGGGAAGTGTGTTGTTGAACGATCTAAATATTTTTTTTTAGCGAAACGACAAGTTTTGCCTTTTGTTGAATTTATATTTTAAAAGAATTGTTCTGTTTTCAGAGATCTTCTAACTTTTTATTATAATTAAGATTTCATGACTTCCTGATTATTCAATATTCCAAGTGCCCCAGATTTTATAGGATAAGCAATATTTCGTGTATTGGTAGAGATATCATGATAAGAAACTCCTGTTGGAGGCAATATCGAAGAGGAAAACCTAGGTTACGTCGTGTCATAAAAAATATGGAATGTTTACAGACGCAAGTGGTGGAACTGTTAGGAGAGGGTGCCGTAAATATAGACAAACATTATTAGAATAAGTGATTTAGATATTTAAATGGCAAAACTAAACAATTAAAAAATGTTTTATTATTTATCTGAAACCTTTCCGAGGGAAACTGACAGGAATAAAGTCCATCCATTTTATAATCCATCTTTTAAATCTTTTTTTTAACCTTTCCCATCATTCCTCAATATTTAATGTTAATTTACCAAGAATAAATGATAATGATATTCGTTTACATTGTGGACTATCGTATTTAGAATTCGGTTGTATTTAATAGTGTTGAATCGGGTATCAAAAGTATTTCAGAAGTTTTCGAAATGCTGATGTAAGGTAGAGCTTTTGAACATCCTTTCTATTGAATTTTCACTGCCACCAATTCAGTTGACACACGTAATTAGCCTATCAACCACTTATAATCCGCCAACTTTTTCAACCCAGCCTAAGAAGCAAGACGTCGTGTGTATTTCTAAGTATGAGGCAAAAATTCGCTCCTGAATATCAAGAACATCAAAAATAGAAGACCAGAATCCCCGAGATTTTTTCTAATGTTTCAAAAATAAAAAACGGGGACCCCGACATTCTTGATTTTTTTTTTTTTCAAAATAATGCAGCAAAAACCCCGAGATTTTTGAAAGTGTTTTCAGGAACAAGACACCTCCAGGTCCTCAAGATTTTTCAATTTTTTTCAAAAATAAAACACCAAGGATCACCGAGATTTCTTAAGTTGTTTCAAAAGTAAAGTTAGGGACCCTCGACTTTTTTCAATTTTTTTACACAAATGAGATAATACATACATATAAAAGGAACCCCGGAGATTTTTTCAAGTGTTAAAAAAACGTCGGGTCACCCAAGATCCTTTCAAATTCTTCCAAAAACAAAATTCAGGTTCCCGAGATTTTTTGGAATTCTTTCAAAATAAAAAGGGCCTCCCGGATTATATAAAACATTTTTTCAAAAATAGAACAGCAGTGATCCCCTAGATTTATTCAGTTGTTTCAAAAATAAAACCAGAGACCCCACCTTTCTTCTTTTTTTTTTTTTCAAAAATAATACATCAATAAATAATATACCTGAGACTTTTTCAGATCTTAAAAAAAAAAATAAGGTCCCCAAGAACCTCTTGAACTATTTCAAAAACAAAATTTCAGGGTCCCTCCAGGTCCTTTGAATTTTTTTCAAAACAAAACGGGTCTCCAAGATCATATCAATTTTTTGCAAAATAGAACACCAGGGATCCCCGAAATTTTTTCAAGTCTTAAAAAAAAATGTACGGTCACCCAAGATCCTTTCAAATTCTTCCAAAAACAAAATTTCAATTCCTCGAGATTTTTTGAAATTTTCCAAAACAAAAGGGTGAAATTCTTTCAAAACAAAAGGGACCTCCAAGATTATATCAAACTTTTTCTGGATTAAAACACCGGCGGTCCTCTAAATTCTTTCAATTAAAAAAAAAAATAGAACACCAAGGACCCCCGAAAATTTTACAATTGTTACAAAAGGAAAAAACAGGGGATCCCGACATTCTTTAAATATTTTTTCAAAAATAATACAGCAAGAAGCCCGACATTCTTATGTTATTGTTTTGAAAAATAATATGACAAAAAGCCCAAGATTGTTTAAAGTGTTAAAAAACGTAGGGTTACCCAATATCCTTTCAAATTTTTCAGAGATAAAACATCAAAAGCCCTTACGATTTTTTCAATTTTTTCAAAAACTAGAGATCCCCGAGATTTTTTTTTAACTGCTCAAAAAATAATACAGCAGAAACCCCAGAGATTTTTTTCAAGTGCCACAAAAAAAAAACGTGTACCCAAGATGCTTACAAAGTCTTCCAAAAACAAAATTCCTTGAGATTTTTTGAAATTCTTTGAAAACAAAAGGCACCTCCCGGATTATATAAAAAAATTCAGGAGCAAAACAATCTTTTTCAAAAATAGAACAGCAGTTATGCCCGAGAATTATTCAGTTGTTTCAAAAATAAAACCAGAGCCCCTCCCCCACACTTTTCTTAATTTTTTTTTTTCAAAAATACTACAGCAGGAATAATATATATACCTGAGACTTTTTCAGATGTTAAAAAAAAAGCTAAGGTCCCCAAGAACCTCTTCAACTGTTTCAAAAAGAAAATTTCAGGGTCCCTCCAGGTTTTTTGAAATATTTTCAAAACAAAACGGGTCTCCGAGATCATATCAAATTTTTTCAGGAACAAAACACCAGAGGTCCTCAAAACTCTTTCAGTTTTTTGCAAAATAGAACACCAGGGATCCCCAAGATTTCTTCATTTGTTTCAAAAATAAAATCAGGGATCCCCAATCTTTCTTCAGTTTTTTTCAAAAATAATACAGCCTGAACTTCCGAGATTTTTTCAAGTGTTAAAAAAATGTACGGTCCCCAACAGCCTTTTAAATTCTTCCAAAACAAAATTCAGGTTCTGAGATTTTTTGAAAATTTTTCAAAATAAAGAGGTGTCCGATATTATATCACTTTTTTTTTCAGGAACAAAACAGACAAGACATTTTCAGTTGTTTGAAAAATAAAACATCAGGAACCCCCGACATTCTTTCAGCTTATTTCAAAGATAATGCAGCAGGAACGTCGACATTCTTTCATTTGTTTTCAAAAATAATACAGCAGTACCCCGAGATTTTTTTCAGTGTTATATCAAATTTTCATGAACAAAACATCAAAGGCTCTAAAGATTCTTTTTCAAAAATAGGACACCAAAGATCCCCGAGATTTCTTCAGTTGTTCAAAAATAAAACTAGGGACCCCTTTCTTCGATTTTTTTCAAAAATTAGATATACAGCCTGAATCCCCGAGATTTTTCCAAATGTTAAAAAAATGTTGGGTCCCCAAAAGCTTTTTAAATTCTTGCAAAAGCAAAATTTCAAGGTCTCGAGATTTTTTAAATATTTTGGAGAACCAAACACCCCAGGCCTCAAGATTCTTTCAATATTTTTCAAAAATAAATCATCAGGGATCCCCGAGGTTCTTTCAGTTTCTTCAAAAACAAAACACCGGGAACCCCCAACATTCTTTCAATTGTTTTCAAAAATAATACAGTAAGAACACCGAGATTTTTTCAAAAAAAGGAGGGTTCCCAAGATCGTTTCATATTCTTCCAAAATAAAATATGAGGATCCCCGAGATTTTTTGAAATTTTTTCAAAACAAAAGGGACCTCCGAGATTGTTAAAAATTTTTCAAGAACAAAATACTCCAGGCGTTCAAGATTTTTCAAAAAAAAAAAAAAATAGAACACCAGGGATCGCCGAGATTTCTTAAGTGGTTTCAAAAATAAAATTAGGGACCTTCAACTTAAAAAAAATTCAAAAATAATATAATTTAGCAGGAACACCCCAGGTTTTTTCAACTTTGTGTTAAAAAAAATTAGGGTTACCCAAGATCCTTTCAAATTCTTCCAAAAACAAATTTTGAAATTTTTTCAAAACAAAAGGGTGAAATTCTTTCAAAACAAAAGGGGCCTCCATAATTATATCAAACTTCTTCAGGAATAAAACACCGGCAGTCCTCTAGATTCTTTCAATTTTTTTCAAAAATAGAACACCAGGGAACCTCGAAAATTCTTCAATTGTTACAAAAGTAAAAAAACGGGATCGCCCAAAATTCTTCCAAAAAAGGGCCTTCAGAGGTTATATCAAATTTTTCAAGGACAAAACATCAAAGGACCTGACGATTTTTTCAATTTTTTTCAAAATACCAGAGATCCACGATATTTTTTTCAACTGTTCTAAAAATAATAGGTACAGCAGAAACCTCAGAGATTTTTTCAAGTGCTACAAAAAAAAACGCAGTGTACCCAAGGTCGTTATAAATTCTTCCAAAAACAAAATGTCAGGTTCCCCGAAATTTTTTGAAATTCTTTCAAAACAAAAGGAACCTCCTGGATTATATCAAAATTTTTCAGTAACAAAACACCCCACGTCTTCAAGATTTTTTAATTTTTTTCAAAAATAGAACATCTGGGATTCCTGAGGTTTCTTAAGTTTTTTCAAAAATGAGATAATATAACAGGAACCCCAAGATTTTTGCAAGTGTTTAAAGAACTGGAGGCCCACCCAAGCTCCCATCAAATTCTTCCAACATTTCAAGTTCCCCAAATTTTTTGAAATTCTTTCAAAACTGAAAGGGCCTCCTAGATTATATCAAACTTTTTTAGGAACAAAACATGGGAGGTCCTCTAGATTTTCTAATTTTTTTTCAAAAATAGAACACCAGGGATCCCCGTGAATTCTTCAGTTGTTGCAAAAATAAAAAACCGGGAACCTCCGACATTCTTTACATTTTTTTCAAAAATAATACAAGAAACTCGACATTTTGTTGATTGTTTTCAAAAATAATACGGCAGAAAGCCGAAGATTTTTTAAAGTGTTAAAAAACGTAAGGTCACCCCAAATTCTTCCAAGAACAAAAGGGCTTTCCGAGATTATATCAAATATTTCAGGCACGAAACCTCAAAGGCCCCGACGATTTTTTTAAAACACCAGAGATCTCTAAGATTTTTTTTCAACTGCTCAAAAATAACACAGCAGAAACCCCAGAGTTTTTTTCAAGTGCTGTAAAAAAACGTAGTCTACCCAAGATGCTTACAAATTCTTCCAAAAACAAAGTGTCAGGTTCCCCCAAGATTTTTTGAAATTCTTTCAAAACAAAAGGAACCTCCCGGATTATATAAAAAAATTCAGGAGCAAAACATCTCAGGCCCTCAAGATTTTTTCAACTTTTTTCAAAAATAAAACCAGGGCCCCTCACCTTTTTTATTTATTTTTTTTTCAAATATAATACAGCAGCAATAATATACCTGAGACTTTTCCAGATGTTAAAAAAATTTAAGGTCCCCAACAACCTCTACTTCAAAAACAAAATTTCAGGGTCCCTCGAGGTTTTTTAATTTTTTTCAAAACAAAACGTATCTCCGAGATCATATCAATTTTTTTCAGGAACAAAACATCAGAAGTTCTCAAGACTTTAAATTTTTTGCAAAATAGAACAGCAGGGATCCCCGATCTTTCTTCAGTTTTTTTCAAAAATAATGCAGCCTGAACTTCCGAGATTATTTCAAGTGTTAAAAAAATGTACGGTCCCCAACAGCCTTTTAAATTCTTCCAAAACAAAATTTCAGGTTCTCGAAATTTTTCAAAACAAAACGGGTCTCCGAAATTATATAATTTTTTTTCAGGCCCAAAACACGAGAGGTCCTTAAGATTCTTTCAAATTTTTCCAAAATTAGAACACTAGGGATCTCCGTTGTTTCAGTTGTTTGAACAATAAAACATCAGCAACCCATGACACAGTGGTGGCTCGTGACCTTTTCAAATGGGGGGACACAACTCGCGTTTTGCCATGAACACTTTTTTATCAATAAATCGAAGCCCTAAATTTTTCACTACAATTTTATTATCGTAAGACCGAGGACGATTTTTTATTAAACATTCAACTGAATTCATTATTTTTATTTAAAACTGAATTACTGCTAGCGGTCTCTGTTCAAATAGGACCCAATTCCAGCCAAACACAGCGACTAGAGGCGCGGTTTCCATGGCAACGGTGTAAACAAAACGTCTAAATGAGTCATGATTTGGTCTCGGTCTCCGTTTACAACATCTGTAGAAGTTTTGATACATTTGATAGAAATGGAGCGAGATAAAAAAATTAGTTTTAAGTTTTAATAGTTATAACACCAACTTCCGGATAATTTTTTAAATATTATTTTTCTTCGAGATTTCATTTTTTATGAACAAAACTTCAAAGGCCCCAAAGATTGTTTCAAAATTTTTCAAAAATTAGATATACAGCCTGAATCCCCGAGATTTTTTCAAATGTTAAAAAAAATGTAGGGTCCCCAAGAGCTTTTTAAATTCTTCCAAAAACAAAATTTCAGGGTCTCGAGATTTTTGAAAATTTTGGAAAACAAATTTTTTTCAAAAATAGAACATCAGGGATTCTGGAGGTTTTTTCAGATGCTTCAAAAATAAACCACCGAGAACCACCGACATTCTTTCAATTGTTTTCGAAAATAATGCAGTAAGAACGAGTTTTTTTCAAAAAAAAGGAGGGTTCTCTAGATCGTTTCAAATTCTTCCAAAAACAAAATATGAGGTTCCCCCGAGATTTTTTGAAATTCTTTCAAAACAAAAGGGACCTCCGAGATTGTTCCAAAATTTTTCAGGAACAAAACACCCCAGGCCTTACAAGATTTTTCAATTTTTTTCAAAATTAAAACCCCAGGGATTCCCAAGATTTCTTAAGTTGTTTAAGAAATTAAAGCATGAGATTTGTTTAAGCGTTGAAAAAAACGAACCTCCCAGATTCTATCAAAATTTTTCAGGAACAAAATATCCCAGGCCTCCAAGATTAATGTTTTTTTCTTTTTTCAAAATAGAACACCAGAAATCCTCCAAATTATTCAAATTTCTGCCAATAATTATCCGAAAAAGGGGCCGAGTTGTAGCTTTAAAACATCCCAAAGATTTAAGTGTACTAACCTTACAATTTAATGAACTTGTTAACATTTTGCTGTTTGTACGGCTTCCACTTTACGGTTTCCGTTCGACTCAATTCACAATTACGAATAAATGTAAAATAATTCTCGGATTCTGAATTATAAAATTTCTAAGAATTAAAAGACAGAACGGAAGTTTTGAGTTTGCTACTTTTTCAGCTAGAATAAACTTAGTGTTCTTAATTATAAAACTTATTAGTGAGAACAAAAGACTGAACTCCTACCCCGCAAATTTTTGCTTCGAAAATTAGAAAAGTTAGATAGATGTGTGGGCGTCTCAAAAGCAAGTGGGAGTGAAATGAATACCTACATTACCGTTAGGTACACGATACCCTAAAGAAATAATTCCAGAACCAGAAACTGTATCAAGAATCTCGTGGACGGTTTTAATTCACAGAACACAAACATTGTGTAATATATCGAATATTTGATATTTGTTAAAAGAGTATGTATGATTCTTTTAACTAATACGTAGGTAAATCAGCGATGTTTGTCTAAACTCATACTCAAAGTTCAAAAATTACATAACACAATCGTATTTAGGTACTATTTTAGAAAAAGTAGTGTCTAAATACCGGAAACAACCACAAATGCTAACCAAAATTTGTCACATCATCCCCACCAAAAAAGTGATGACGTCACCTCAAAACTTCTCCAAGTAAATTCTAATCAAAATGTGCAATAATACGCTTCCATACATCTGATTTATTAATCCACGCATTTTTAATCTTACACATTTAGATTTATCAAAAAAATAAAATAAAATTTAACTTAGGAAATATGCACAAGCTTTAAGGTTATTACGAATATGGTCATTGGCTATTCAGAATTTACCGATTCATCCCTTCGAAAATTTTCAGTTTGACTTTATCCGTAAATTTTGTAAAATTTGTATAATCAGATTTTATAAGTTGAAAAAACCGACAATTTAGACCAATTTTGTAAATTTATATGACAATTAAATAATGATTATAGTAAAGCTGCAGTATTTATGATATTTAAAATTAATACAAAGTTGCAGGATCATGTTGTAAATTTTGACTGATGAGTAATTATGGAAAATATTTGCGAGTTATTTTTTGACTAGTTGCGTACTACATTAGAAAGTCGCCAATTTCTTAACGCTAGCCACGTATTTTATAAAATGGGAAGGACAGGTACGTTTTGACGAGGGTTACGTAGCCATTAACTCGAATTAGTTTGTATGATTTAGGAAGAAGTTCGACGACGGCGTTATCTCCATCATCTAAGGTGACATAATCCCCAAAGTAAACTTTCATACGGGTTAATAATATCCTGAAACTTATAAACTTCTCGAGGATCTTCACCCAAGTTAAAAGTAGATACTTAAATATTTATTAATATTTGGAGAAGTTTAATGCACGTGCAAACACGAGTATCGAAACGTAAAGTGCCCGCATTTGTGATATTAATAATTTAAGAAAAATGGACCGCTGGCGTATTTGTTTATTCAGGTAAATACGGTTTGGACACATTCTGAAGCAAAATATAAACAGCGTCTGAAATTAAACCACCTTTTAAGACTTGACGTCATTTCGAGGAAACTCGATATAAAAATGATTTTTTGTGTTCGTGAATTTGGGTCGCGGGACCGCGGCTGATTAATTCTGTGTTTTGCGGCGTTTCGATTTTGCAAGACGAATCGAAGCGTATCTGCCACAAATTTCAAAAGCCTCTGTTTACCCTTGGAGATATTTTCATTTCCTCCTATTTATGCGAATACAGCAAGACTATTTTTGTTTGCTATGTTAGCAATGTCAAGTTGTCCACCCACCAAACTCAGACTACGTTATTTTTGGGTAATATTGATGGATGCGCTATTTTAGAAATTCTAATTTACGCGTTTTACGAACAATTAAAAATAAAACACCTTTTGCAACTCCGCTGCGCCCTTTTTATAGCTTATGAATCATTCGTATTTATAGAGGCAGCGATTTTTTTATTTAAATGGTCAAATGCGTGCCTCTGGGTGTCGGCATCTGAGACTCGGGTCAGGCCGGAGCACAGTTCACGTGTAATTCAGATGCCTATACTGTCTGTAAAAATACTACATCAAGGTTGGGAGACTGTGTCACACGCGAGTATATTCGCGGAAGCTAGTAATGCAGCCCAATTTTAGACCATTATGAAACATTTTCGCCGTCGAGATGACGCAGGATCCTATGACGTCCACTTAAAGAAAAGCCAGGACTGATAACGAACGTTATTATTACTTACTGTACTGTATAACAAACAAAGTATAAATTTATTTGATCTTTGCTAACTTCCTCGGTTTGAATGCATCTGGCGTAGGCGGTGAACCCTTGACTTGAGGCTGCAACACATGACTTAAGACAATGAATGCACAGCGGACAGACATACCATAACGTATAAATGAGTAGGTAACGACCTGTCAACAAGGGACTTGAGCTGGTCTTGTCTCAAATCTGGCACTTCACCGGTATTTTCTGGTATTGTCAAAATTAGCTTCGGCAGAGCTACACTGCCAGCTATCAGAGGGTATAAGTTGTACTGGATTGTCTTCTCTGATTCAGGCAAAACCGATACGTTGAACTGAAAGAAGTGTTGAGATTTATATTAATTGTACTCGTCACTTTTGACACGTACGTTACACATATCCATCAACCTGTAATTTGTGTTGACTGAATCAAATATGGACGATGAAAGAAAATCGGCAGATATTTTTTTAGACATACATATGTCAGCGTGTAATAAATTAGAAAGTCACACGTGCAAAAAACTTTGCAGACCCAAAAAGGTCGTTTTATAAAACTGCACCGTACCTGTTTATAACCAGCATACATGAAGGCTTCACTTGCTTCCATAGCTATTTCTAGTTGTAATAGTTGTTGGGATCTATTGTATAAGTGGTAGCTTATCAGTAGAGGGGTACGCACAAGCCCGTGGGCAGGAGCTATCATCTTTAGTTCTAGTGGTATCCACTCACAAGGGTATCCCAGGATGGTTAGCTGACTAGTTGTACCGAGACCATTTTCTCTAAAAAAAAAACTTGTGATCATTTATTTTTAATAACTTTAAAATAATAATGTTTGTTCGCTGTTTGTTGACGATTTTATTAAATATTTAATATAATTTAATTTTTAGGTTTCCATATTAATCTACACGGTGAGTCAATAAAAGCTCTCTCAAGAACGACAAAAAAGCTACGACTTTCATTGTTTCCAGGTTCAACCAGAGTCGGGTGTTTTTGATTATTTTTTTATATAAAACTAGATGCAATTATCTTTCAAAATAACTTTAAGTATTTTCAGAATTCAAAATTTCCTTGATAAAACCTTTTACGTCACACACCTACAGACTCGAAAGCTACCAAACACTTGCTCCTAACTTACTTTAAAAATTAACTACGAAATAAATACATGATAAGTTACGTCAAATTTGTAAAAGCTGATACCAGATTCGTAGTCGGATTCAAATTTAACGTCCGCCATCTTGCACCGACATTTTGAATTTAAAAACCGCTATCAGATTCGAACTTGGAATCCCTAAGTTATTTTTTATATATTCTACGGATGGATAAATGAAAATAAGACCTTTGCTGTAGCACCATTAACAGTAATTGAGTCTCGGTGTGCAGTATTTATAAAAAAAAATTAAAATATTATAATTTTCAAATAGTTATATCTCAATATTTTCATATAGAACACCCTGGAATTGTATTACCGTATCTCACTCAATCTTTTGTCCTGTGTTTATTTTGTTAAATAAGAATAAAAGCATAGAAAAAGATCTAGTAATAAAATACGGGTTGAATACTTGAAATTTATAATATTTGAGAATATTTTTATAACATTTTACACTTACGAACAATAATTTTGAAATATAATGTACACAGGGTGAGTCATTAAGCGCGCGTTTCCCGATGTCTCATTAAATAATTATTTAGAAATAGAAGAAAAAGTCAAAGACCAAAATTGTGCGGTTCTTTCTTATTTTTAGCTATTCTGTTTTTAAGACGTAACACACAACTTCGTTTTTTTTTTCATGAAACATCCTATATATTTTACATGTTTTGATTAGCGTCTTCTCAGACTTTACAATTAGTTTATTTTTGAAATATCGATGCGACGTTGCCGCGTTATTCCAATTTTCCTGAATTTTTTTCGCAATGGAAGGGTTCAGTTTTTTTTTTTCAAATAGAACACATTATACTTATTTTATTACTCCATCTTATTCTATTTTTGTTCTCTTTTTTTTTTTAAATTTAATTTAAAGTTGATTATAACTGCGATTTTTTACTTTGTTAAGGACACATCGACATAATAATAATAATAATAATAGGTTTTATTGTGCCTTAAGAAATGATACATTTCAGCAATGTCAAGACAGTATGTCATATCGACAATAAATATGCACGTGGTGCAAAACATACATGTGTATATGGACAGCATAACATTTAGCAAATATAAAAGATAGAAGCAGCACCCACTTCACATTATTTATTAAATACTGATTTAATTGACCTTATATCAGTATCATAAAGTGGAGATTTTAACAGCAATGTTTTAATTTTTATTAGAAACTGGGGCATTGGTAGTGACGCAATATTATCGGGTAGGCAGTTGTAAAACTGAGGGCCATAGTAATTGATGGAGTTTCTACTTTTATTTATTCTCCGAAAGTCAAGGCAAATATCATCACCCTGTCTGGTGTTATAACAATGGTGGTCGCGATTTTTCGTGTAGCTTTCAATGCGCGTTTTCACATTTACTAAACATTGGTATACATAGAGCGATGGAACTGTCAAGATTTCATGTTCTACGTAATATTGCCTCACATCTTCTCTATAGTTCACATTAGATATTATACGAATTGCTTTCCTCTGAAGTTTGAAAATTCTGGGAAGATGTGTTGTATGTCCCCAAGTCGCAAGAGCATACGCAAAATGGCTCTGGAATAGGCTGAAATATACTAATTTTTTAATGTTAAGTGACACTATACTACTGAGTTTACGTAATAGGTAAATTGTTTTTGCAAGTTTCTTGCTTAAGACATCAACATGAGCTTCCCAGCAGAGAGTTGTATCCAACGTTATGCCTAGAAATTTAGTGTGGTTAGGATTGTCTATGCCAATATATCGCGTGGAAAATATCATTGTAGATGTTTTGTCTTTGTTCAAATATAGGCCATTGCGATGAAACCAGTTCTGAGCATTTGATTGTGCAGCGGCCAGCTTTCCAGTCACAGTCGCTAATCTACGGTTAGCTGTGCTTAGGGTGGTATCATCAGCATATAATATTAGATTAACATCATCAACTGCTGCTGGTAGATTGTTGATATAAACTATAAACAGTAGGGGTCCCAAAATGGACCCTTGTGGAACGCCATACGTCGTTATTTGGCACTGTGACAAATGAGAATTATATAATGTGGTTTGACAGCGTTTGGATAGATAGTTTGATAAGAGCGTTACAGATGAATTTGCTATACCTATATTTCTTAGTTTTGAGACAAGTAAACTATGATCAACACAATCAAACGCCTTGGAGAGATCACAAAATGTAATACCGACATATTCCTTATTTTCGAAACCGTCGCTGATAAAAGAAACAAGTTCGTTAATTGCCATAGAAGTCGACTTCTTTGCTATAAAGCCAAACTGTGATGTAAATAATATATTGTTATTGACCAGAAAATCAGTTAGTTGTTTGTTCAAAACCTGCTCAAAGATTTTTGATAGTACAGGGATTATCGCAATTGGTCGATAATTATTATAATCATCTACATTACCTTTTTTGTGAACTGGGACAATTTTGGATTTTTTTAGACAATTTGGGAATATACCATATCTTATGCTGTAGTTTATCATTTTTGTGAGAGGGCTTATGATTGAGTTTATAACAGATTTTATCATTATAATGTTGAGTTCGTACAAATCTTTACTAGTTTTATTTTTCATTTTGCCTATCAGTTCTCTGAGATAAATGGGAGTAATTTCACTAAAATTAAATTTTACATTAACATGATTTAATGGTTTGTCCTTTAGATTCACGTGATTTTTTGGTATCTTTGATTTGAGTAGATTAATGTTATCAATGAAGAATTTATTAAAACCTTCTGCATTGAGATTTTCCGAATATACATTGGAATGATCATGATTTCTGTTAGCATTAATCACTTTCCAAGCAGCTTTGTGTACGTTTACAGAGTTTGTCAAGATCTGATCGCAGTTGTGCATTTTAATTTCATTTATTTTATTGTTAAGAAGTTTTTTATAGTCTTTTAAAGCAGTTTTGAAGAATGCAGTGTTTGGGAAACGAGACTTTAAATTGTGAAATAACTCAACTATGTTTTTTATGCGTATTATTTGAGGATTCTTATTTAGCACCACGGTAGTAGAATACTTGCTGCTATTGAAGGTTCTTAATGGAAATGATTTTATTGCCGCGTTTGAAAGAATAGTCACAAACTCATCCCATATATGTTCTAGGTCTGCTGCCTCTGTAATGTTTATGATATGGTCCCAATTTATTTCTGATATTTGGCTATGGAACAGATTTAGACATATTAAAAGAATGAGAACAAAAATACAAGTGAAGTGTTCTGTTTGAAAAAACTGAAATATACCGATATTTGAAATTTGTAAAGTTCAAAATTTTCTTTACAAAGATTCTGTGTTCATACAAAATTTGATTCAATTGATACGATAAAGCACGTACCTTTATTTATCCTCCCACAAAATATTGTAAGACGTACTTTAAAAATAACCCTACTGCCATTTTTTGTGAACCCTTCCATTGCAAAAAAAAAAAAAAATGGAATAACATGGCAAAGTCGCAACGGAATTTCAAAAATAAACCATTATTATAAAGCCTACGAAGAGGCTAGTGAGAATCTGAAAAAATTGGTCGAAGCTGCTTCAACAGAACTTCCCTCGTACCTAAAGTACAGTGAAACATATTCAACATTTTTGAGTTGAGTTTTTACTTTATACAGAATTGTGCACCATAATACTAAAAATAACTAGAGATGAGCGATATTTCACTACCGGTGATTATTTCCAGGGCCGGTTCTGATGGGCGTGCAGGAGGTGCCCGCACGCGGGCGTAAAATTTAAAGGGCGCAAAAATCGGCTATCGCATATAATTATTTTTTAATCAAATCTCTGGTTTGTTTTATCTCTGGGCGCCTTTGTTTGATATGTTGTTTCAGTCAAGTTCTGTAATAAATCTTGTGAATGCACCACATGTGCGTTTGTGCATGTGCGGTCCGGTCCCTATGAATCTTTGACACGGTCAGCTTTGATTCAACCGACAGTTTTCTAAACTTGCATTTTTAGACCGGAAACATAAATTCCAATATTCCAAGAACTGATTTGTCTTTACTCTGCAAATATTGCTTGGAGTAGTTGGCGTGTGCATGTGCAGTCATTTAGGTTTTCTTCAGCCAGTTAGCTGTGTGTTACCACTGTTAAGTGTCTTTTGTAAAGTGTTATAAAAACTGGTAATCAATATTGTGCAAAACATACTAGAATTTGTGGTTCAAAGTGTTTCTTATTTTTGCCGATAACGTGGATAAAAAAGGTATTTTTGTTTTTAAAAAATTATAATAATTTATAGTTATAATGCCTTTTTAAAACAGATCAATAAATGTCTGAAACAAAGACAAAACGTCCTTCTGGTGCATTTTTTCGAAAAAGAAAAATGAAAAAAGATGCCGAAAAGCAACAATTACAAGGTGCAATGTCAAAATATTTGAAGCTAGATAGTCAAGCATCCACTTCTACGCCAAGGGCGGTTATTGAAGATAAAGAAATCGGTGTAAAACAAGACAATGAAGCTTCTACATCGGGAATAATTACTTCTAATGACGACGGAGATCTTGAAACTCAAGCAGAGGATGTTACAGAATTTTCAGATATGCTGCCGTCTGAAGATTTCAACAACGAATTAAATGAATCGAGTATTGAGGATGAATCTGATATGAGATCAGAATCAGAATTTTCTATAGATTTTGATTTAACCGATCCCTATTGTTGGCCGACTTCTATATCTAGTAAAATAAGAACAATTATTGTGCAAAAAGATCCGAAACAAATTAAAAATATTATTTTTCCGGTCGACGATAATGGAAGATCATTTTCGTCTTCACAATATATGAGAAATTTACCCAACGGTGAAAAAATGAAAAGAAATTGGGTAATTTATTCCAAAAAATCAAACAGCGTATTTTGTTTTGCTTGTAAATTGTTTGGTTTAAAGCAAAACAAGCTTACAGATAATTTAGGATTTTGTGATTGGCGACATTTAGCTTCTAATTTATCTCGTCATGAGGTAAGCATTGAACACATGGAAAATTGTAAAAAGTGGTTTGAACTGAAAATAAGATTGGAAAAAAATTGTACAATTGATAAAGAACAACAACATTTCTTTGAATCTGAAAAAAAACGATGGCGAGCTATAATTGAGAGAATGATAGCAATTGTGCAATTTTTAGCAGGACAATGTTTGGGATTTAGGGGTGAAAATGAAAAATTGTATCAATCTAATAATGGAAACTTTCTAAAGGCTGTCGAGATGTTGGCAAAATTTGACCCAATAATTTGTGAACATGTTAAAAACATTAAAATGTCTCAAGAATTAAAGACCCATATGCCACACTATATAGGAAAAATTTTTCAAAATGAAATTATATCCGTCTTAGCAACCGCAATAAAATCCAAACTAAATAAATTAATAGTAGCCGCTAAATACTTTTCAATCATTTTAGATTGTACTCCAGATGTTAGTCATGTAGAGCAGATATCGTTTGTCGTCAGAATTGTTAACGTAACAAATTCAAATGTCTCAGTATGCGAATTGTTTTTAGGATTCTACCCTGTACATGACACGACCGGCGAGGGTTTATATAATTATTTAGTAAACGATCTCTTGAAGAAATATGACTTAAACGTACAAAATATTCGCGGACAAGCGTATGATAACGGATCTAATATGCGTGGCAAAAATTCAGGGTTGCAAACAAGGCTCAAAAACATTAATCCAAGAGCTCTTTTCATTCCTTGTGCATCTCACACATTAAATCTTGTAATTAATGACGCTGCTAAAGTTACTTTTGAAACAGTAAATTTTTTCAATGTTATTCAAGAGTTATATAATTTTTTTTCAGCATCCCCCTATAGATGGGAAGTTTTAAAAAATAATATTCCTAGGCTCACTTTAAAACCTGTGAGTGATACTAGGTGGGAAAGCAGAATAAACGCTATTCGCCCTCTGAGACTTCAGCTAAATAGCATTATTAAAAGCTTAAATGACTTAACTGAGGATAGTTCTCGAGACATCAAAACGAAATATACGGCCAACGGATTGTTAAACAAATTAACAGACTTTAAATTTATTTGTTCCATTGTTATTTGGGATGATATATTATCAAAAATAGATGTAGCAAGTAAAATGTTACAAAGGCCGGGGTCAAATTTAAGTGAATGCTCAAGAATATTAAATGATATATTAAAATTTGTCAAAGATAAACGATGTGACGAAGAATTTCACAAATATATTAGTGTTGCGAAAAATTTTGCAGCTGAAAATAACGTTTCTGCTGAATTTTCAATTATTCGCAAAAAAACAAAAGTAAGACATTTTAATTACGAATGCCCAGGCGACAACTTGGAAGATCCTATAGAAATTTTTAAAATAGATTTTTATTTTGTAATTTTAGATACCGCTGTAACAGCAATTGAAGAAAGATTTCGAAATTTAAATGACTGTAATAATTTATTTAAATTTTTATGCGATTTTCAAAATTTATCTGAAGAAGCATTAAAAAAAGCTTGTTTTGATTTGGACCTCAGTTTACAAGCAAATGTCGAAAATTCATTATTAAAAGACATAGATGGTTTAGATTTATTTCACGAATTAAAAACATATAAAATCATACAAACAAATTCTTTGAATCCTATTCAAAATTTAAATTACATCGTTAACAATAATTTACAATCATCATTTCCTAATTTATTTATTTCTTTTAGAATTTTTTTGAGCTTACCTATAAGTGTTGCCACTAGTGAAAGAAGTTTTTCAAAGTTAAAATTAATAAAAAATTATTTGCGATCTTCTATGAGCCAAGAGCGGCTAAGTGAATTAAGTCTTTTAGCAATTGAAAATGAACTTTGTGAAAGCTTAGATCTGTCCGATCTTATAGACGACTTAGCTAGGAATAAAACTAGGAGAGTTAAATGGTAACAAATAGTGATGTTATCTTTTTCCTGTCAAGTATCTCACTTAAATTTATTTAATTGTTTGAGCTATTGTTTTTTCTTTCATATTATGTCTACCTACATGCTGTATTAAATAAACTGTTTTTTTGCTTATTTTTTACCATTTATTTGTAAACAAGTTAGGGGCGTAAAAAACCCACTCGCACGCAGACTACTGACAAGCCAGAACCGGCCCTGATTATTTCACCGTGATCTGTTTGTCACTGTTGGTAACCGTGACTGGTATCGGCAAGTAACGGCGACCGTGATTTTTCTTTTTAAAATTGATTCCGGTAATACGAAACAGTGAATGGTGAATTTTGCTTTTATTTTCTTTTTATACAGTTTGCCATAAAATCTGAGGCGACATCTAGTTATTTCGAGGTAGTTTTTCTCTAATTAATTATGCATTTTATGCATAATGTTTTTATGTGCCAAAGAATTTACATTTACTATATGATTTGTTGTTATTTATTTGTTCCCAACAATTACTATTTATTCATTCATCGATATATCGGAATTTTCTGCTGTTCACATGGCACACCGTTTCACCGTTCCTCCGCGAAAGAATATTGAAACCGTTCCTACGATCACCGTTCCTGCGATCACCGTTCCTCCGCGAGAGAATATTGAAACCGTTCCTGTGATCACCGTCCAAGTCACGGTGACAAGAAAGAACCGTGAAAAGTCACGGTTCACGCCGGCGCGGTGATCCTAGTATTAAATCGCTACTTTCGTCGCTCGCCGTTCCTTGATCACAGAGATATGGAGAAGGAGAATGAGCTTCGACTTCTGCGCATCGGTACACTATGGGGGCCGCCATTTTATCAGTTAACCTTAAAGTTTTGTTTACCTACGAGGTTACGACGTTGTTGAACCAGTTGTAATTTGGAGTTAAAATTATTACTTAATTTGTTTTACCGTTAGTGTACGTGTGAACGTGCTTGTTAGTGTTAAAGGACATTATTATTGACAACAAACATGTCTTGTGCAGTTTCTCACTGTAAAAATTGTCAACGATTTCGTTCAGAAGGTGTATCTTTTCATCAGTAAGTTTTCTTCATTATCTTATTAAAATCGAATACGTAGATAGTTATAATTAATAACAATTGGTTATTGCAATACTATGTGATCAATATTTATTATATCTGATTTTAGGTTTCCGAAAGATCGAAAACTTTTAAAAAAGTGGCTGATTGTTGTGAAAAAAGATGACAGTTTCAAACTGACTAAGTATAAGCTGGTGTGCTCAGATCATTTCACAACAACTGATTTCATTGTTGTAAATGAGTGAAAACGATTGAAATCGAACGCAATTCCCAGTGTGAATTTAGATGAAAGTCTAGAAGCTTCTTCAACTTCAATGAGTACTGTGAGTGCTACTTCAGCTGATATTTGAGAAGAGTCTCCATCGATTATACCTCAAGGTGTAAAGAGGACATTAAGGTTTGAATATTTTATTATATTGAATTTTTTACTACTGTTAATAATTATTATTTAGTGCTGCGCAGAGATACCATGGAAAAAGCAGTAGCAGTACAAGTGGAAGTAAAAGCAAGAACTCAAAAAGTAGTTCTGACAGGAGGGAAGGTGATAAGCTGGCGTTACATAAAAAAACTACATGAATTACAAAGTGATGAATTCCTAAATGTTGCAAACAAGTTGAAAAAGGCACATTTGGAGTGATGGAAACATAAAATGAAAGTAAGTTGTTTTCCTGACAATATTCCTTATTGACAATAATTAAGTTCTATTATAGGTGAGTTTAGCAGCACAAACTCTTAGCAAGAGTTGCGGATGCACTTGAATTTTTAAAAGATCTTGGTATTAGTGACTTTCAAGGTTGTGAAACAACAATAGAATTCATCAGAAGGATAGATTCTTTATTTGATATTCTCAATTCCCGAAGTGTACGTGCTAAGAATTTTAAGGCACCTTTGAGAGAAAACAATGAAGAAATGTGGCGTCCATTTCTCATCGACACCAGTGAGTATCTTCTGAATTTGAAGGATGTCACTGGCGGCCCTTTGTGGTGCACGCCCCGAAAAACGTCAATTCTGGGCTTTGTTATTTCCGCTACGTCGTTCATGGGAATTTTTGATGAATTTGTTAGTAGTAAGAGGTTGAATGACTTGCTAACATAAATGTAGTCAAGATCATCTAGAAATTTTCTTCTGCTCAGTGCGGTAAGCTTTTAAAAAAACAATTGTATTACTTTTTTATGCACTGGAATTACACAAATCTGTATTTATTTTTCTGTTTTCAGATCGAGAAATGGGTGAAACAATAACCCTACTCCTCTACGATTTTGTAAAACTTAGAAGATTGCTTCTATTTACAAACATAACGAGGGAAGGAGGAAATTGTAAAGTGCTTTGCACCACCTGTCTGCTCTCTGTTAACATTGGCCCAAAGCAAAAGAGCACAAATGTTCAACAATCAGTTGACGTGTTTGTCTTGAAAAAATATGATCTCGATATTTTGACTGAAGCACTTGCAGATCATGACTATGACCGTCTAAGTTTATTGGGCTGAGTGAAGTGGCAGAAAACGTGGCATATATTGGTAGCTATGTTGTCAAAATGGTGGTGAAGACGTTTAAGTGCGCAGACTGCATTTCTTCTTGTATTGAAACAAGAAGAAGTGACTTACACTTTTACAGATTATTGGACAAAAAAAACATGGGTAAAATCAAATACTTACAATAGTTATTTTTTAAGTCTTAACAAAATTTTGATTTTAGGTGGGCTTATTAAACCTTTTGCTGGGGTTGTGAAGACTTGTTGTTACTGTTAATACGAAAAATTTTGCAACTCACCGATAAACTTCCAAACGATGAACAATTTTTTAAAACTTTCGGCATGCCAGCATTCTTTTTCCTAATTTAGAAGACCCACGCACTCGAGACGGTGGCCATCGATGAAGGCCATTTATATATTCTTATTAAACAAATAATTAATGCCTACATGCGAATAAGAATGTTTCATTTGAGCAAAAGACTTTCATGTCTTGCTCAAGGCACTTCTGTTAGACATGTGTACACATAATTAGTACTGTTTTCGCATCAATAAATATATTGAAGTATAATTATGTTTATTTATTCGTTTAAGGTGAAATATATTTTAGTTGTGATTTATTATTAGGTCATTGTAATTAATGATTTTAAACTTCCCGCCCAATAATGAAGCAATTGTCTAGGGATATCAAGTTCTGTTAGTGATTTGTGATTATGTTGGCAACAGTCAACTGATAAAATGGCTGCTTTCAATTTTAGACCAAGGATTTCGTCTGCGCATGGGGAAGCTCATTCTCCTTCTCCATATCTCTGCTTGATCACCGTTTAAAATCACCGTGATTCAAAAGGAACGGTCGCCGTGATCACCGTGATCGCAAAATCACGGTATCGCTCATCTCTAAAAATAACAGTATTGTATTCCTAACATTTTATGTTATTGATTTAATCAATAACATAAATTGACACATTCATTAATTTTTTGAGGCACCTGTATAAGCAAATGTCAAAAATATGAATGCAGTGATAAATCACAAGTAAAAACTCACCATATTTTGCACATTTCGGGTAGACTTAGGAATTTAACTCGTTACTATGGAAATTTGCAACTAAGCACCTTTAAATTTCATAAGTTTTACAAGTTTAATACGGGCAAAATCAATCTTATCTTAGGAAGTGCTAGCCCCACACACCCGCCCCCTATTTTCCCAGAGGATGTCATTTTCCAAAATAAGTCTTATCTTAGTAAGTACTAGCCCCCTCTGAGAAAATAGAGGATGGGCGCGCGGGGCTAGTACTTGCAAAGGTAAAACTTGTTTTGGCAAATGACAAAACTCTGAGAAAGTAGGAGGGGGTGGGGTGGGGTGGGGGGGGGGGCTAGCACTTGCTAAGATAAGTTTGATTTTGCCCCTATTAAACAACTTGTAAAACTTGTTAAATTTAAAAGGTGTTAAATTGTATATTTCCATAGTAACGAGTTAAATTCCCAAATCTGATTGGATATTTGTTTTTTAACAACTCAGTCATTAATATTTTTTTCAGACACCTTGTATAAGCAAATTTCAAAAATATTAATTATAATTAAAAATAAATCACAAATATAGGCTTACGATATGATAACTTTAAAACATCTCCAAGATTTCAAAGGATTAAGTTCCTGATTCAATAAAATAAATTCACGCATTCATTAATTTTTTTGGCACACCCTGTTTAAGCAAATTTAAAAAATATCAATGCAGTGATAAATCACAAGTATAGACTGATCATATTTTACACATTTTAGATAGGATTTATCCAGTAAAATTCTGAGATGATGTTATAAATTTTTTGGAGAGGATAAGCAAATATACTTTGATTAAAAATGTATTATGCTTACCATAAGTTTAAAACACCTGCAAGATTTGAAAGCATTTAGTTTGGCAGATTCAAAATTAAATTGCAAAATGTAGTTTTTAATTTCGATTTTTTTCCAAAAATCTGGACGTTTTGGGTAAAAACTCAACACGCAGTCATAATACATGTGTAGGACTATGTTATTTTATACAATTTAAAACTCATTTACTACGTACAATTTTAAAGTGACGTCATCGCATTAGTGGTGGGGATGATTAAAGACATTTTGGTTAGCGTTTTACCATCTACATCAAGGTCCCTTTATAGTGATATAGTCACTATTACGGAACCTTGCATCTACATGACAGTCCTAATATAAATACAAAATTTGACAACAATCGGCCCAGTACTTTCGGAGATTATCTGTCTAATCAAAATCAGGACGGCAGACAGACGGACAGACAGACAGACAGAGAGACAGACAAACGGAAACAGGAGACCTATTTCTTCGTACACTAGGGGTCATGAAAGATCGAGAAAACGTAAAAGTAGAGGGTCGACCGACGGGCTCGATTACAATACTTCCTTAGCTTAGGCTCGGGAAGTAAAAATATGTTTTTACATATTGTGTTTCATTTAAAACAACTAGTTGTCTGTTACACCTTAAAAACAGAACACTCTGTATAAAAGCAGAACACTCTGTATAGTTAAAAATAATTTTAGAGTATAGTCCTTAAAGCACCGTACAACTTTGGTTGATTTTTTATTGTATCTCTAATAATTAATGAGATATCGAGCACCGCACACTTAGTGACTCACTCTGTATAATAATTTTTTTTCAATATAACGATTTAAGTTTCTTAAACACTTTATACTAGAAAGAACGCTTTATTTTAAACATTTTAGGTTAATGATAATTCTTCCATTTCTATGAGACTGAAATTGTTGAAAAAAAAGCCTTATAAAAACAAAGAAAAAGAACTTGAAACTTTTTCGAAAATCTTGGTCCTTGTGCGGAATCTCAATTTTTTTTTTTATTATTTACTCAAAATGTTTAAAAAAATTGGTCTAAAGAGTTTAGACAGTACTTCCCTCGCTGTCGAAAACATGACGACTGCATGCCTATTACAGTAGACGCCGCTTAATATGATCACGGTTAATGTTATCAACCGCTTAGTGTGATCAAAATGGCTTGGAACGGACCCACGCAATACCTATGCATTACAGTTTTTCCGTTTATTGTGATCAATATTTCGCTTATTGTGATCAATCTCGCAATTCTTATACAAACGGGAATTGCTTTTTTGGAGAAGCGAGCCGACTGAAACTAGTATTGTGTTTTAATGAACATTCATTGGTCTCAAAAGGTACATTCGCTTATACCACTCACTTTGTACAACCACAATCAGTGGTCAAAAACAGACTTAAGTAATCAGTGCGTTTTCGACTTTTGAACGAACGAATTTTTTCTGTTTTAAATTTGAGTAGTACTTATGTAAAAATTAGCACGTCGAAACGACGAAATCTTAGTTTATCAGAGAAAAAAAAATTCTCAGCCCTTACTTAACAAATTTCTACGACAACCAAAGGAAATCGAGGGTTCCTTTCTCAGAATGGTAACCAAAATTTAAAATAAATTCTAATGTTTATGTACCTTCATCTATCAGCGTAATAATCACTGTCTTGTTCATGATTTTGTTTTGTTTCGAGTTTTACTGTCTTTGATGGTGGGGTTCGCTTATTATTATCAGTCGGTTAGTGTGATCAATTTGTCTGAGTCCCAAAGTGATCACATTAAGCGGCGTCCACTGTATGTTTTTTTTTTCTCATTACAGTTTTGTAGCGGGTAATTAAAAAAAATGCGATGACGTCATCAACATCTTTGCAAGGACATGTATATCAGTTTGGATAGATGTAGTGTAATACTAAAAATAAAAGTACTGTATTCCCAAATTTTCGGGAAAATGAATTTGGGTCGTCTTGACTATTGATTTATAATCAATAAAGTAACGAAACAGTTTACTCACGTATGGCGCGTGTATTAGCAGAGGGGACTCAAATTCATTTATGTATAAGCTATAAGATTGTATACGTGAGAGTCAAACAGAAACTGCAAACAATACCCATGGTCGCCCAGACTTTTTTATTGCTTCGACTTCCGCTTATTATATAAAACATTGAATTTTATTTTAATTTTTGATAGTGCAATTCACAATTGGTTGATTATAACTTGTCTATACCACATTCACGGAACCTAGTCCTAGTCAGCGCAACAAAACAAATGCACGTCTGTAATTTTTAAAGTAAATGTAAATAAGCGTGCTACGTCTATGTTTCAAACGAGTTTTTACTTTACAAATTGGGTTGGTGCAGTGTAATATTAATAATAACAGTGTTGTGTGTCCAAATTTTCGGGAAAATGGAGTGAACTATTCCTAATTTAATCAATAAAATAAATTGACTCATTAATTAATTTTTTGAGCGACCTGTTAAGCAAATTTAAAAAATATGAATGGAATGATAAATCACAAGTACAGACTCATCATATTTTGTACATTTTAGATAGGATTTATTCGGCAAAATCTTGAGATGACGTCATCATTTTTTTGGAGGGGACAAGTAAATATATTTTGAATAATATAACTGTAAATTATCTGCAAGATTTCAAAGAATTCGGTTTTACAGATTCCAAATTAAATTTCAAAATGTTGTTTCATAATTTCGATTTTTTTTCAAAAAATCTGAACGTTTGGGGTAAAAACTCAATTGGGAGTCATAAACTACATGTGTAGGACTATGTTATTTTATACAATTTACAACCCATTTACTACGTACAATTTTAAAGTGACGCGATCGCATTAGTGGTGGGGATGATTAGGCAAATTTTGGTTAGCGTTTTACCATCTACATGATATTCCTAATATAAATACAAAATTTCACAACAATCAGTCCAGTACTTTCGGAGATTATGTGTCTAATAACAATCCGGGACGGCAGACAGACGGACAGATGGACAGCCGGACAGACAGATGCAAACGGAAGACTTATTTCTTCGTCTTCTAGGGGTCATGAAAGGTCGAGAAAATGTAAAAGTAGAGAGTCGGCCGACGGACTCGATTACAATACTTCCTTTGCTTACGCTCGAGAAGTAATAGTGTTTTTTAGTGCAATGTTTGAGTTCTTTTACAGCTAATATCCAAAATTCGTTATTATGCATAATAACTAATGCATTTTAGGTATTATGCGTAATAACTAAACTTGTCAGTTATTATGCATAATAACCGGAAATATTAGGAATTATGCGTAATAACTGAAAGCTACCCACCCTGCCTCGCTTTCCCCTACATATCATATGTACAGTTGATTTAAAAAAAAAGGGACAAATTACAGTAACATAAACGTCATATTCCCATTGCTTTTGATTGATCTATGAGAACCTGATTTGCTCATCTTGTCCGTTTTTTGTGAAATCAGGTGTGTTAGGAAATATGACTAATGTTTCAGGTATTATGCATAATTCCTGTTCCTCTGTTAGTTATTATCAATATTACCTAAACGTTTCCGTTATTATGCATAACTGAAAATTTCAGTTATTATGCATAATTCCTAATCTTCCCGGTTATTATGCATAACAACGTATTTCGGATATTAGCTGTAACATATATACATTAGTGTCCCGGTTTGAATTAAAATTTCGCGCTGAGAGAAGAAAAACAACGCCGCGAAACCACCTTCGAATTTGAAAAAATTAAGAATATCACTCGGTAACCAAGGCAACCACGTGTAGTGATCTTCAGTTAGGGTTGACCGCTTAGATAATAATAATTAATTAATGTCACCCTTTAAGTTGGTAGTTGGATAGGGATTGCTAAAGCAATAGAAAGCAGACTTGTTTTGGTTTTAATGCGTCACTTCTTAAGTTACTGTAAGCGCATTTAATTATTAATGATTATCGAATCTGAAATGTGTGAAATTTTGACGATGTCGTTAACATGTCGTGATAATTTTTATATTATATCCCTCAAATATTGCAAAACAGATGGTAAACGTAAAACCATTGTATTTTTTTTTGTAAATTTTAGCATTGTTAAAAAAAAGACCAACTCGGCAACGTCGCATCGAGATTTCAAAAATAAAACATGTTTATAAAGCCTAGGAAAAAGCTAATTATGAATTCAGCTAAAACTTCTAATATTAATTAATGAGATTCAACCTGTGTAAAACGTGATCATTTTAGTCATCTGATACTAGCAACTAGTGGCAGTGTAGTGGCGCTGACGTATGTAAAAATGAAAACAAAAACAAACTATTGAAAACAAAATTTCAAGCCGACAGTGCATTCAACTATTTATAAAACTAACAGTTTATTTATGTCACATGAAGTACTTGTATAATTTTGAGAGATTCAGTACTAAACATTCAAAATATAACATAATGAAAAAATGAAAATACGGCGCATTTTCTGAAAAAAATAATCAAAATTTAGCTAAAGTAATCTTACGTTCTGTTTTGTAATTGTGCATTTTGAATTTAGGAAAACGTTAAAGTTAATTTTAGTTCGGATTATTTTGAATGAAACTCCAACTGTCCTGTTTCACGGACTTCTGCTAGTTTTGTCGTAGTGTTTGAAATTTATTAAAATTGTTTATTTCTCCCTAAATTTGCATTAATAATTTTCCAAAATTCTTTGTCGATTTGAAGCATTTTTGTTGTTTAGCTCAAAATTTTGTTGCAATATGTCAATTCTCAACTTGTTTAATGTCAAATGTCTCATGAATTTTCTATATGAATTTTTGCTGTATTAACGCATCTTTGGAACTATTTATATAAAAATCGAATGAAAAAGTTGTTTAATAATAATAATAATAATAATACGCCTTTACCTATTACATGAATTCATTTAGAAAGAAATTGCATCTACACATTCTAAACTTTTGTTGTTACAACTTTCTCTAGTTGTGTTTATACATTTTTTGCAGACACTATAGCTGCCTGACCTGACCTGACATAACTCATATTAGTGTAAGTCCTAAGTCGTTTATTATCCTATTTTATTTATAAATAAAATCTCTCTTACCGTCTCCATTTAACCATATACTGTCCAACTGTAACATTCGACTCTGAAGTCTTTTCACACACACCCAGGAACAATTCGACCCCAACTTCTTTATTCGCCAACTTGGTATTAGCTAAATGACTAACCACATTATTTTCGGTCGATTTAAAAGGCGACGACTGAAACACCCAAATTAAACCTAACACAAACAAACCGAAAAACTTACAAATTCCATAGCAGTACTCTCAATAACGATGGGCCATGGTGATAGACACCGAATGCTAGGCATAACTCCAACCTCCTCCCCTACATAAAACTGAGACACTTCTTCCATTAAACTCGACAAAAACTTGGTTGTGATCTCGAACGGCTTAACAACAGGAACTATAATAGTTTCAGTTTTTATACTGATAACTGGTTTATCTCTGTCCAGTGTATACGAAATCTTCACTTCTATAATATTTTCAACGACTTTGTGTGCCCGTAAGTAGAAATTACCCGTACATTTTTCATGTTTTTGTAGAGAAGACGGTAAGTTTAAAGCTATGGGGAGTTTGTCGGGAATTCCGGACGAGTTTGTGGAAAATTCGGCTAAAAATTTACGTAAGTCAATGGTCAGTTTGTGCGTTAAGTACTTACTAAGACTAATTGTCTCATCTTTGCCTAGAGTCACCTCTACTTTCATGTCTTTGATGCTGTGTGGCTCTTCGTTGTTGATGAACATTTTTATTTCAAACCACTCCCCCAGAAGTGCTGGAATTGCATATTCCAACCCGATTTCCAGTTTAGAGTGTCTGGGGATTATTGTAGTGGCGGTTAAAGGCAAAATATTGTCAAAATCTAGCTTGTCGGGACAGTATTTAAAGTGTAACAGTTCTTGGCAGGTACTATTAAGAATATTTAGCGGGTTAAATTTGAGATCAAGGCTGGAGTCTTCTGGAGTCCCCATCATTAAAGTAATTGCACCAATCTAGAAAAAGTGTACACCAAAACACTTTTTAGATTACAATTTTCACTTACTTGGATTTCATTATTTACATCATTGGAGTCTGGCATGAACTCTATTACAAATCTCTTTACTTCATCAGTGTTGAACTCCAATGAACCTGAACTTAGATTAACGTTATCAACTGCATATTCAGAATTATAGGTTGGTGTGTTAATAGTGACTGCCACTTTAGTAAAAATTAGTGGTAGCGGACTCGTACATCTAAAAATATCCAAATATGTTAAAATTCTTTTCAAACGTCTAGTGTGTACTTTATGTAAACTTCCACCGTCACGTTCTGATCAGCTTCATATTTATTTTGCATAAACCTCGCTTTGGTTTCAATGCATGACGTAATTTTTCCTAAATCAAGCGTAAGATGAATAGGTTCAATCTGCAATTTTGGTTGCCACTGTATAACAGCACTTTGAAGTACATCAGGAGTCAGTCTTTGGTCACCAAACGGTATTTGCTTCTAAAACCGTATCATTTTAGATTTAGAAAAAGATTTTCGTAATTACACACCTTTAAAATGCGCTGGATATTGTCATGAATTTTTTTCTTGTGTTCAAGATTAAGCTGACTATTCTTGCCAATAACTTCCAAGCTGAGTATCACATAATCTGAGATGCTGGCTGTCAAGTAAGCACACCTGATTGCTTTTTCTAAAATATCAGTCAACAACAACCACCACTGTTCGCTTCTAAAGTCCGCCAGCATATGAGTTAGCAAACTGAAGAAATAAAAAATATAAATTTATTTTTGAGGTGTTGGCAAGAATTACGTCAAAGCTTTTCCGAAATCGTGCGAATTGTAATACTCTTCAGCCATTTGCAACACCAAATGTCTTCTAGTACGTGGACACCGGTACGTTTTGTACTGAGAAATTGCTAAACCGTATAAAGATACTATTGTATTCTGCAAAAAATGCCCTTTATTAACTGAAATCTTGTTTGCTTTCACCTACGGAGTGTGGGTGTTGCTTTTCTAAAAACTGGATAGCTTGGATTCCATTGGACTCCAACTGGGGGTCCGGAGGTTCCGCTGAAAGCTTACCGGGTCTCCAAGGCCGCTGACCGTAAAATTCTAAGTAGTTTGAGCCCTCTAGAGGGTCGGGTTGAGGAAAAGCTATGACGTTCTGAAAAATATATTAATTTTTACTTCCCGGGTGTAAGCTAAGGAAGTATAGTAATCGAGTCGATCGGCCGAATTGCCACTTTCATATTTTCTCGACGTGTCATGATCTCTAGAGTACGAAAAAAGTGGCATCCCGCTTCCGTCCGTCTGTCTGTCGCCTGTATCCGTTTTAATTAGTCAAGTAATCTCCGCAACTACTGGATCGATTGTTTTCACATTTTGTATGTATATTTTAGTATTATGTATGTAGTTGGTTAAACGTTAACTAAAATTTGGCTAATCATCCCCACCACTAATGGGATGACGTTATCTCCAAAATTTATAATAAAGTTTTTTTAAATTGTATAAATAAGATACGCCTGCACTTGTGGTGTATGAATCATCCGTGTCATATTTTCACGCTTGACATTCAGAATTTTTGGAAAAAATTCAAAACTACATAACAATATTTTGCAATATAACTTTGAAACTGCAAAAGCGATTATTCTGAAATCTTGTAAATATTTTAAGGTGATCGTAATCATGGTAAATCGTTAAGCAAAATTTATTCGTTTATCCCATCCCAAAAAATTGATGACGTCATCTCAAAATTTTTCCGAATAAATCCTCATTTGGATCTTACGCCCAACACGCTTCTTTACATTTACTTTAACATTATATAGGTACACATTTTTATTTTAAGGCGGTATCACTCAGCCTGGTTTGGGACAGTTTTCATCCCATTTGAAATGTTCTGTAAAAACGGGAGAAATTGACTTGGGACGATAGTTTTTTTTTCTTAACAATCCTTATTAGACATATTTTGTCCCTCTTATATTAAAATTTGATTTTCAGTTCTGTTTTCTGTGTAAAAAAAAAGTAAAAACATGCAAAAATTACGACATTTACATTGCTATTACAACGTACACTTGTGTTACAACAGGTATCTACAACGAACCTTTCTTAACAGATTGCATCAATACGTTTTTTAATAAGTGTTACACAATTCATATACAGCGGCAGTTAAGTAAACGCTGCAGATGAAAAAATTGCTTCAAGTTTTCAGCTGTACCTACTGCGATCTCTGTCGCACAGTGAATCGGACCTTCGGTCGGAAGTTGACCGTGAAATTGGGAAGGCGGAGACTATGCAGGGTAAAATACCTACCCTGACAAAAGAGGCTTCAAATTTTACTCGTTTTGTATAACTCTCCAAGTGTCGATTCTTTCGTCATTTTGTCAAAATAGAAAATATTGGTGGAATTAAAAAAAAATCAGCATGACACATTCAAAATTATTCGAAAGCTATCGGTGTTTATTTTTGATACTCAATGTAAATTGTTGAATTATAAAAATTGGTCTAAAGTTATTTAGACAGCACTTTCCTCGCTCTTGAAGTCGGGTATAACATATTCAGTTTTGTCAGATAATTCTAAGATTCGATTTAGAGATTGTTTTGCTGATAACGCAGTAAAGAGATCCATCTGGCGAATGACTAATTTTATGTTTTCTCGACGTTTCTCCATTTTATAACACAATTTTTGGTTTCTTTATTTCCTTTATTTTTTTGTTGTTTCTTTCGATTTACAATTCTTTATTTATTCAATTTTTCAAATTTTCAGGCTTTCATTTTTCAATTCCATGATTTTCCACGGTTAAAATTTTTCAATTTGCAGTTTTTGGATTTCCAGTCTTCCAATTTTTCAGTCTTTTATTTTCAATATTTTGATTTTACAATACATATTTCTTTTTTTTTATTTTTCACTTTTTCGAATTTTAAGTTTTTCAATTTTTAATCTTTCGATTTTTCAAATTTTCGTTTCTTCAAATTTTCACGTTTGATTTTCACTTTTGACATTTTTCAAGTTTTCATCATAAACTTTTTCGTTTTTACTTCCCGAGCGTAAGCAAAGGAAGTATTGTAATCGAGTCCGTCGGCCGACTCTCTACTTTTACGTTTTCTCGATCTTTCATGACCCCTAGAAGACGAAGAAATAGGTCTCCCATTTCCGTCTGTCTGTCCGTCTGTCCGTCTGTCCGTCTGTCCGTCCGTCTGTCCGTCTGTTGTCCCGGATTTTTATTAGACAGATAATCTCCGAAAGTACTCGACCGATTGTTGTGAAATTTTGTACTTATATTAAGAATATCATGTAGATGGTAAAACGCTAACCAAAATTTGTCTAATCATCCCCACCACTAATGCGATGACGTCACTTCAAAATTGTACATAGTAAATGGGTTTTCAATTATATAAAATAACATAGTCCTACACATGTAGTTTACAACTCTGAATCGACTTTTCACCCGAAACGTCCAGATTTTTGGAAAAAAAATCAAAATTATAAAACAACATTTTGAAATTTAATTTTTAATCTGCTAACCAGAATGCTTTGAAATGTTGCAGATGTTTTAAGGCTATAAAGAGCATCATAAATCTTTAGTCAAAAAATATTTGCTTATCCCCTCCAAAAACTTGATGACGTCAGCTCAAAAAAAAAATATGATGAGTCTGTACTTGTGATCTATCACTCCATTCATATTTTTTGGATTTGCATATACAGGGTGACTCAAAAAAATTAATGAATGCGTAAATATATTTTATTGATTTAATCAGGAACTACAAAACCGAATCACAGCATAGATAACAATCAGTAGAGACAGCTCGTGTCGGCGCCTTTGTTCTTTCTGACCCGAATTTTAAGCCGTCATGGGTGATCGTTGCCTAAACTATTCCTAGATGTCGCCACCCAATTTAAGAAGTATCACTGCATTTACAATTTCAAAAATTGATTCGTACGCAATTTATTGCAAACTGTCTAGTTTGCCCAAATCGTATAATCGTGAATCGCAATAAGAAAAAAGAAAAGTCCATATTTAATTTATAAACACGCTGATTTGTTACAGTTTTTATTTTATTCATAACCACCGTTGTTGTTCGTTTGCGACGACTTTTTAAACAAAAAATGTGTTATGTTTACTATCTTTTCCAAGAATTCCAAACACGAGGGAGAGAATAAGGCGCACAACAGGGATCCGGTATGAAAATTCATCGGACAAAGATTTTACCTTTTATTGTGAAAATTACATTTTTATACTATTTGTACAATTCTACCGGAAAAGCAGTCTTAAACAAGCAAAACTGGCAAAAATATTGTAACAAAACTGCCAAATTTCAAATATTTTAGACGTCAGTTGGGCGCCCTCATTCGGTCATAATGCGAACGACCACCCACGAAAACGGGTCACGAAAAACGGCGAGCCGTCTCTACTGATTGTTATCTATGCTGTGACCGAATGCTCTGAAATCTTGCAGATGTTTTAAGGTCATAAAGAGCATAATAAATGTTTAGTCAAAATATATTTGCTTATCCCCTCCAAAAACTTGATGACGTCAGCTCGAAAGTTTGCCGAATAAATCATATCTAAAATGTACAAAATATGATGAGCCTGTACTTGTCATTTATCACTCCATTCATATTTTTTGGATTTGCATATACAGAGTGACTCAAAAAAATTAATGAATGCGTAAATGTATTTTATTGATTTAATCAGGAACTACAAAACGGAATGCTCTGACATCTTGCAGATGTTTTAAGGTTATAAAGAGCATAATAAATGTTTAGTCAAAATATATTTGCTTATCCCCTCCAAAAACTTGATGACGTCAGCTCGAAAATTTGCCGAATAAATCATATCTAAAATGTACAAAATATGATCAGTCTGTATTTGTGATCTATCACTCCATTCATATTTTTTGGATTTGCATATACAGGGTGATTCAAGAAAATAAATGAAAGCGTAAATTTATTTTACTGATTTACTCAGGAACTACAAAACCGAATGCTTTGAAATCTTGCAGATGTTTTAAGGTTATAAAGAGCATAATAAATTTTTAGTCAAAATATATTTGGTTATCTTCTACAAAAAACTGATGACGTCAGCTCAAAAGTTTGCCGAATAAATCGTATCTAAAATGTACAAAATATGATGAGTCTGTACTTGTGATTTATCATTCCAATCATATTTTTGGATTCGCAAATGCAGGGTGACTCAAAAAAATTAATGAAGGCGTGAATTTATTTTATCGATTTAATCAGGAATTAGAAAACCGAATGCTTTGAAATCTTGGGACTATTTTAAAGTTATTATAAGCATGGTAAACTTTTGTTCAAAATGTATTTGTTCATCCCTCCTAAAAAAATTGATGACGTCACCCTTAAATTTTGCTGAATAAATCCTATCTAAAATGTAAAAAATATGATGAGTTTGTACTTGTGATTTATCATTCCATTCATATTTTTTAGATTTTCTTAAGAGGTGGTTCAAAAAAATTAATGAAGTCAATTTATTTTATTGATTAAATTAAAGGCAACACTTATTATTAGTATTACACCCCAACCAACCCAATTTGGTAGACACAAAATTTGTTAAAGGAAAAACTCGGTTGAAACATAAGGGTAGCACGCTTATTTACATCGACTTTAACATTACAGACCTGCATTTGTTTTATGCGCTCACTTGGTTCCGCGAATGTGAAATAGACATGTTTATAATCGACCAATTGTGACTTTCACCGTCAAGAATTAAAATAAAACCCAATGTTTTATATAATAAGCGGAAGTCGAAGCAATAAAACCGATGGTCGTTTTGTTTACAGTTTCTCTGTTTGACTCTCACGTATGCTGTTACGCCTGTCATCTTAAATTAAGAATGTTTATACATACACGATTTTCAGTTGCCTCTGATACGTATACGTGAGTAAATTGTTTCGTTATTTTATTGATTATTACAAATCAATATTCAAAACGACCCAATTCATTTTCCCGAAAATTTGAGAATATAATAATTTTATTCTTAGTATTACACTACATCTATCCCAACTGATATACGTGTCCTTGCAAAAATGTTGATGACGTCATCGCAATTTTTTTTTAAATTCCCACTACAAAAATGTAATGAGAAAAAAAAACACAATAGGCATGCAGTCGTCAAGTTTCCGACAGCGAGGGAAGTACTGTCTAAACTCTTTAGACCAATTTTTTCGATTTATATCACAATTGTCCGTTTCTTTATTTCCTTTATTTTCTGTGTTTTTTTTTCGATTTTACAATTTTTCATTTGTTCAATTTTTCAAATTTTCAGTTCATCCATTTTTCAATTTTTAAATTTTTCACTTTGCAATTTTTGGGATTTCCAGTCTTCCGATTTTCCAATTTCTTTAATTTTAAATACATATTACTATTTCATAATACATATTTCTTTTTTTTTTTATTTCTCACTTTTTCAATTCTTAAGATTTTTCAAGTTTTCATTTTGTAATTTTTCGTTTTTTATTTTTGATTTTTCAATTTTACAATTTCTCGACTTCCAAAATTTTCAATTTTTCATTCCTTCAAAATTTATTCGTTTATCCCCTTCCAAAAAATTGATGACGTCATCTCAAAATTTTGCCGAATAAATCCTCATTTGAAACTTACGCCCAACACGCTTCTTTACATTTACTTTAACATTAACATACACATTTTTATTTTTTAACTTACAAGGATTATCATAAAAAAATAAAATTTGCAAAATCAAATTCTATAATTTTTCCAAAAATCTGACGTTCGAAAGTTGGAAATTCGGAAAACTGGAAAATTTGAAGAGATATCGCAGAATTGTAGAAAAGAAAAACAAAAAATTGCAAATGGAGAAATTGACGACACGAAAAATTGTAAAAATAAAGAAAATAAAAAACTAAAACGAAAAATTGCAAATGGAAAAATTAAAACTTGAAAACTCGAGAAACTCAATTCGAAAAATTGCAAAATCTATAAATTGAAAAATTCAAAAGTTGAAAAATTCGAAAAGTTAAAAAAAAAAAACTGTGGGACCGTTATTTACGGCACTGGATTTTTACTTTATAGAGGAAATCAGAAAACAAAAATTGCAAAAACAAAATAAAATTTTTCGAAAAAGTGTTGTTGAAATAACCTTCGACCAGTTTTTTTGTCTTGATTATTATGGGTAGGTGTTTTGATGAAGACTTATTAAATTTATTTTTAAAAGATGTGAAGATGAATAATTATAGTTATCCAAAAAAATATTGCACTATAACGACTTGACTCCCATTTTATTTATTTATTGTTTTGAAAAGGATCAATTCATATGGAATACGGTGCAAGAGTGTTTTTTTCCGATTATGTTACATTGAAATAATATTTTGAAAAATAATTCCGACATGCATGCCGTATTTATTGTGCCTACGATGTGAAGGAAGTTCGGTTTAAATAATTCCACCGATTTCATTAATCCCTTTTATTTTCGAGAAAAAAAATCTGATACGCCACTGAACATCCTGTCAAATTTTTAAAACAACCCTTGCGTACTTGACTTTTGTAAAAAAAAACATTGTGCAAACATATTTTGGAATTTAAAAGATTATCATTCCCCTTAAGCGTCTGAATAATCGAAATGCTGAGTCATTCCTTTAAATTAATTTCAATTTTTACCTGAAATTGACTTATTGTTGACATATTGTTATGTTGGTAACGTGGTTTTACGAGGAGTGACAATTGACAGACACAGTTAACTTGATGTCAAAGTTTGAAAAAGTGCCTATGAAAAGTGGTGAATGTTCTTTTTACTGTTTCGGGTTATATCACAAATCGCGGTTAATTTTGGTTAAATTCCTGCCTTTTCAGGTAAGATTAGAAGTTATTATTACTTCTTTAAAAACTAAACTGTTCTCGCTTTGTATTGTTTTTACTAATACTAATAGATTCACCCTCGAGTGGACTGAATAAACATTTGGTAGCTGCGAAAATGGAACGATATAAAAATTGTTTGTTTTTTTTTTTCAGTCACAAGTTACTTCATTGTAGGCTTGAAATTCAAGACTAACTGCAATATATTTAGCTTTGTGATTGTAAGAATTATAATTAAAGAAATATTCACATTCTTATAAAAGGTGTGTTGAAAGGTCAGATTCTACGAGTTTTTTAATCTGATAGAGTTTTAACTTACAAAAACAACTTACACCACATAGCTCCTGACATGACTTCTTCCTTAAAATAGCATACTGAGCGGCTTGCTGATAATAAATTCCTGGATGTTGGGTTTGTACAGCTGGCAATCCCAATTTAACAGCCTCATCAAAGATGTCGCCAAAAACAGAGAATCTGAGCCATTAAACGAACTCTTATCTCCCTAACATACTTACTGTTTAGACAACCAAGCATAATGTTCAAAAGTCAGCTCTTGAAATCCCATTCTACTCTTAAACCTGTCAATATGAGCCTTAAATTGCGATATGGCATCCCTTGGTAAATTTAAAGCAAACATCAATTTGCATAATTTGTAATTAATAAAACCTGCAACTGTCCTAATTTCTAGAGCGTTTGTATCGACAATTCGGATCTCTAGTAAATTATTATAAGCGTGAGTGTAGTGTCTAGAATTTTTTTTTTTAAATAACATTGATAATTAACATTATTAAACATACTTATGCGCTGTATGTATGTCTTGTTTTAATTCATACAGGAAGCCCATCTTATACTGATGTCTCACAAGTAAATACTGATGTGAATTTTTATTTAAATGTTCTTTATGCGCCCGAACATTTTTGATTTCATTGTGGTAATAGTTCTGCGCAAATTCATAAAAAGCGCTCTCCAACCTAACGGCATACCCTTGCAGATGGTCGCCATGTGGCAACACAAACAATGAAGTGGAGTTCAGTTCACAACTTGCACACAAACTTATGGCTCGATCTGACGCTAAGACATCCTCACCAGGAGGTAGTGGTAAAGTATTTTGGATTAAGACCACTGTAATTCGGGTATTGCGACCCTCGAGCGCAGCCCTGCAAAACAACAGCTTCAGCAAAGTCTCAATAAGTTTTTCGAAACTCACCGAAGGGACTGCACACGCGAAGCACACTCAATCATTTTTTCATTCCACAAACTATCATTCCAATCTAAGTCGTAGAAAATCACAATAACGGCAGGAATTTCGTACAGATGTTTGTTCATCCAGTTTCTTTTCAAAATTCCTTTAGGAATGTACCAGTCGTATGAAGTACGTTTCGGTTTGATCACAGGAAATTCGTGCGCATTGCCTATTAATTTAAATAACACGGGAGATCTGTCCGCCCTTCGATTATTACTAAATGTTTCCCAAATTGACTTGTGGACTGCGTTGTTGAGGGTGTCGAGGCCTGATACCCCGACCAGGGCCAAGGGTTTCGCACATAGTTCGGGTGGAAGATCAGAATTATTTTGCGGGGAAGATTGCATCTTGCTGAATTTGTTAACTTTGTGTCGTTCTTGACAAAGTTTCACGCATTATTGTGTTTAACAAATTTCGGCACTTTTTATTTTGACAAATGTGACAAGTGTCATTTTTATTCAAACATAACCTAGATGCAAAAACGAGATGCGAGGCGCTGACTTGCGAACGACCAGACGAGTACCTGTATATTCCGGGGTGACGTCACAAACAAGATGACGCGAGTTTCGTCAAATTTAACGAAAGGGTCGCTGGTTATTGATTTATTCTAAATTTATTCGTTAAAAAATTTGTGTTTTAGAAAACGAAATAATACGGAATAGATTCATTCGTCCACGTGGTTGTTGCACCGAGCGTTCTGTCCACTCTGTCCACTGTCACAGAACACTCAGTAGTGAGGAATTCTAAAACATGATTGTATGGTTCTGCCCAAGATCCATTAATTCGTGACGGCGACGATAAATAACACTAGATTACAAGGTTTTATATCCAAAGCCAAAAATAGTTGAATCTAAAGGATTTGGGTTCGGGAAATTCAAATCTGAAAGCAGAAAAACTCTTATCACGTCAGGTTTTTGAGATATTTATATAAACATACCCCGCAACATAAGAATGATAGGTGATCTTATCATAATATTAGTTTTATAAGATCCATAATAAAAAGTAAGGCTATTTCTATTGTGTAACCTAGGCACAGAAAACATAATTTTACTTCATAGATATGAACAGTCTATTTTGTTATGGACAATATTATAAAGAAATCGGACACAAAAGATGGAACGCCTAGTGCTAGTAGATTACAACTAAACCTATTCAGTAAGGTATTATGTCCAGATCCTTGATTAGGATAGACACCATCAAATACCACATACTTTAAAAATTTGCGTTGAACAGACTCTAATGCATCTGAATATATGGAATAAATTGGGTACCATATTATAGATGCGTACTCTAACCTGGAGCGCACAAAAGAATAATATAGGGATAGCAACGCCTGGGTATTATTAAATTCAGAGCAACTCCTATAGACAAACCCCTATATTTTATAAGCATGTGCAACAGATTCAGTAATGTGATTTCTAAACGTAAACTTATTGTCAAACGTTACGCCTAAGTCTTTAACTGTATCTAATTTGGCTATATTAGGTATGAGTTCCCTCAATTGAGTAATTATAAACAATATTGAACTCTTTTCTACTGTATGTCACCTTAAAACACTTATTCTTGTTTAACAATAATCGATTAGACGCACACCATGAAGATAAGGCGTTTATGTTTTCTGGTAAAATGTCGCAGTCTTCAGGCACACTTATTGAGTGGAATATCTTAAGATCGTCCGCGAAAAGTAGTTTATGACAAAATAAGGAGTCTACTACATCATTAATGTATAACAAAAATAGTAGAGGCCCCAGGTTGGACCCTTGCGGTACTCCGGAGTTAGGGCAAAACGGCTTAGAGACAAAGTTTCGATATCGTACAAAGATTTTTCTATTGAATAAGTAGGATCTGAAGAGTAGTAGCAGCGAGTTTGAGAATCTAAATGAATTTAGTTTCTCCAGCAGTATATGATGGTCAATTTGGTCGAAAGCCTTCTTGAAATCTGTGTAAATCACATCTACTTGTATATTTTGGTCCAAAGCTTCTGTAACATGCTGACTGAAGCACGATAGATTGGTTACAGTAGATCTGTTTTCAACGAAGCCATGCTGAAATGGTGTAATAAAGCTCTTGACGGAAAAGTAAATATGTTTGTATATGACCGATTCAAAAATTTTTGAAAAATTACATAGAATTCTGATTGGCCGGTAATTTTCAATCAAGTGATAATAAGACAGTTTAAACCAAAAACGTAACTATAACAGATCACTGGAATAACCGTTAAATAACACTATGTAACAAAATTATAGAAAAATAATATTTATCTGACTTTTTTTGTGGTTTTGGGTGTAATTTAGTCTATACTTAGAGAATATGAATTTGGTTCGTACAGAGAATCCCTAACATAAAAAATATTTAACTATTTTTTGTTTAGTGAAAAATGTAAAAATTTTAATTAAAAAAAAAACGAAGGCAGTTTAATTAATTGGAAGTACTACAAAGAAGAGAAAAGGCATAAATTATTTACAAATAAAAATAAAAATGAACCTTCGCGTGGCTCTGGGGCTTGGGAGGGCTGCCACGTTAATTAAATTATAAGATATATTTACCGTACAAAAATATATAACAACCAGTAAGATGGTTACTTGGTTCTCTTAAAAAACGGGAAATGGTAAATGCTACAGACTTAGGTAAGGTTTCCTCGAAACTATGCTTCCAAACTTGACCGGCAACTTCCGCAGTAAACAAGATGAACCGATGGTTTATCTTGGTTCTTAATAGTTCTCTCAAAGTACGCTTCATATGCTACCCAGAACTTTGTCGTAGGAACTATTTAATGTTTCACTTAGTCAACAGTTTTGTAATAACCGCAAATGTAACAAAAAGAAGTTGCAGATAATTCACACCTGCGTGTGGCTACGATTTTCGAATTTAAACACAAAATTCATACAAATTTTTTTCTTTTACAAAAAAAAATAAATAAATGAAAATAGGGACAGTTCGACCAAACGAACCACAGCATGTCAAAAGTTACATCAGGATACAACGATAAATGTGAAAAAAGCAACATAATAATTTTTTTGTTACACAGTGTAATTTGAAAAGAAATATTAAATCAGATTTTAGTCTTCTAGTCTCAAGCGAATCTAAAGAGAGCAGATTTCTCATTTGGCAGTAAGTGTAACTACATATTTTTACTGTAACGCATTTTCCACGTACATGTTCGAAGAAAAGATTTTTGGATTTTCTCCAGCAACCTAATATGCACCAAATACGTGGGTGACCAAATTACACTGGCGTATTCTAGAACAGACCTTACCAAGGCACAGTAGACAAGCTTATGAGCATCAACAGAAAGGCGAAATAATGATCTATTAATTCAACCTAACATTTTTGAAGATTTACTCAGAACATAATGTATAATATGTGGAACAAAACTCGGTTTTTGATCAAAAATTACCCCTAATAAGTCGCGTATCTCCAACACTGCCTTTATAGAAGTTTTATTAATTGGATAATAGAAATCAGTGTAAGCTGTTATTTGTTAAAATAGCTATTTGTGTATTAAGAGCGCAAAATTATACATTGCCGATTGAGAGAGAAAGTTGCGGCGCGACGAAGGAGCGCTGCAATCTCTCGAAATCGGCATTGAATTTGCGCTCGTAATACACACAAGATTTTTTCTACAAACAAGACAGTTTGCACAATAATTAAAAACGTCCCACTTTTACGAAAAAATTAATTTTATCAACAATAAAACTCAAAAATTTGTATAAAGCAGAGTTTGTTTACCTGTTGCTATGGAATGAACTGGCCAGTGAATATTTGATTAATTGGATTAGCGAGCGTTTTGTACATTTTGTCGCGCGTGTCAAGTTTTCCGAGGAACGTCACTTTGTCCCTCACGCGCGACAATGTACAAAACGCTCGCTAATCCAATTAATCAAATATTCACTGGCCAGTTCATTCCATAGCAACAGGTAAACAAACTTTGGTGTATACAAAGTTTTGAGTTTTATTGTTAATAAAATTAATTTTTTTGTAAAAGTGGGACGTTTTTAATAATTGTGCAAACTGTCTTGATTGTAGAAAAAATCTTGTGTGTATTCCGAGCGCAAATTCATTGCCGATTTCGTCGCGCCGCAACTTTCTCTCTCAATCGGCAATGTATAATTTTGTGCTCTTAATACACAAATAATACCTATTAAAATATGTCTCTGTGTTAACTTTCATATCATTCCATACACACTAATTATATATTCGATTCAAATCACTTTGAAGAAGGGCACAATCCAGAACTGATGATATCTCTGGAAATAATTTTAAGTCGTCTGCAAATAAGAGTATTTTTGAAAAATACGCCGAAAGGTAAATGCCGTTAATAAAGAAATTAAACAATAAAGACCCACAGTGGGTTCGTTGAGAGACACCTGATTTCACAGAAATGGTGTTTGAAGACGAGTTTCCAATTCTAGCAACCTGAGGCCTATTTGATATGAAACTTTCAATCCACTGGACAAACATCTCATCAAAATTCATAGTTAGTTTGCTCACTAAGATTTTGTGGTTAACCTTATCAAAGGCTTTCGCCAAGTCCCCATAAATTGAGTCAACTTGTTTACCCTTTTAATAATAATAATAATAATAATAATTTAATTCCAACAGACTAACGTCTATGGTGGAAACACACAGGGTTACATTAGTAGGTACATACTTGTAAACATTAATACAGAAAAAAAAACTAACAATTTTCAACTTAACACTAACAGGTTCTTAAAGTGAACAGAGGAAAAAATACGATATGATACGTTTACTTACACTGTGGTTTAAATATAAATAAATATATACGCTTAATTAAAAATTTTTACAAACAATTAAAAATTTCTACAAACAGTTAATAGCTTTAATTTAAGTCTTGGATTATAAAAGTTGTCAAAAAATACGTCTATGCCATGAGGTATTATACAATTAGACAGTCTTAAACATCTGATTAGTGGACTGTTAAAATGGTGATAAGTACATGATACTTTGTAATAAAATGTTGTTGGAGTGCTACAGTTTACGCGTGGACAAACAAACTTTATACTCTCCAATATAAGGGTGTGGGGACAAAAAATCTGCACAAATTTTAATTCACCGAAAATCGAGTTAGCTTTGAGAAAAATGACGGTTGACGTTATAACATTTTTTTACAGTTGTTAAAAATTGTTATGCCTAGTTCCTCTTGAAAGTTTCAATATTTTTTGTAATAATGGAACACTTAAACGAAAATGATCGCCGATCTGTGATTGCCGAATTTTATAGAAGGCATATGCATTTAAAAAAGTCATTCACCGTTAATCACTTCTTCCAAATGGGGATATCAAAAAGGACAACTTATAGCATTTGCAGAAGAGTAGAGAATGGGAATTCGGTAGAAAGACAAGTAGGAAGCGGAAGACCAGCAAGAAAAATGTCCCAGAAGAAGAGAGAAGCCTTAGTCAATCAAAGTCACGGTAAACTTGGTGTTTCACTAAGAAAGA